TTATTAATCGAAGTTAGTGACATGTCCTCTAAGTAATGTTAAAGCGTTTTCAACTGCTCCATAGTCGTTTTCGGTTGTTTTGCATAGAAAGAATGACCATGGTCGATCGATTTGCATCACGAGTATATGGAGTCGGGAACACATGAATTTCCACCCAACAGCTGAAAAAAAATCCTTGCATTACACTTTTACTTATATTAAACTGTAATATGTATATAAACTGAAGCTAAAAAGGAAAGGGTGATATTAAAGGGAACATGAAATATTTATTAAGGCACGAATTTATTGATACAACGAATATAATTACGCATCAATTATTAATCGAAGTTAGTGACATGTCCTCTAAATAAGGTTATAGCATTTTCAACTGCTCCGTAGTCGTTTTCGGTTGTTTTGCATAGAAAGAATGACCATGGTCGATCGATTCGCATTATCTCGGGAGGTGGGTCAATGGACGCAGACTCGACGAAAAACACTACAGCTGAAAAAATAAAATTTAATCCTTGCATTACACATTTATTTATATGAAAGTGGAATACTGAAGGTAAAAAGAAAAGAATGACATCAAAGGAACATAAAATATTTATTAAGGCACAAATTTATTAAACAACATTAATGCAATACATATAACTACGCATCAATTATTAATCGAAGTTGGTGACATGTCCTCTAAATAAGGTTATAGCGTTTTCAACTGTTCCATAGTGTTCGGTTGTTTTGCATAAAAAGAATGACCATGGTCGATCGATTCGCATCACCTCGGGAGGTGGTTGGACAGACTGGAGGAAAAACACTACAGCTGAAAAAAAAATTTAATCCTTGCATTACATATTTATTTATATTAAACTGTAATTTTGAACCTAAACAGGAAAGGATGACATTAAAGGAACATGAAATAGTTTAGAAAGGCATTTATTAAGCAATATTAATGCAATACATGTAATGCAACGAGGATTAAGCGAAGTTTGGGCCAATGATCATAGCAGTCAAGGCCCATATAAAATCAATCAACCAGTCAAATTAATCGAAATTAGTGACATGTCCCCTAAATAAGGTTATAACGTTTTCAACCGCTCCATATTCGTTTGTGGTTGTTCTGCATAAAAAGTATGACCATGGTCGATCGACCCGTATTGTCTCGGGAGGTGGGTCAAGGGATTCGAATGCCAAGAAAAACACTACGGCTGAAAAAAATAAAATTTGATCCTTGATTACACACTTTAACTTATATTAAACTGTAATACGGAAGATAAAACGAAAAAGAAGGGCGACATTAAAGGAGAACATAAAATAATTTAGGAAAGCATTTATTCAGCAATATTAATGCAATACATATAATGATGCATTCAGTATTAACTCCTTGCCGTACAATTGATTTGTCAGGTGCGTCAGTCAAAACTAACTATTCATAGCTATAATTCGGCGCGTGGTAATTCTACTCGTGGTTACTCGACACGTGGTAATTCTACTCGTGGTTACTCGACACGTGGTAATTCTACTAGTGGTTATTCGGCGCGTGGTAATTCTACTCATGGTTATTCGCCGCGTGATAATTCTACTCATGGTTATTCGACGCGTGGTAATTCTACTCGTGATTATTCGCGCATGGTAATTCGACGCGTGGTGATTCTACACGTGGTAATTCAGCGCGTGGTAATTCTACTCGTGGTAATTCGGCGCGTGATAATTCGACGCGTGGTAATTCTACACGTGGTAATTCGACGCGTGGTAATTCTACTCGTGGTAATTCGACGCGTGGTAATTCAGCGCGTGGTAATTCGACACGTGGTAATTCGTCGCGTGGTAATTCTACTCGTAATTATTCGGGGCGTGGTAATTCGACGCGTGATAATTCGGCGCGTGGGAATTCTACACGTGGTAATTCAGCTCGTGGTAATGCTACTCATGGTAATTCTACACGTGGTAATTCAACACGTAGTAATTCAGTGCCGACAACAAACAATAAAAATTACAATCTTGTGAATATTTTATATTCAGCGATCCTTGATAATGCAAATTATAACTGTACTTAAATTTTCAACTGAGGAGTAATAAAAATTTGACTAAGATTTGTTATATTCGATCTGTGAGTGCGTCACGAGTGAGTCAGTGCGTCAAAGTACGACAAGGAATTAATCGAAGTTAATAACATGTCCTCTAAATAAGGTTATAACATCTTCCACTCCTCCATATCGGTTTTTGGTTGTTTTGCATAAAAAGAACGACCATGGTCGATTAATTCGCATCATCACGGGTGGAGGTGGTCCAAAGTTCACACTGGCCGCGTACGGCATCATTAAAACTGAAACAAATGTAATTTAATCTTTGAATTACTTTTACTTATATTAAATTATAATACCGAAGCGACTTAAAGCGAAGCATGAAAAGCTTTAATAATACATATAATTACGAGGCAATTATGAGTTGAAATTGACGTGTCCACTAAATAATGTAATGACGTCTTTAATTCTGCCAATTTCGTCTGTATGCGTACGACACAAAATGAAAGACCACGGTCGATTGATGTGCACCACTACAGGATACTCAGTGTCGGAGTCACCCATTCTGTCAAACATAAGGGCTGAAAGAAAAAATAATTTGTTTCTTGAATTAAATGCGGCATATTACAACTATTGTTGTAGTGAACACTGTAAAATATTCGGGAAACATGTGTCACAGATTTTTTGTGATTGGAAACCATTGTTATCGGCAGTTGCACAAAATGATAACGTGCTGTTCTTGGAAATATTAAATAAAGACACTCATTTATCGATTATTGATGAAATCTACTTAAATATACAATTACGTAGAAATTATGATTTGAAGTTGGTGATGTGCCCTCTAAATGAGATTATGAGATCTTGGTGAGATTATTAGATTATGAGGTCCACACTAGTTTTTGCTAGTACTGCATAAAATGGACGACCATGATCGACCGATGCGCAGTATTACAGGTCGAAGAGATATATGACACCTAACTATTTGTAGAAAAAAATAATTTAATTCAAAATCAATGTTACACACGTCAGATTAATAAAATGACGGCGTGAAATATTTTGAGACAAATATGAATTTCTTTATTGATGAATACCCAAGGGTATCTTGCTATGGACGCCATTTGCATTGCATGGATAGACAAAATGGCGGCCTAGCATTCCATATGGAAATACGGGCATCATTTATTTCTTGCAACACTTCCTTGTTTAATTAAAATCCAGCCGAAGAAAAAATGAAACAATTGAAACGCTAACGTCATTCGATAACACAACCAAAAGGAACATTTTACAAACAAAAATTGAACATTGCTGTGTTAAATTCCAATCACCTGTCTCAACCAAGAGAGCAGATAGAAGCAAAAATCGAAATTTAACTTTTTGCTCCATTTTCTCCGCCTGATTTCGTATAAAAATTCTGAAACATTGTAATTAAGGATTTTTTGCTCGCTAGAAAAAGTGCAATTTTTTATTGAAGTTGTAACTTTATATTACTGAATTCAGGATTTGCAGGATTTATATAACATACGTGAAATAATGCATATACAAATATTTATTTAACATACCATAACATATTGAATTGTAGTATTTACTTTACTAAAAGCGAAATATTTGTGCAATATCTATGTGATTATACAGTGAATACATTTGTATATAGTATAGTTTATAACTGAGGATTAATAACGTAGCCTTGGAACAAGTTTACAACATCTCCAACTATTTCAAATATGTCTTGATCCAATTGGATTATAAAGAACAAGTATGGTCGATCTATGCGCATCTCCGTACGTGGTAGACGTATGAACATCCCGTCTGAACTCAGTTGAACAAACCCCAAAACTAAAAAGAAATTAACGTTAATTCCAGAATTAAATGTCACATTTCATTTGCACTGAACCAATGCTATAGAAATGCAAAAGCTTCCCCTCATTCTAAAATAAATTCTGTAAGGATTTTTTTAAATAATAAAATCTTATTTTGTTACTGGAAAGTGTTAGTGTAATTGTCATTGTTTTTAGTGTAATGCAAAACGTGCAATGCTTTTTCATGTACGTGTGATTCAGGTATTGTTGCAGACTTCACGTAATCCACTGTTTAAATAAAATCTTTTAAACAGATGTACAAAGAATAAAAAATATGAACGACATGATGGAATAAATGTAACGAAACGATAAAAAATTAGGAATGTTCATTTTTGCAAATTTGGTAGTGCTGAATTTTGCAATGTTGGACATCTTCAAAAATTGAAATTGTGGTAATCAGTTTCCAAAACTTGGAATTTTCAATATTGAAAATTTTTGTTTTCAAACGATGAAAACACAGTTCCCAAAATTTGGAAATTTCAAATTTTAGAATACTGCGAATTGTGGCTTTTGAAAATTGCAAATGGGTTTGTGGAATATTCAGAGTGGTAATTCTACACGTGGTAATTCAGCACGTTGTAATTCAACGCGTAATAATTCTACTCGTGGTTATTCGACGCGTGGTAATTTGGCGCGTGGAAATTCGAGGCGTGGTTATTCGACGCGTGGTAATTCGACACGTGATAATTCTACGCGTGGTAACTCGACGCGTGGTAATTCGACACGTGATAATTCTACTCATGGTTATTCAACGCGTGGCAATTCGACGCGTGGTAATTTGGCGCGTGGTAATTCCCCGCATGGTAATTCTATTCGTGGTTAATCGACGCGTGGTATTTCGATGCGTGGATATTCGACGCGTGGTAATTCGACGCGTGGACTATTACAAATTTTAAATTTGGAAACTGCAGTCACTTATATAAGATAATGTATATACCAATATTTATTCACTACAATATAAGATATTGAGATTTTAAGCATGTTTCGCTAGAAACAATTTTAGAGAATATTTGTGTGGTAAGACGGTACGTAATTTTACATAGTTACGTATAAATTATAATTGAGGATTAACAACGTGTCCTTGGAACAAGTGTACACAATCATGAACTGTTCCAAAGTCTTGATGCAACTTGCTTATGAGGAACAAACATGGCCGATCTACGCGCATCACCGGAGGTTGCGTTGGCTCCACACTGAATAATGCACTCACTGCCGACTCTATAACTGAAAAGAAGTTTAATTCCACAATTAAATGTCATATTCCTTTTATACTGAACTACCAATGCCATAGAAGTGCAAAAGCTTCCCCAGTCTAAAATAAATTCTGCAAGGAATTTATTTAATAACTTATTTTCTTACTGGAAAGTCTTATTTTGCTACTGGAAAGTGTTAGTGTAATTGTCACTGTTTTTAGTGTAGTGCGAAACGTGCAATTATTTTTCATGTACGTGTGATGCAGATATTGCAGGCCAACTTCGTGCAATCCACAGTCTATATATAAAATCTTTTCAACAGATACAAACAATAAAAAATATAAGACATGATGGAATAAAGAAGATTAACGAAACTGCAGAGGATTAGAGATATTCGTGTTTGTAAATTTGGAAGTGTTGAAATTTGTAATGTTGAAAATTGTAGGTGTTGAAAATTTGAGACGTTGGAGTCTCAGTTTCCAAAACTTGAAACATTGGAATTTTGGAAGATCGAAAATTTTGAATATTAAATTTTGGGGTTGAAACGACGGTTTCAAAAATTTTGGAATATTGCGAATTTTACGTTTTAAAAGTTGCAAATGTGTTCCTGAAATTTAAGATATTTTCGATTTCCAAATATTGGAAATTTTAAATTTGGAAATTGCAGAAATTACATACGTAAGATAATGCATATACCACTGTTTATTCACCATAATATATTAAGTTCTCAAGCTTATTTCGCTAAAAACAATTTTAGAGAATACTTAAGAGGCATTGACGAATATTTCTACATAATTACGTATAAATTATGATTGAGGATTAATAACGTGTGCTTGGAACACGTTTACAACATCTTGAACTGTTTCAAAATCATCTTCACGCAACTTGCTTATGAGGAACAAAGATGGCCGATCTACACGTATCACCAGAGGTCGCGGAGGTTCCGGAAACAGCATTGCACTCACTTCCACCTCCTCAACAACTGAAAAGAAGTTTAATTTCACAATTAAATGTCACCTGTCATTTGTACTGAACAAATGCAGCAGAAATACAAAAGCTATTCTAAAGTCTACAAGAAATTCTGTGAGGAATTTACAGAACTTATTTTGGAATAAGTTGAAATAAGGAACTAATTTTGTTACTGAAACGTGTTAATGTAATTGTCACTGTTTGTATTAATATAAAACATGATTATTCATGTATGAATAATGATTTTTCACATGAGGTAGAGATTTTTTATTTTTCACATGATTTTTCACATGAGGCAGAGTAATTCAGATATCGCTCCAACTTCATGTAATCCTCAATATAAATAAAATCTTTTAAATACACGTACATAGAAACAATCAAAAATAAAAAAGACATGGTAGAATAAATGTAAGGCAACTGAAAAGGAGTAGAAATGTTTGTGTTTGTAAATTTGAAAGTGTTGAAATTTGTAAATATTGCATACTGTTTCAAAAAATTGAAACAATGGCAACTCACTTTCCATTCTGAATTTTCAAGTTCTGGAGTATTGACAATTTTTGGTTTGAAACTCAGTTTCCAAAATTTGGAACTTTCAAATTTTAAAATATTACAAATTTTCGGTTATGAAAATGGGTTTGTGAAATATTGAGAATTTAAAAATTCTCGACATGAAATATTGAAAATTGTAGAAATAGTGTACGTAAGATAATGCATATAATATTTATTCGCAATTCGTAATGTAATGAATTTTCGAGCTTGTTTCGCTAGAAACAATTTAAGAGAATATTTGTGCAGAATATAATTTTACATAGTTTCGCTAGAAACAATTTTAGAGAATATTTGTGTGGTAAGACGGTACGTAATTTTACATAGTTACATATAAATTATAATTGAGGATTAACAACGTGTCCTTGGAACAAGTTTAAAACATCTTGAACTATTCCAAAATCGTCTTGCTTCAACTTGCTTATGAGGAACAAAGATGGCCGATCTACACGCATCACCAGAGGTCGCGGAGGTTCCCAATTCAATTTTGCACTAAATGACATCATCAGAATAGGCTCCACACTGAATAATGCACTCACTGCCGACTCTATAACTGAAAAGAAGTTTAATTCCACAATTAAATGTCATATTCCTTTTATACTGAACTACCAATGCCATAGAAGTGCAAAAGCTTCCCCAGTCTAAAATAAATTCTGCAAGGAATTTATTTAATAACTTATTTTCTTACTGGAAAGTGTTAGTGTAATTGTCACTGTTTTTAGTGTAGTGCGAAACGTGCAATTGTTTTTCATGTACATGTGATGCAGTTGTTGAAGGCCAACATCTTACAATCCACAGTTTACATAAAATCTTTTAAATAGATACAAACAATAAAGAATATAAGACCTGATGGAATAAAGAAGATTAACGAAACTGCAGAGGATTAGAGATATTCGTGTTTGTAAATTTGGAAGTGTTGAAATTTGTAATATTGGAGATTGTAGGTGTTGAAAATTTGAGACGCTGGAGTCTCAGTTTGCAAAACTTGAAACATTCGAATTTTGGAATATCGAAAATTTTGGGGTTTAAACACCGGTTTCCAAAGTTTTGAATCTTTAAATTTTGGAATATTGCGAATTTTAAGTTTTAAAAGTAGCAAATATGTTCCTGAAGTTTAAGAAATTTTCGATTTTGATATATTGGAAATTTCAAGTTTTAAATTTGCAAATTGGTTTCTCAAATTTAAGAAATTTTCGATTTCCAAACATTGGAAATTGCGGAAATTATATACATAAAATAAGGCATATAGCAATATTTATTCACCATGATATAATATATTAAGTTTTTAAGTTTATTTCGCCAAAAACAATTTTGGAGAATACTTATGAGGTATTGACGGATAATTCTACATAGTTACGTATAAATTATAATTGAGGATTAACAACGTGTCCTTGGAACAAATTTACAACATCTTCAACTGTTCCAAAATCGTCTTGCTTCAACTTGCTTATGAGGAACAAAGATGGCCGATCTACACGCATCACCAGAGGTCGCGGAGGTTCCAAATTCACTATTGCACTCAATGGCACCGCCACAACAACTGAAAAGAAGTTTAATTCCACAATTAAATGTCACTTTTCGTTTATACTGAATGCAGCAGAAAAACAAAAGTTATTATTGTCTACAAGAAATTCTGTAAGGAATTTATAGAACTTCGTTTGGAATAAGTTAAAATATCGAACTTATTTTGTTACTAAAACGTCTTAGTGCAATTGTCACTGTTTGTATAATATAAAACATGATTATTCATGTATGAATAATTTTTCACATGAGGTAGAAATTTTTTATTTTTCACATGATTTTTCACATGATTTTTCACATGAGGCAGAGTAATTCAAATATTGCTCCAACTTCATGTAATCCACAGTTTAAATAAAATCTTTTTAACAGATGCAAACGATGCAAAATATAAGACCTGATGGAATAGAGAAGATTAACGAAATTGCAGAAGATTAGAGATAATCGTGTTTGTAAATTGGGAAGTGTTAAAATTTGTAATGTTGGAAATGGTAGGTATTGAAAATTTGAAACGTTGGAGTCTCAGTTTCCAAAACTTGAAACATTGGAATTTTGGAAGATCGAAAATTTTGAATATTAAATTTTGGGGTTGAAACGACGGTTTCAAAAATTTTGGAATATTGTGAATTACAGGTTTTAAAAGTTGCAAATGGGTTTCTGAAATTTAAGAAATTTTCGATTTCCAAATACTGAAAATTTTAAATTTGGAAATTGCAAAAATTACATACGAAAGATAATGCATATACCACTATTTATTCACCATAATATATTAAGTTCTCAAGCTTCTTTCGCTAAGAACAATTTTAGAGAATACTTATGAGGTATTGACGGATATTTCTACATAGTTACGTATAAATTACAAGTGAGGATTAACAACGTGTGCTTGGAACAAGTTTACAACATCTTGAACTGTTTCAAAATCATCTTCATGCAACTTGCTTATGAGGAACAAAGATGGCCGATCTACACGCATCACCAGAGGTCGCGGACGTTCCGAACGCACTTTTCTCTTCACTGTCATCTTCGCAAATACTGAAAAGAAATTTAATTTCACAATTAAATGTCACCTCTCGTTTGTACTGAACAAATGCAGCAAAAATACAAAAGCTATTCTAAAGTCTACAAGAAATTCTGTGAGGAATTTACAGAACTTATGTTGGAATAAGTTAAAATAAAGAACTAATTTTGTTACTGAAACGTGTTAGTGTAATTGTCACTGTTTTTAGTGTAGTTCAAAACGTGCAATTATTTTTCATGTACATGTGATGCAGTTGTTGAAGGCCAACATCTTACAATCCACAGTTTATATAAAATCTTTTAAATAGATACAAACAATAAAGAATATAAGACATGATGGAATAAAGAAGATTAACGAAACTACTGAAGATTAGAGATATTCGTGTTTGTAAATTTGGAAGTGTTGAAATTTGTAACGTTGGAAATTGTAGGTGTTGAAAATTTGAGACGATGGAGTCTCAGTTTGCAAAACTTAAGGCATTCGAATATTGGAATATCGAAAAATTTGCGGTTGAAACGACTGTTCCCGGAATTTTGAATTTTTAAATTTTGGAATATTGCGAATTTCAGGTTTTAAAAATTTCAAATGGGTTTCTGAAATTTAAGAAATTTTAGATTTCCAAATATTGGGAATTTTAAATTTGGAAATTGCAGAAATTACATGCATAAGATAATGCATATACCAATATTTATTCACCATAATATAAGATATTCATTTTTTAAGCTTGCTTCGTCAAAAATAATTTTAGAGAATATTTATGAGGTATCGGCGGATATTTCTACGTAGTTACGTATAAATTATACTTGAGGATTAACAACGTGTCCTTGGAAGAAGTTTACAACATCTTTGACTCTTCTATATCGGGCTCCCTTTATCTGGCTTACAACGAACAAAAACGGACGATCTACGCGCATCTCCAGAGGTATCACAGGCACCAAAGTCACTACTAAACTTGCTGGCACTGCATGAACAGCTGGAAAGAGATTTAAATCCCACAATTAAATGTCACCTTTCGTTTGCACTAAACTACTAAAGCAGCAGAAATACCAAAGCCATTCTATGGTCTATAAGAATATTGTAAGGAACTTGTGTAACGATAAGAGCTTATTTTGTTACTGAAAATTATCAGTGTAATTGTCACTGATTGTATAATATAAAACATGATTACTCATGTAGGAATAATGATTTTTCACATGATTTTCCACACGAGGCGGAGTAATTCAGATATTTCTCCAACTTCATGTGATCCTCAGCTTAAATAAAATCTTTTAAATACACGTACATAGAAACAATAAAAAATAAAAAAGACATGGTAGAATAAATGTAAGGCAACTGAAAAGGAGTAGAAATGTTTGTGTTTGTAAACTTGAAAGTGTTGAAATTTGTAAATGCATATACCAATATTTATTCGCCATAATATAGGATATTCATTTTCTAAGCTTGCTTCGTTAAAAATAATTTTAGAGAATGCTTATGCGATATCGACGGATATTTCTACATAGTTACGTATGAATTATAATTCAGGATTAACAACGTGTGCTTGGAACAAGTTTATAACATCTTGAACTGCTCCAAAATCGTTTTCACGCCACTTGCTTATGAGGAACAAAGATGGCCGATTTATACGCATCACAAGAGGTCGCGGACGTTCCAAATGCACTCTTGTACTCTGTAGAAACTTCAGAGAAACTGAAAAGAAGTTTAATTCCACAATCAAATGTCAACTTTCGTTCGCACTAAATTACTAAAGCAGCAGCAATACAAAAGCCATTCTATGGTCTACAAGAAATATTGTAAGGAACTTGTTTAACGATAAGAACTTATTTTATTGCTGAAAAGTGTCAGTGTAATTGTCACTGTTGGTATAATATGAAACATGATTATTCATGCAGGAATAATGATTTTTCACATGAGGTAGAGATTTTTGATTTTTCACATGATTTTTCACATGAGGTCTCTACCGCAGTGATTCAGATATTACTCCAATTTCATGTAATCCACAGTTTAAATAAAATCTTTTAAATACATACAAACAATAAAGAATATAAGACATGATGGAATAAAGAAGATTAGCAAAAAAGATTAACGAAACAGCCGAAGATTAGAGATATTCGTGTTTGTAAATTTGTAATGTTGGAAATTGTAGGTTTTGAAAGTTTGAGACGATGGAGTCTCAGTTTCCAAAACTTGAAATATTCGAATTTTGGAATACCGACAATTTTGGGGTTGACACGCCGATTCCCAACATTTTGAATTTTTAAATTCTTGCGAATTTTACGTTTTAACAGTTGCAAATAGGTTTCTGAAATTTAAGAAATTTTCGATTTTGAAATATTGCGAATTTCAGGTTTTAAAAGTTGCAAATAGGTTTCTGAAATTTAAGAAATTTTCGATTTTGAAATATTGCGAATTTCAGGTTTTAAAAGTTGCAGATAAGTTTCTGAAATTTAAGAAATTGTCAATTTTGAAATATTGGAAATTTTCAATTGGGAAATTGCAGAAATTACATACATAAAATAATGCATATACCAATATTTATTCACCATAATATAAGATATTCATTTTTTAAGCTGGCTTCGTTAATAATAAGTTTAAAGAATATTTATGAGGTATCGACGGATGTTTCTACATAGTTGTGTATAAATTATAATTGAGGATGAACAACGTGTCCTTGGAACAGGTTTACAACATCTTCAACTGTTCCAAAATAGTCTTGACGCAATTTGCTTATGAGGAACAAAGATGGCCGATCTACACGCATGACAAGTGGTTGCGGACGTTCCAAATACGTTTTTCTACTACGTTCCACCATTATAAGAACTGAAAAGAAATTTTAATCCATAGTTAAATGTCACCTTTCGTTTGCACTAAACTATTAAAACAGCAGAAATACAAAAGCTATACAAAAGTCTACAAGAGATATTGTAAGGAACTTGTTTAACGATAAGAACTTATTTTGTTGCTGAAAAGTGTCAGTGTAATTGTCACTGTTTGTATAATATAAAATATGATTATTCATGCAGGAATAATGATTTTTCGCATGAGGTAGAGATTTTTTATTTTTCACATGATTTTTCACATATGGCAGAGTAATTCAGATATTGCTCCAAAATCATGTAATCCTTAGCTTAAATAAAATCTTTTAAATACACGTACGTAAAAACAATAATAAATAAAAAAGACATTATAGAATAAATGTAAGGTAACTGAAAAAGAGTAGAAATGTTTGTGTAAATTTGAAAGTGTTGAAATTTGTAATGTTGTATACTGTTTGAAAGAATTGAAACGGCGGTGACTCACTTTCCACCATTTTGAGTTTGCAAGATTCGGAATGTTGACTTTGGTTTGAAATGTTGGAAAGTTTCCACCAGTTTGAGTTTGCCAGTTTTGGAATGTTGACTTTGGTTTGAAACGTTGGAAAGTTCCCACCATTTTGAATTTTCAAGTTTTAGAATATTACAATTTTGGGTTTTGAAAATTGCAAATAAGTGAAATATTGAGAATTAAAAAATTCTCAACCTGAAATATTGGAAATTGTAGAAAATTCATACATAAGATAATGCATATAATATTTAGTCGCCATAAGATATTGAATTTTCAAGCTTCGCTAGAAACAGTTTTAGCACTAAAACTACCAAACCGGTCAAATGACCGCTGCACAAGTTTCTTATCATAAGATACACATTTTGTTAAAATCCATTCCTTGCAATCATCATTGATTTTCATCAAGATAAAGAATAAATGTGTGTACTAATTTATGTTTCGTCATTTGTTTATTTACTTTTTCATTTCATTTTTCATTTCAAAGAAAGTGCGCATTATATGCCGATAGGTTTAGTGTTAGAGAATATTTGTGCGTATATAATTTTACATAGTTACGTATAAATTATAATTCAGGATTAACAACATGTCCTTGGAACAAGTTTACAACATTTCCAACTCTTCTATACTGGGCATCCTGTATCTGGCTTATAATCAACAAAAATGGCCGATCTACGCGCATCTCCGGGGGTGGTGGAGGTGGCAAACCTGGTGCTGCACTCAATGCAATCATAACAGCTGAAAAGAAGTTTAATTCCATAATTAAATGTCACGTTTCTTTTGCACTAAACTATTAAGGCGGTGCAAAGCTTCTCTACTGGCTAAAACAATTCTGTAAAGAATTTTATTAATAATGCATTTTTAAAGTGTTGAAAAGAAGTTTGAAAAGTGTTAGTATAGTCGCTGGTGCTAGCAAAATAATGTGCAATGATTTTTCACGTAAGATTCAGATATTCCAGGTCAACTTAACGTAATCCACAATTACGTAGACATTATTAAGCACAATATTTCAGGAACACATCACACATAGCAGAAGTATGCAAAGAAAAATTCGTTGAAATTCATGGATATGATGAGAGACCTATAAATACGTATAAATAATTAAATATATTAAAGACATGATGGTATGTGGATTTGTATCACATACGTAAAATAATGAATATACAAATATTTATTTAACATGTTTTGTTGAATTTTAAAAATTTTAAATGTGGAAAAATTTTTCCTTATAGTGGCAAAATATAAAGATGGACTTTAAAGAACCTGTCTTTAAAGAACCTTGATATAAAAATAAAAAATGTTATAGACACGATGGCTTAAAAGTAACGATGTTGCAAATAAAAGCTTTGAAACTTCGCATTTTGGAAATTTTAATTTTTGAAAATTTGAGAATTTGAAAATTTGGAAATTCTGAATTTTATAACGCTGGAAATTGTGGTGTTTGAAAATTTGAAAATGCTGGATTTGTGGACACGTGAAAAGGAGCCTTTTGGATTTTGAAATATTAGAAATTTGAGAGTTTGAAAATTTGGAAATTTTGAATGTTGAAACGCTGTAAATTGTGGTGTTTAAAAATTTGAAAATGCTGGATTTGTGGAACCGTGAAAAGGAGTCTTTTGGATTTTGAAATATTGGAAATTTGAGTTTGAAAATTTGGAAATTTTGAATGTTGAAACGCTGTAAATTGTGGTGTTTAAAAATTTGAAAATGCTGGATTTGTGGAACCGTGAAAAGGAGTCTTTTGGATTTTGGAAATTAGATGATTTTGAATTTTGGAATATTGGAAGTTTTGAATTTTGGAATGTTACAAGAGAAATTTACAAACTTAAAATCATTCTTTCAATAATTTACGAGTTCGACTACTGTACATTACTATTTAACAAATACAAAATTTTCTTATAAACAGAACTAAAATTATAACATATTAACATTAACTACACAAGAACTATTATTCAAAATTAGTAACATGTCCAGAAAATAATGTTATGACATCTTGAACATTTCCATCTTGGTTTTTATTCTCTCTGTATAGAAAGAATAAAAATGGCCGATCAACGAACATCGTCACATAGGAAGGCGGAGCAGAAAAGGTACGGTAGACGAAAATTGCACCTAGAAAAAATATTTATTCCTTGCATTAAATTGTATATTTTATATTACTAAATGACAAAGAAATATACTACACAAAAGCGTCAATTTTGTTAATGATTCCCCGGAGAATTAATCAAGTTACTGAAAGCCATTAGTACAAAATCGAAGCTAACAGACAGATGACATAATTGATCACACTTTTTTTTTCTAATGAAACAATAATTCTTATAATGTTGTGAAACCTATAAATATTTGATAAACAAGACATTATTAATAGGACATAACGACTGAATTTGAATATTTATTGTTAGTAAGAATACGTATACACATTTGATCGCTGCAGCTCTTTAGATGATTGATGTTTCTTAATAATAGCCATGATGAAACATTGTAAACTTCATGCATTAAATAACGATCGAGTATCTTTAACTGTCATTAATTTTCCAAGAAAACTTCTCTGAACTATGTAGATTTATAGGTATAAATTAATTGGAGATGCACGAACAAGTGTTGGTCATATTAATTTATTGTTATTAATTATTGAAAATAAAATATTTGCAATTTTTTAGTTTTTTAATTGGTTGACTTTTCAAAATATTGGATGTGGAAATTTGAAAATTTAGAGATTTTGAATTTTAAGGTTTTAGGGGTTTAGAGTTCTGCAGTTTTTAAGTTTTAGGAGGTTTAGGGTTTTAAAGTTTTTGGGTTTCAAGGTTTTAGAGTGTAAGGTTTTGAAGTTTTGGGGGTTCAAGATTAGAATTTTGGGGTTTTAGGGTTTTAGAGTTTTAGAGTTTTAGAGTTTTAGAGTTTTAGAGTTTTAGAGTTTTAGAGTTTTAGGGAATTTAAGGTCTTAAAGTTTTTGGGTTTTAAGATTTTAGAGTTTAAGGTTTTAAAGTTTTGGGGTTTCAAGATTTTAGAGTTTTGGGGTTTTAGAGCTTTAGAGTTTTTGGGTTTTAGAGTTATTGGGTTTTAGAGTTTTTGGGTTTTAGAGTTATTGGGTTTTAGAGTTATTGGGTTTTAGAGTTTTTGGGTTTTAGAGTTTTTGGGTTTTAGAGTTTTTGAGTTTTAGAGTTATTGGGTTTTAGAGTTTTTGGGTTTTATGGTGTTGGGGTTGTAGAATGTTAGGGTCTTAAAGTCACAGAGATTTGGAGATTTAGAGATTTAGAGATTTAGAGATTTAGAGATTTGGAGATTTGGAGATTTGGAAATTTAAGAGACTTAGCGAATTAAAGATTTAGAAATGTAAACACATAGAAACTCAGAAATGAAGAAAAATTAGAAATGTACAAATTGGAAAACTAGAATTTCAGAAATATTAAAAATTCCAAATACTTCTCAGAATTCTGCTGTTTCCTTGATTGCCGACGGTGGCAATATAACACTAATGCACTGTACTCACTGCTCATCGCCATTATACATTTGACACAAACGCCCTACAAGGAGAATCAAATAAATCTGACAATGAGCCGCACAGTGGTAAACAAAGATAAAAACAAACTTCCGTTTGTTTTTAAAAACAAACACCATCATTGTCACTATTATTTTTGACAAAAATCTAATCTCTACAGATTTGTTTTCAGTTTAATCGGCAACACTTTTTCATTTCTGTAAACAATACATATATTTATATTTTTCCAACACCTTTACAAAACATCTTGTATAAATCAATCAATGGCAAACTGAGGTATTTAATTTAAATGCGAAATACTTTAACATGTTCATGTATAATTAAACCTGAGTTATATCATTTTACATTAGACGAACATATACATAATACTCGTAAACAGTAATAATTTAGGTAAAACGTATGGCAACATTATTATAGCAGACTCTCGTTATATGACCGTTTTAAGCGAAAAATAAAATGAACGCTGACAATATTCTCTACTGGCCGAAAAGCTTTCTTTTTCGCGCGGAAAAACAAGCATGCGTGCAGGTGCGTGCGAACGGCAATATAACGAGAGTCTACCGTATTTTGAAAAATACAGTTTTTATATTTTGGGTTCGGTAACGTGACCGCTGAATAATGATATGGCGGAGGACGCATTGCCTAAATCGTCTTTTGTGTCTTTTACAATGGTATAGTAAAATGGACGGTTAACTGAAAAATCCATAGGAATTTCCAAAGACAGTTTCATCATAATGACACCTGAAACAAAGTAATGAATCGCATGGAATTTAGCTTCTTTTCATATATCGCATTTTTTGCGAGGAGGACAAATTTGAAAATTTGACATTCAAAAGATCACAAATGCTATAACTATTTACAGTGATTAATCATTTTTAAGGCCACTTTAATATAAACTGAGAATTACAAGAAAATTACGGACAATAGTTAGACGAACAAACGTAGAAACATTGAAAGGTCAAAAATGCAAATGTAGATTTTTTGAAGATTAAAAAAGTGTTTTAAACTTTGTAAATATTTGATTCTTTTCAAAATCTGAAAATTCAAGAATTTAAAAACTTGAAATTCTTATAGGTTCTAAATTTTCCGATATAAAATCCATGCATCTTCGAATATTTCATAGTATCTAATATTTGAAGCGTTTATACTGAAAGTTTTTAAAGCACCATGTATACTTAAAGCGCTATATATAAGCAAACATTTAATCTTCAACCTACCTGAAAAATCATGTTAAAGTTGCAAACATAATTCAAAAGCAAAACTGCACCATATCACATTGTCATCGAGTATTCATAATTAACCAAACATCCTCATTGCAAACAAACAATGAACATATAAATAGCACGTGTTATTTAACGAAATAAACAATGTACATACATATACATAAAACATGAATAAAATAAAAATTTGGAGGAATGACAAGTCCGAATACAGTTGATAGAATGGCTGATTTGTAAGCCGCCATTTTGCTGAGAAACGCGCGGGAATTTCAAATGCACTTTACTGATGTAAATACCGATGTCAACTTACGAGTTGGCGTCGACCATTATTTCGCACTTCTGCTTAAAGATTTAAAATTTGTAAAAGAATTAAAATTTGTAAACATCTTATTTTGCAAATTCCTTAATTCTTCAATGTAAAATTTCGAAAATGAGTTCATTTTAAACGCATGATCCAGAACGAGTGGATCCTCGTTCATAAATATCAACTCAATATTTAATGCACAAAATTTTATTTCTGTATAATACATCATGCAACAATTTTGTAAATAAAATACTTCATTCTTATAAAATTATTTTTACTACTCTAAATCTTTGGTTACTGCAGACTAGACCCCATTTTATTATTCATCAAGACATTTGACCAGATATGCCATCCTTCCACAAAGATTGTACAAAATTGAGTAAATAAAAACCCAAATTATTTACCAAACAATTTCACAAAAAGGAATTCGAGCCTATCTGGGTTAATGTGTGCGATTGTCTTTAGACAAACATACACAAAACAGCTAAAATAATTAGTTAACACTGGGTTCGACAATGTGTCCAGCAAATATAGAAATAGGTGTTTGTTCGTTTATATGTCTGACGATGTTATACACAAAGGGACGGTCAATGATCACATCCGTCTGGTATGTCAAACAGCGTGCTTCAAAAAGTACTCCTGGAACAAATTTTAATAATATCCGTAACGATCAGACTGGGATATGAAATAATCTTTCCATCAAGCTGTTATGATACGATGCCAACGAATACTATGACCAAATTTGACAAAATATAGACAATACAGGCAAAACTAATCAAACCCAATGTCATAATGTTTAAAAGATGAAATTTTGTACTTATTAATTTAGTCGTTTGCTAAGTTCAAATAATTTCTGTGGGAATTATGTATGGCATAGATTCTATAGGTTAGGTTACTAAAGTGGACCGCCATTTTGAAGACAAAACGCGGGACTTTCAAATCAAGTGTATACTAAGATGTGTATATGAAATTAATACTTCTTTATTATCAAACAAAATAATTTCTAAAAGGAGCATACAATTGTTCAAAGATACACTGAGTGTTAAAACTGCTTTATCGCACCAGTGAAAAGCGAGTTTGCATTAATATGTTGAATAGCGAAGTAAAATGGTTTATCGACAATAAACATCGTAGGTGAAAAATCGGGAAGACCTGGAACAATCGAATCTAGCACCATGCCTAGAAAGAATGACACATTTATACTGAACTATAAACAATTAACTTAATTCAAAAAGCTCCTATTTAATTTTCAGTATTACTAGAATTTCATATTCACTTATGACAAATATTCTCTTAAGTATTTTCAAGCTATTTTTGTATGTCTTCCGTAACAACTATAAACATCCTACTTGTCATTACATAATGTAACGACTACTATTAATCAAAGTAGTTTCCACTTTAAGAAATGAAATAATTGCGACACGAGGAAGAAGATGATAAAGTGCAACATGGTATTTCCCTAAGCAAAATATTTGCGAGCTTATAATGATATCAAGAAGCTACAAAGTGAGTACAACTGCAGCGGTGAATACACAATATTCTACCAGATAATTCCCCGTTTCCGAGGCTTAAATAGACAAGAAACGAGGAAACACCGAATGTTAATTATGAGTAAGCTTAACAAAAAGAAAATATTTATAACGTATCTTACAATATTTTAGTGAAGTGTATGAGTGACGACAAACTTTGATATATATAAAAAATCATTTATTCCAATCAGTCGAAAACAGCTTATTATAAAACTAGGGGACGGTTGGCAAGATAATGCACAATATGAGATATATTATCGTTCCTGGCTCAATTGGGCATCGTAGAATTTTACGAAACACACGTCTGGACGACAGAGCCACAAGAACGCGAATACGCATTAAAATATCGTCTTAGTTTAACATAAAAAAGAATAAATATCAATACTTGGCTCTCGCTATAAATACACTCATATCGCGGTATATAACGAACGACAGGAATGGTCGATTGACGTGGAACTCAATGGGCTTCGGAGGTGACCAAAAGCTCGAAAGAGGCCTTACACTGATACCTGCCACAAGCAATTAATATTGAATTATACTTGAGATGTAAGCGCAAACAAATTGGGGAAAATGATGTCCATTTTTATGCCAGAGTATATTACAAACAAACGAAAAATAACTCCACCCAGGTGAATATGAAAGAAGGAAAAGAACGAAGTAAATTAAATTTAGGAAAAACCATGGTATAATAACAAATGTTATCCTTGCAGTCGCTCGTTAAGAGTAATAATAATTACTCTACCAATGGGGACGAAAAAAGCATAACCTCAATTGCTGCAAAAAAATTCTTGTTGAGAAAATGATAGTGTTGTTTGCTTTGATACTTCAATGATCTTTCAACTCGTTTCGTTCTTCCACTCTCTCTTTCGATTCGCTTCAGATCTTATCAAAAACTGGGATTTGATCGTTAATATTGGTTAGAATTTAATTCTTTACGAATTTCTTGGAACGATATTAATTTGTTTGATCAACACGTACCATCATGCAAAATATACTTTCAGATACAACCGACTTTTCTTGGTTATAAATGTTGCAGGATGATGGGGCTCTCACTTACCTGCAATGTTGGGAAAATCTAGGGAAAATCTGAAGACATCCTACTGAGAGAGGGAAGAAAAAATATTTCATATGGATAAGTATAATATAAGTATAAATATATGGATAAGTATATTAATTGTCAAATCATATTTATCAAATATTTACTAAATAGGTTATGTTTGCCCATATTTCCCTTATGCTCTCCCTAAATTTCCCCTAGGTTAGCTCCCAAGATTCATCCAACTTACCTTTTCCCTACCTACAATAAGGTTGTACATAACAGTACATAGCAATGGTTTAGGTACAAGTAAATTCATTGTGCTTTTGGTGTATTATTCCTACATTTCAGTTCCGCATTATGCATATGAATATTCAGTATTTCAATTAACTAAAGTAATGCTGATACACACTGTAAAAACGTGTGCAATAGGAAACATGTTTTACATACATACCTACAAGATACTATATAAACTCATTATAATGACTAGTGAGTTTTTATGTAACTTTTCAAGTTATTGCATTATCTAACCAGCTTGTATAGTTTAATATACTTTATGTAAAAAGACAAGAGGACCTTGATACGAGATACCCATTGTCTTCCTCCATTTTTATAAGAAAATAGAAGAAATTCATTAGTATCTCATGGTAACAATTCCATAGAACTCAAACAAATGCTATTATATAATAACAATGGAAAAACACATTCAGAGAAGCAATACAATACCACACATTGCAGTACATTTACATAGATTTACATGGCATATACATGTGAATACATGTAACAAAAAAGATGTACAAGGAACATTCATAATGTGACAATCCAATTAGAATATTAATGTAATTCTAAATTACTGTAGATAATTTATATCCACAAATAAGTTATTCCTCCAAACTATTTAAAAGCAAAGAAATAATATAAAATCAAGCCGTGCAATGAAATTGTGCAAAATATGATTTTAAACATTGATAAAAGAAACTAAAGCTATTAAAAGAATATTCAAGAGCTGTTTTGTTTTCTAGCTATCTTGTTTGTACAATTCAACAGCCCCAATCAGTCATTTATATCATTTTCCTTATAGACATCACAATTAATGATCTCTACTCAAGAGTTTACATACAACAGTGAATATTTACTACTCAAAATGCTAGTTATGCAGATATGAAATTTCAATTATGAGACTTTTAAAACATTTAAGATACTACTTCTCAAAAATTTACAATATATATAAACATTTAGAACTTTAATATTTATATATAATATTTACATGTTTAAAAAAATAGTTTGCTGTATCGCCGCACAAAGGTAAAAATCTGACTTACCGGTAGCAGCAGCTGCTTCGCTTCCTTCTTCGTTCACTTCGATAAAGGCTTTTTGTACAACCTTACTAACCATCAGTGGAGCATCAGCAATGCCGGAGAAGTTAGCACGTGGGGTAAACATATCGGTTAAACCCAACTGTAAAAGACAGAAATCAAAGAGATTGAGAAAACTGATTTTGTTGTGATGCCATTACAATTTCATGGTTAGGTTAGGTTAAGTACACAAATTAAGTACACAAATGTATAACATACCTTGCATAAAGGTTCTTTCAGTTCCATTTTACTTTCAACTTTGAACTTTGGTAAATACAAATGCACATCACGTACATATCCCTCATTTAGGATATCCTTGATATTTGTATTTTGTAATTTTTTTTCAACCTCGGCTAAACCATTGATTTCATTGGGAAGTATTATTACCATACTAAGTTCATCTCCCTAAAAAATTGAATTATTCATTTTTATATTTACAGTAGCAATGCATTAACAATACTAATATATTATTATGTCATTAAGTTACCTTGTATGGTAATACAATGAATTTAGCCTGCAAATTTGGAAGTTCTCCATATCTGAAACTACTTTGTACAAACATTGTTGGGACATCTTTTACTGTATCTGCATTAATATGGAATGGCCTGTTTTTCGTGTTTTCAGGATCAAATTTCTTTTTCCATTGGCCTTTAAAGTATACTGCATTGACAAGTACCATAGCTGTACTTTCATCCAAATCACCTATTCAAAAGAAAATACTATTATAAAATTTAAAGTTATATAACTGTGAACTTCTTTGTACCATTTGTAGTTCCATAACAGATGATAACTTTTTAACATGTTACTACAGATGTTATACCCAAAATTACTAACCAGGACTAATAATATCTTTAATACGATTATTTGTATTTTGTTCAACCCATTGATTAATAGTGCTTGCAGCTTCAACAGACTTCGCAAAATTTACAAGCTGAGTAATAGAACGGAAGTAAGACTCTGTTAACTTTTTGTACTCTGGGTTAACAGAGAATTTCTCAGCAGCAAAAACTTTATTAGCAATATCAAGTTTATTTTCTTTAACACTCTGTAATAGAATAAGTATATAATGTATAATTGAGATAACGGTAGATTCATTATGTCAAATAATAACTATTGTTGCTACATACATTGAGATTATCAATAAGTGCTTGATAGCCAGATGTACCAAGACTGTCTGGTGATGGAAGATGAAGTACTTTTCTGAATTGATTTTCTGTTTCACCACGAGATCCATATGCTGCCATAGCAAGGACAATAGCTGCACTGAGTGGAGACATTATGAGATTATCAGAATTCTGCTCTGCCACAGTCTAAAAATGATTTATATTGTTATAAATAACCTGTTTATTTTAAAATGCAATTTTTTAATTTTCTAATGCATTCTTCTACCTGAAATAGTGCAGATGAAAATTGATTTGATCCTTGCGAAACAGCACTAAGTGCTTGGCTGACATTTTCTGCTTTTGCCATTGCTATTAAAACAAGGCACACAACACCCAAAAAACTTTCCTTTACTGAAAAGAGAATAATAATATAAATATTTCATATTAAAAAAAATACTGCCAGGACTTTTAAGTATTGCATTTAATATTTTTAAAAATATGTAATACAAAATATACATCTGCTAAAATCTATGACCTAAAACAATTAAAATTTTGAATCTTTGAAAAGCATTAAGCTGCAGTAACCTATTGTAATAAGTTATTAAAAAATAATTGTATGTATTCAAATATTATTGTTAGTATTATTATTACTATTTCATGTTATGTATATTATATAACTTAATTAAGTATATTTATTTTATTTGTATTATGTAACATGTCAATAAAGTTGGATCAGAAGTTAAAAATGTTGACATTTGATAACTATAAACAGATAACACATAAAGCAAATATGATATTTAACCCTAAAATGAAGCAAACTGTGAATATGTGTACACAATGTCTTATCTTCTAAAATAATTTGTATACTTTCTTCTGAAGAAATACAATTATACTATAGTTATTTCAAATCCCTATCATAAAATATTATAATAATTAAATATATTATTTAAACAAAAATTGTGTATTAATTTTCAATAATTTTATATTATATAATACTATATGTAATATATGCATAACTGTTGTGGCACAGTTTAACATATATTTAATTTTAATTAAAACTTGATACTTGAAAGGAAACAATAACTAAGTATATATGCTATCAAAAATCATAAAATTTTGGTACATGGCACATGGAAACTAGTTATTTCATAGTATTATAGTCTTTTTAGTATAATATTTGCAGTGCAGTTCTTTTATCAAACTGTAAGATAGCTGTGAAAGATAAATAATTAATGTCAGTGTAAGAACTGGAGATATTCATATAGATACTCATGCATTTATGGTATATCAAAGTTTGTAAAATAATCATATATCATGCAATCAAGGGACTGTGTATCTCACAAATTACATGAATTATTTATATTTTTCAAATGTCTGTATATTATAAATATATATGATGAAATAATGACATACTCCTACAGGAAATATTTTCAGTTCAAAGCTTTCACATGCACGTACCAAACTTGGGCATATTATATTTAGAATAAAAGAAATAATAATTTTATAAATAACATAGAAAGAATTATTTTATTTTGTGTAACATTCAAATAAATAATTTTCAAATAATTTTTTTATTTCAATTAATTAAATAAAATGGCAAATAATCTGACACTCAAGATGCACTAAAATTATTTATTTTGTTAAAATAAATTTTAATTAAATAATTTAGAATAAAATCATCTTCATGTTCAAATACAATAACATAGATTAATCTTTTTTAGTAATATTCAAATAATCATTTTTTAAATATATTTAATTTGAATAATGCCTAAGATTGATCTATGTGAATATAATATACATATTGCAGATGAAAATATCCTACATTCAGTTAGCATATGCTATAATATTCTGTGTATAAATAAATATTATTATCTATAAGAATGTCGATCAAGGTAAAAAAAACAAGTCTCAAAATGATGAAGAGAACAAAGGAAAACGATCAGTATAGATTAGTGTAGCATTTTATATTTCCTCAAAGTCTTCGGGGAAATCCCATTGAATTAGTGACGGATGCAAAATGGGGGACACAGAGGGGCACCCGCGCCTCATAAGGAAACTTTAATTTGTTTATCCCATTCCTTCAACAATTTTTTCTCAAAAAGAATTTCGTATCCCAACATTTCATTTCTCTATTTTTAAAACCCTAATTCAGCAATGATAACGTCTGACTAAATAGAAATAAGAATTAACTTTGTCTTGTCTGTTAAGCTTTTGTCAAGGTTCATTAGTACAACCAATATTTGAAGTTCTTAAGTTCACAAGTCCACAGAATTTATTACAAAATCTTGGAACGAATGGACTGTACATAATTGGTCCTGTTATTTCTGTTTCGTCTTATGACGCGAATGGAAATACCATGATGTACTTCCTATACACAATGCCGCATAACTTTCAACCTCAAATTTGTTATTTGCATATCCTTGAACTATGATCGCAACTTTTGTCGACGTGACAAATATGCGCCACATTTATTATTTCTGATAATTGTAAACATTACAAATATTTCCAAGTAAAAATAACCATCGAAATTTGAAAATTTACTGTTTTAATTTACGTTTAAATTGCTCATGCAAAAATATTTTATTCTCTTATAAGGATACTAAAATTAAAAACTGGTAACCGCACAATAATTAAATAAAAATATTGAAAAATGTATAGTGTTGAAGATTGAAATACAAGGTACTTCTTCAAGGTACTTGATGAAATAAATCATCAAATTTAAATAAAATTAACTCATTAAAATATAATGAAAATTGTGTATAATTTATAGATTTATTTTATGTGGAAAATGTGCATACAAAGTTGTTTGAAATGTTTCACGTGGTCAAACGAAAAAATGCTACAAGTAGAGGTTGATCCTACGATCACCTGTCATAGTAATACTACACACGTGAATGTACTTACATATACGCATGTTGGGATCTCTCCTGGACCACTTAATCGTCTTCAACAGTCAAACGTAGACTGGAAGAAGAACCGACCAACTGAATATAAAACCTTGATAAAGAGCTTCAGGGAAATCCTAGCAGACGAAGAACGAGCCTACCGAGGATCGGTAATATGTGAATAACCAATCACGAAACGCGCTTTCAATTGTTTGTGCGATTGCAAGAACCGATTATCGTTCATTTTGAATCCAATTGGTTCTTGATTAATAAATAGAAAAAAAGTTAAACATAAATAGAAGGGATGGTTTGGCTACCGGTAAGTAATCTCGTCGACCGTTTTCCATTTCACTTTTCCCTGAAAACGAATGTTTTTGTAGTTTTCCCAATTACTGGGAATGCAAAGGTCGGGTAAATACATGTATTATGCGATATATTACTATTTTTGTTTCGCTTTCACTTAACGGTTATCAATTTACGACTTTGTTACTTCTCAGAAGTATTTTCCTGGTTTTGTAATAAATAAGTAGCAAATGTGCATGAAGAGGGCAAACACAGATAATTTTAGCTTGGTATATATGTTAAGAACATAATTTTGAGTAATTTTTCTATATAAATTAATCGACGGTCTATTAAAAAATTATGAAGCATTCCGTTTTGTGCAAGGACATGCATGGACTATAACTATAAATATACGCGGATTTTTAAATTAAATATTAAATATTAAATTAAAAATAAAATTATAAAAATGTAGCAATTATTTTGAATATTGAAAGACATCAGTTCGGACAGATAAGTTAGGTTAGAATGAATCGTCCTTTAACAGGCGATGACAGGCGAGTAATTTATAAAGAAGTTATTCAAGATTATGTCCTTAACATATCAAGGTCAGAATTGTCAGTGAGGTTACATTCTTCATAAACATAATAAACACGCATGCACATATGAGGAAAAATTTTTCAATAAACGAATTATGTATTTCTGCGCATCTTAAACTTAAGATTATTTTTTATACTTTGATATGAACTGCATTATAATAAACATATTACAAATCTTGTTTTTGAACATGTGTAATGATAAGAATTATTATTTTTAAAATAAAAATTAGTTATTTTATTAATATTACATTTATATTATATTTATATGGATTTCGTTAGGGATAAATTTGTGTTAAGGTAAATTTTGTCATATTACTTTAAATACATCTTAAATTTATTTTTATATATGCAATATTAATTATTAATTACTAACATAATTTTAAGGGTATTTCCTGCTACCTTCTAGCCTCCTTTGTTTGTATATGTACAAATTAATAGAAATAATTACCAATGCAAATAAAGTAACAATATTTAAAAAAAAAAAGAATATATTCAAATAATGTATATAAAAAATTTTCAGTGATCATAACAATAAACTGTCTATCATTATTCTAACATTTTAAATAATTTTATGTATATTTAATATTTATAATATTTTAAAACTGCATATAGTCAATTGTTTACTAAAAGAATTAGTCAACATACAATTGTTTACTAAAAGAATTGAAAATATACAAAAAAAGCGTATGAAGAAGTCAAAACAGTTGACCTTGACATTCATACTATCATTTTTTTATTTTGTATTGCATCGATTGGTAAATACATGTTACTCTATCTTTCCTTTTTAATCGACACGCATACTATACTGTTTATCTATGATTCACGTGTGACTCATCTGAAATTTTCACTGCGATCTTAACCGGATCTAACATGACATTAAGTAAATATGCTTACTGAATTTTGAATGGAAGAAAGAAGTCACGAGCCTCCCGCGCAGAAGATCAAGAAATTATCCAGTAGATTATGTATCTATATATGAATAAGTACTAGGTGATATACGATTGTGTGTCACTTACAAAGCATACGTATTTGTGTATGTCTTATTTAGCTGCTCGAAGCTAACTGTTCGCCACGCCTCCCGCGAATAGCCATGAATTTACGAATTCACGAACAGTGCCGAAAGTCAGAAATTTTTTACGGAAGGGGCGAAACTAAAAGTGGGGAAAACAGCCATATTAGTTGCGCGAAATTTTAGCTACACAATTGGTTGATTCCTTGGTTAGTTCTATAAGAAGTCAGTAATAAATGAAATCGCGAATATTATATTTATGGACATACAAATCTTTTATATATTTTAACTTTTCCTATTCATTATACTGTATGTATAAGCTAGTTACGTGGTAGAATTATAAATATATGTGTATGGAACTTACAATTTGTTTATTATGAAAAATTTGTGAAACCACATTTCAAATTACGCGCGATTTCTTTATTCGAGATTCGCTCAACTGGACAACCAATCAGGCAGCTGGAACTGCGTCGCAATAAAATAGCCGGGTACCGGTATTTCTCCCACCTCGTGGAGAAAGTACACAGCAAACAATTCGATAAATCATACTTCCTGTAGATCGATCAATATAGAATTCTGTGAAACGTAACTACGTGAAGTTGGCTTCGATATCTGCCGAAAAGATAATACAGTATTCACCGGTTTGTTAGAATAAAGATATTAAAATCTATGATAGGTTTAAACCTGCGTAAACCTACCATTTAAAATAGCAATTTGTAACCTAATTTTTTCTTAAATAATGATATTTTATGAAACACTTCTGTAATAATTCTGTGACAATTGATTCAATGCATTTTGTTGGTTATACTTCATCAAACAGAAATGTAAATAAAATAAATGTAGCACATATTTAAGAATCCTAAGAACATTTAATAAAATGAAAGTTTACAATTATTTTTTTTTAAAGTGTCTATGTATTTTTTTTTAAGTGTTTCCTTAACCCATCAAGCATCAGATTTGTCTCCAGTTTGAAATTTACATAAGCCGCAACTGTGACGTGTGAACATACGTTATTTTTAAATGGATTTACTGCAGTTTTGAAAATGGGATTCACAAGTTTTGTCATTAAGTCTTTTTTTAATACTTATTTTGACAAATATTTGAATCTTATGTCAACAATTCAGTGAATCGTTGCGTTGAACATTTTAACGAATTAGCGTTAATAAAAATTGCATACAATTTAAAATTCATGTATGTTGTAAACAAATTATCGGGAATTATCGAGCGTATATTAAATTTACGAAATGTATCACAAAGTATTTTACCTGATGATGGACGTGCAGTACTTTGTAGCACAGCTCAAGTGGTATCTTCTGGGTGCGGCTGATCGCAGGACTGAACTGTTCTATCGCCCAATCCACCCACGTAAACGAAGATGTCGTAATCGATAAGATTATTTCAAAATTTCAATTGGTGTATTCTTACACCATGGCCGGTATTTATCCAACCTTCAAACGTAACTGCATGAAAAATATTTATCGTTAGTGTGATGTCTGAAGCCATCCACTTGAAAATAAAATGGAAGCACGTTTACTCAACATCCTAATTTTGCATACCGCTTGTTGAGAACAAATTATGCTTTCTCAAAATATCCGCGATCAATAGTTATACCACGAAGGTGTTTACTCTTGTCGCAACATTTTTCATGATACGGATTTTTCTGACAAAGATCGCAGTCGCATATTGGTTCACGTGGCTCTTGAGGACCCTGTTTGGGAGGACAAGGGGGAGGTTTCGGTTTGGTGTCGCAACAGCAGGGCGCCAAAGGATCCTACATTTTTTATTATAATTACAATTATTAGAAGATGGAATTATTTATTGGTAGGAATTAAAATGTACAATATTAAAAAATATAATTATATTCTTATTTGATGTTATTTAAAAAATTGTGAAAATATTTGTATAAATGTTTTTATGTAAACATTTACCTGCATTCTTATGAAACATTCGGGTTTCATAGACGGACAAACTTTATCGGGAGAATCGTAGGGAGATCTTGGACCTGTTCCTGGAGCTCCAGGTGATCCCGGGTCGTCTGGACCTGTTCCTGGAGCTCCAGATGGATCGTCTGATGATTTTGGACCTACTCCTGGAAATTTTTCTCCATCGCCATCTTCTTCCATTTTTTTTCTTTTGTGAGGACATGCCGATTTTATTTGCGTAGCAGTCCAGTTAAATCCATTATTTACTGACAAAGAATTAATTATTTGCAAAAGAGAATAAATTTATTCAATTATGAATTTAATTGTACAAAAATACCACAGTCGAAAATTTTATCCAACACAGACTTGCATGGTTCACTGTCACCCATAATTTTAGTTGAAATAAGAAATTCTTTCTGAATGTTAAAAAATATTATGACTGTAGAAACTGCTTCATTTTGATGGATAAATTTTGTTCTTAACCAAAATCATAAACGTGAATTTAAAACTAACACCTTAATGCTTTGACTGATTTTCGATTGTTTATAATTATTATATTTGTGCATTAAATTTCGGTAAATTGAATGTTACATTTTATTTAAAGTATCGTAGCAATTTAGTTATACAAAAATATATAAGAACAATAGTTTGTTGTGAAATAATTAATTAGAGAAACTGAAAGTACTTAGAAAATCTCATTCTTGTATATTAAAATTCGAATTTACGCGCGCTTTATGAAAACGATATAACTGGCGTCCTCTAGTGGCGAACTGTTGTACCGCAAAATAAAAAATTATGTTTTCGTATCCAATTAGTGACCTTTAAATAATTTTTAAATAAATATAATATCCTACGATCAACGGAACAAAAATTATGTCGATAATGGTGCTAGAAACGGAAATAAAAATAATTGTATTTTATGAAACTGAAAATGGACCTTGCGTTGTAATGCTGTTCCTAGAATTACGTTTCTGAAGCATAAAGTGTGCAATACAACATATTGCTATTAGAACTAAGCACGTGCTTGTAAAAATTGTATTATTTATCAATTTTGAAAATACCTTTTGTAAATTATGCCTAATATACCTACATATGCCAATGGAATTAGAAACCAGATTCCCCGCGGCCGCCATTTTCCCTAGGAACGTCATTTTGGACTCGAGTGTACACACTGTAATACTTAATAATTAAAGGTTATAACCTATTATTTAAAAAAGAGTAAAAGAAAAATGAATGATTACACAGTAGCATTAGATACTGAAACAGAACTGTTTTGTACATTATATTTATTTATAAATGTACAAAATTCTAATGAAGTATGTAAAAAAGTTATAAGCGGTGAACTTTCTTGTACTATTATGAAAGCATCACTCATAGTGGATCCGTTTCAAGTATTGATAAGCGCAAACAAAGCTGCAATTAATGCAAAAACAAATCAACTTACTACAAAAAATGTACATACGGAAATATTATTTAATTTGTCCATGTCAAAAAATATATCTCGTTCTTTGACTGAATTTGGCATTAGTGATAGTGATAAGAATATATTAATAGCAATAGTACACAAAGCAAACGAAAAACCAACGCCAGATATATTTGAAGAAGCTATAAAAGGAGAAAGAATATCGATATCGAAATTGCCGCAATACACGAATGTTGAGTTAGTAAAAAAGACGTACAAAATTGATAAAGAAGAATTGAGTGTTTCTAACTTAATTAATTCTGTTGTATCTAGAATTAGTAGTAAAGATTTTATATTATTGAAATGATATTAAATTTGTTAAATTATTAACATTTAAATAAAATAAATTATATTTTAGATAAGTTTGGTGAAGTTTTTTTTAAATTCATATCAAAATTATGTGTTGCTAATTTGTATTTATTACTTTATTTGTCTTTAAAGAATTCAGTATTATAAATCTTATAACAACTTAAAATCTATTTTTCTGTTCGCTATTTAGCATATAGTATTCTTAACATTAATGTCACTATTGACGTGAACACAATTTACATTGTCTTTATATAAAATGAATTGTATTTGAATATAGTATTGATACAAAAAACAGAAAAAGGATCTAATGAAAAGGCAAATTAGAATACTTCGATCAAAAGTACTTTTTTCTCTTTTATTCACTCATAAATAAGGCCAAAGATGTGTAGAAAACAATTGTTATATCCGCAAGGACACAGTATGCATCAAATCCTGCGGAAGCAAAGTAGCAATTTAAGGATAATACCCTTAAATGCATACAAAAGCAATATAATATTGACAGTTTGTTATGTATACCTTGGCAAACCACACATTTCACACATTGCAAAATCTGCTGCATTGAGAAAAGTGCAATGAGAACAAGTCCAAAGCGTTTGATTAGGAGGTGGATTTGCCATTGGTTCTGTACCAACTCCTATTCCGCTTTCTCCCACAAGTACAGGAGATGACATTCTTGAATTACTATCAAGAGATGACTGAGATGAGTGCAATGTTGTTGCCGTTGTTGCAGATATAAGTTGCTCCACTGTTGCCCAATGTTCAGATCGTGCCCATTCTATTGCTTTTTCTTTATCCTTACTGCGAACTGCTTCTAATAATGGTGTCATATGGTCCTATGTTGACAAACATATACAGATATTATAATTATACAAATTATACACTTTTTTAAGAGACACTAAGATTTAACATAAAATACCTTCATTGGTAACATATCCATTGTTGCAATAAAAAGTAGCAAATGGAAGTCTGAAACTGCTTCTAAAAATTCATCTTGATTAAATTGTTGCATATATGAACAAAGCGAACTAAATTCTTGAACTTGTCCATCAACGAGCCTGAGAATAAAATTTAAATTAATAAAAACTTATAGTACACTGTATTGTTATATTTTAAATACATACCTATTTTCAATTGGAAATGGAGTAATATTATCACTAACGTAAAAGGTAAATTGTGGAGTGAGTGGTGTGGATGCAGGTACATCTACCAATAAATATTCTACTGGCAAAGGTCTTGCTAGCCTTGGCACTTCATTTCCATACGAGTCTTTTTCCTAATTGTAACAGAACAAATGAATTTTTTTATCTTTGACTTTTATTTCCATTACTGAAGTACATCTTTAATGTTAATTTATGAATAAACAGTTCAATACAGAAATACATACATAATTTGATAAACCACGCGAAATGAATTTTGAATATTCCCGCCGACTTTATCAAACTGCGCTGATTTAATAATTGCAGTCGCATATGAGAAACTAAAGACCATCGATTAACTTTCTAATCAATATTAAATAAACAATGATTTTGTGCATACATCTGTACACATACATTTCAGTTCAGACATGTTTAATTTACAGACATTGAAATTTTCAAATTTCGCGCCTCGTTCCGCAACGATTTCCCCTAAAGATATGTTATGTCTCTATATTTGCAGGTTCATGAATTTAGTGATAGAGGGCGCAGCAAAGTAGAAAGTGCATGGATGACGCATTTCTAACGGCGAAATCGTGCTGCGTCGATGTAAACCTGGCTTAACGTTCGGACGTAGCCATTCGAGAAATGCGCGCGCAAATGTAGAAGCCGCAGACGACAACCGGCACTGTTTGCCACGAGTCGAACTGAAAGTGCATAAGAAAAAGAAAGGAGAGGGACGGAGAGCGGGAGAGAGTGAGAGAGAGGAAGAGAGAGATAGAGCGTTAGAATCGGCGAGAGGGAGAAAGACACGGGACGAGGAGAGGAGAGCAACAGCGTAAAGCGAGCAGCGCGCGCTGTGGTGTGTGTCGGTCGGTCGGTCGGTCGGTCGTCGCCGCCATGCTAGTGGTTAGTTTAGTGAACCAAACATCATGATGTGGCAAAACGTTCGCACGAGCTAAGACTGAAGTAACGCCGCGTTACCGGCGCGCCGTCGTTATGTTATCCATAATAATTCACAACGTTCGATAACCGTAAACACGTAACGTGAAAACAGTACAAAAAAAGCTTGATAAAAGCTCTAAAGCGACAGCGACGACGAAAACGTCGGGGGTGCTCGATTACTGCGTGCGGAACCGCACAACACTACGTCAATCCCGATGTAAATTAAAGTTAAATTATAGATTCGAGCAAACGTTACGGGGTAATCATCGTCACGGTACGCACGTTAGGAGTGACGAGTGCCAACGATCAGCCTCCATCACGCGGCAAGGAGACGATCACGAATCGTATACACGGTACGAAAACATTTACGGTTCTACGGTCGAACGAAAGAAAGAGGAAAGGAAAGTGTGCCTATATATACACTGTATACATGTGTATGTACTTGCCGATACACAATGTACATATGCATATGTGTCTGTTCGTATATACGCATGTATATACATATATGATGTGAATGTGTGTGCGTGCATGTTTGTATACGTGATAAGGAAAAAGTAGATGCCGCGCGCGCGCGCCCGCGCGTATTGTATACGATTGTGACATAAGAAAAAAAAAAGAAGTATGCATGCGTGTGCATATACGCGGTATATAGGTATAACTGAAAAAAAGCTGTAAAAGAAAGGTAGACTGACAAACAAGAACAACGGTAGAGAAAAGTGTCCGCGCGCAAACAAAAATGGTATGAGCGAGGAACAATCTGCAAATACTCTCGCGGAATTTGCTTGGCACATAAAGTTCGCAAGCAGTTTTTACTCGAACTAGACTTGTCATGAATAGTGACAACGTAATATCGCGTAGAGAAGTTGACGATAAGCTGCACGAATCCATATATCAAACGAGGGTTCTGTCGGTCGCGCGTATCGGTGTCTGAAATGCTTTTGCAAAGAGATCTAACTGTATACGTTTACCTCGTGTTAGCTGTCCCCCCATCTAAAATTTCTATACACTGGTGAAAATGGTAAACGACATTTCAATTGGTCGACATTGCTAGGTTTTGGCGGGACTGTGCACGCATGCGCGATCGAATATGAAATGTCATTTTTTTATGGTTAGCAGCGTTAACGAAATTGTTGCATAATAAGTTTAACGTTATATCGAAGTGTCAGATACGAAGCTAACCTTTGGAAATAAGTGCACAGAGCCAATGTCATGAAAGCGACAATTAAATTTACATTGCATATTACAGAACGGTTTTCTCACAGAAAGAAAAGAAAAGTCAAATAAAATCGGAGGGAAATGTTGTGTTTCTTGAATCGATAAGAACCGATAAATTATACGCGTTAAAGTGCAATATAAAAATGAATATTTTTACATGCATGACAGATATAATATAATGATAGAGAGGAAGAGTCAAGAAGACAGAAAGAAAAACGAAAAAAGAGAAAAGTACAAACGTTCAATCGTTTACTGTTACGAAATAGGTACATATATTAAATTCAATCCTTTTACCGTTATAAATAAATAATTTTATATTTTCTTTACGAATGAGGACTCAACTTGCCGATTGTTTTAATGAATTTCTATGGGATCGAAATAGTTAAAACGTAAATAGTACTTGTACACTTGTGTCTCGTGTCCTTGGGTGTAAGGGTACGACGTATCGGTAAACAACTCTCTTTTATCGTATTTCAGATGCTGGATCCGAGCGTACTGACGGATTTAGAGGAACTGACGCTTTGCAATTATTGCAAGCAGAAATATAACGACGCGGAACAATGCCCGAAATATCTTAGTTGCAAACATTACTTTTGCCTGCGTTGCATAGAAAACAATTTGTTAAAGGGACGCGAGTTGTTTTGCGCACATTGCTGGAAGAGGACGGACCTGGGCGATCAAGGACCGGACGCTCTACCGACGCATTCTTCTCTCCTTGCTCTAACAAACAATTTGTCTCACTTAAAAATTACGATGAATAACACATCGGGGAAAGGCAACGATAAGGAGAGAAAGGTAATGAGAAAAAAGAAAATTCTACTTATTCACATTACGCTAGTCCATGCGTAAATGACAAAGAAAGCATGTGGCTACGAAGCCATATTTAGTTAAATTCTGATAGTAATAGGATTATGTTATGTACCAGTGATGGACAACTGCCCCCGTGAGGGCACGATGCACCGAAGTGCAAGCAACATGCATTCGGGGGCATCGATGAGTAGTAGCTTATTAGCTTTGTGTTTAGTTGTTAGAAGCAAAGTCCCTAAGTCTCCCTAGAATCCTTTTAACATCTTCTTTAGACTTTCCCTAACTCCCCTCTTTGGAGGCTCTCCTTCCCTCTTTAAGTTCTCCTTACTCTTATTCCTTTCTTCTCAGACTCTACCCAGTCTCCTCTCTAGATTCTTCCTAGGTCCATATTTAAGTTTCCCTAACTCTACCTTCAAATTTTTGAAATCATACTCTCATCCTTTTTTCTAGTTTCTAAGCATGAGCTCTAGTGCTTAGCACTATTTCTATTTGAAAGTGCTTAGCATCTAAAACGACTACAATGATATTGTTACAGAGTGAGAATTGTCATACGCACGGAATGCCTTTGGCATTATGGTGTGCGACGTGTTGTGCGGCACTCTGTAGAGCATGTGCCACCCCACAGGAACACCCGGGTCACCAGATCAAATCGCAAACCGATGCCAAAGAACAACTCATATCCGATGTAAGTTCTGCTTACACGTTTTACAAATGTACAATTTTCATGTCAATCTTATGTCAAATGGATAGCAAGTGGTATGTTTATTTGATAGGTCCAGCTGGAGCTAGTTGCTATGGGAAAGTTGTCGACGGAAATTCAAAGGCTGGCTATGCAACAACGGGAGTTCTTGATAAAAGTGCTGGAAGCGTGCGTGACGTTGAAAACACACGTTGAGACTGATCTTCAGAACGGCTGGAGTCATTTCCCCGAGATCACGGACGCTCGTGAAACGCTTGGAAAAGCGAAAGCTAGTCTACAGATGATCGACAATCCCAGCGACGTGTACAGTTTGCATTCGCAGCTCATGATAGAGAAGCAACGATTGCAATCAAAGCATCAGGAAATGATGTTGCAATGCCAACTGGATGATTTGATAGGGAACTCGGGAGTGGTGTTCGATTTCGCGTTATTGAAACAAGCGTTAGCCGGGATCCACACGGGAGAACCGATAGTCTCTCAAGGAGCGAGTAACGGCGGCAGACTACCGAATCACTTGGCTGCTTCGCAAAACCCGATACTGTTCCTCGCTAATTATTGCATGTCGCAGCTATATTCGAGGCACGTAGTTAGTAAGCAACACATGCAAAATGGTTCTATAGAATATCATTCGAGCATGATGCAGCCGCAACCAGCTCCGCCGGGTTCTGTTCACGTACACCAGGGTCCACCAGCATCGGCAACCTCTCAGCAACTGCTCATCCCACCTGGTTCGCCGTCCGTTAAACCCGTTCCGCCCGCACCACCGAACGCAATACTACACCCGCAACAGCAATCGACGTTTATACCGGATGGAGTTGGTACCGGTGGCGGAGGTTTGGTAACCGTCCACTCGTCTTCTCAACCGCCGTCCAGCGGGATAGCAGCGTCTCTACGAGGACCCACGAACCCTTATCCCCTGTATTATTTTAATATCGAAGTAAACGGATCCCCGCACGGTCGTATCGTGATAGAAGTGAGGCCGGATGCAGCACCGAAAATGGCGAAGAATTTTAGCGTGCTGGCAACCGGTGAAGTGGGAGTCGGTTATAAGGGTTGCACGATCTTTCAGTGTTGGGAGGGTGAATCGGTGATCACTGGTGACTTCGAACTGAACAATGGCCGCGGAGGAAGAAGCATATTCGAGGATGGCTATTTTATGCCCGACGACACCAAGTTCCCTGCAGTGAGGGGTGCAGTCGGGATGCGAAGAACGCAAAAGCGGCACGATAATCTCGGCATGGTCGGTTCGCAGTTTCGTATAATACTGCAAGAGATGCGCGGTTTCACGGGGATCTTTGGCCATGTCGTCGAGGGCTTAGAATTAGTCGAGAAGATATCCACGTTCGGCGATCAAACCGGCAAACCTACGAAAAATATTTTAATCACGAAATGCGGTAAGTTGTAACGACGATGCTGTTGCAGTTAGTATACCAGAAAGGTATTAAGGTACTACCCGTATTACGCTTCACGTTCTCCCCCGCTCTAGATAACGAAAATTTTACGATCGTCACGACAGTGTCTACGACATGCGCGCGCGCGTTCGAGCGATATAAAGCGAGAGAAATCGGTTGCCCGGCGAAATCATTGTTGTTACGAGTCGTTAGACACCGTCGTGACTGTTTAGCGATCCGTGAATCGCGCGATGCTCTCCAATACGAGTCGACAGAATTTAATTAACTATTGACAACAGAATTCTAAAGATGTTGAATCTATTTTTAAAACGTGGGCACATAAGAGAAGAAAGAAGAAATAAAGATCCATATTTTGCTACTGATTGAGAATCAGTAAGATTCTGTGTATCTACAATAACGACGATGATCGATGAATACGTACCTCAGATCGATCGTGATATCGATACGACTTCTAGCTGTACGACATATTTGTTTTAGAAAAAGTTCGACGTTTATTTTGGCTATTGGCGTATTGCTACGTATATAGTTGATATAGAAGGGATAACGCACGGGATTCGGGGGAAGTACCGTGCGCGATAACGGCGTCGCCCCTGCGAGCGTTGCTAATGTTTTAGATAAAATTAGATAGCGAGAAAAATAAGCAAACGAAAATAATAATGCGTGTAGATTGAAAGGGAATGCGTACGGAAGAATATTTGGGGGCAAACTCGTACACACATGTGTGTATAGAAGATATACACGTTCGTATATTTGTAAAAAGGAACAAAAAAATCACACAGAAGCGGGAACGTTTTTTTCTTTTTTCATTTCTTTTTTTTTTTCTTCGTTTTATAACCGAAATGCGTGACTTCGTGAAAAGTCAAAAAACAAACAAAAAAATACCGTGATTCCGTAATACGCAGGTCGTTTGGAAACGTAAACCGAAAGATGCGTCTAGGGCCAATTCTATTTCGTCCGGTTTAACGGTCGCGTGTTGTTCCGTTTTAAATGAGAGAAAAGGAGCTAAAAGGGAATCGGTAGATGACGCGAGAAAACGAGTCAAAGGAAAATTGCGGTTCCTATCGAACGACTCGACGGATACTTCTTCCCTTTTCGCTCTTTCTGGTCTAGTATACCGTCGTAAATTAACTGTATTTAAGATTAGATCTCAACATGAAAATGTATACAAGGCCTAACTACTACTAAGTAGATTTTTAAGCCTCGTCGTCTGATCCGGGAACGAACGAACGAACGAACGAATACATATTAGAAACAAAAAAAAAACACAAAAAAAAAATAACGAATCATTCCTCGATGCTGTATATCGAAAAATACTACGATAATGTAATATCGTTGATGCTATTCGTCTGAGTCCTTGTAAATCCCATCGTTATGTATCGTATTACTATGTGCTCGTGTGCGGAAAGAAAACGATAAACGCGTCGCAAAAAAAGTGTTCTGTAATGTCGGAGCGTATAAACGAAACGCACTCACGTACTGTAGGAAAAATGCACGCCCTCGACGTCGCGAATGCCTTTTTTCGAAGAAAGCCTCGTTCGATGTTGAACTTGAAAGTTTTAACACTTGTTAATTAGCTGATGTCGCGTGTTGCTACGCCAATGCGTCGCATCACGACGACCTAAGTAATCGCCGTTTAGAACGTAACACTGCGTAATAAAAGAAAAAAAGAAAATACGTTTGACGATCGAAGGGTGGTCGAGCTCGAATGAATTTCACTCGTTTCGGTCTTACGATGAAACAATCGAAAAAACGTCAGTCTATACTTTCGTGGATGTCCATGCGTGTGCGTGTGTGTGTGTATGTGCGCATATATGTATATACATATACAGGGCTGGCGCGAAGCGGGTTCACAACATTCCCCGGAACCCGGTCTTAATCCGGAATTACTTTCATGGTCCGTGGATACCTCACGCGATTAGACTGCATTTGAAAGCATGGGGGGTAAATCTACGTCGTTAGAACTTACGGCTTACAGGGAGTAGATGTACAATCTCCGATCATTATGTCTTAAAAGGCTCCACGGTCCATTGAATGTCAGGCGTTAATTTTGCAGGGTTGTATATATGTATGGGTACTTATGCGATTTATAAGTTCCTTGGAACGTTTCAAGTTTGGAGCATAATTAAGCGTTTCAACCTTGAAACGTTCTAAGTTTAACCACCTCGAGTTTAAAGCGTTCCGAACTTGAGGTTCAAAGTTTAACTCAAATTTGAAGCGTTTCCATTTGAAGTTCAGAGCGTTCCAGATGCATACACATAAATTTGACCCTGCAGAATGTTGGGACCTGGTTCCGTAAATGTTCGCACCGGTCCTGCGTATATAAATTTCTGTTTACCGAAGCGAGCGAAGCTAGAAGCCCACCTGTATACATAAAAATATTCACGCGCGCGCGTATTATATATATACTACATATATTTTTATGAACGTGATGAGGTAACAACGCATAGCTTGTAATATCGATTCTAACAACCGACGGTTTACCTTGCCCCTCGCGTTCGAATTAAACGGTTGAGCGGCTATAATTTTGGATAAGTTTTTTCCTCGTATCTCTTTTGTTTCATCTTTCATTATTTTTTTTTTCTTTCTCCCTTTCTTCCTATTTCTCGTTCACCACTTTTTAAGTTAAGGGTGTAATCGTTATTATACGGAAAATTGAGATCGTTTTTGTTTACGTGGCCTACGGTAGCGAACATCCGTAGTGCACTTGCATAAACAGTTTTATTTTTTCATTTATACATGTACGAAATGAAGTTCGTTGCCCAATTTAAATGTAATCTATCGATTTTGGGTTATAAACTGTTTCTCTTTCATCTGCGTCTATTTTATGCATACCTTTTCACCTTTCTTCGCATTATTGGCGCGAAATGTCCGTTTACAATGAATCGAGACTACATCGCTTAACTTGATGTAGAAAAGTAGCTGAATGTATTGGGATAAAGTCAATTGTACTTACCTTATAAAAAACATCCGGAACATACTGTTTATCTGTTGATTCGATTACATATCCCAATTCTGGCGCATCCTTTGTAGGAACCAAACAGCCATCTCGCACTAATGCCATACATTGATTAGATACTTGATAACCTTCCATATGAACTTGATTTTTATCGTCGCCTGTAATCGCGAATGCGTGTTATTAAACAAAAAAAATTTATCACGGTTCATACAACGACACGGTTTTATAATGATGCGATATAAGCAACTTACCAGTAACGCAAACGGTAACAAATTTTGAGCCAAAATAATTACTAGGAGAGAAACGGCAGGGATTTGGATACTCGTTTTGAAAATACCCAGCCATAATGCATTCTTGAGCAGATAAAAAGTGACTTTCTATATTTCGCACGTGTTTCACCTGGATAAGTTAAATTCGTGCTAGTGATTTCAATTCGTAAGCAAAATGAATTACAAATTCTAGAAAAATTTACCGTTCCTTTCTTGACATCGTCAGCTATAAGGTCAGTAAAAATCCATCCAACTTTTCTTAGATTAAGTAAACGAGCCAATTCATCGACTAACGCTTTCCTTTCGTCCGGTAAAAGTCGTATAGTGTCTTTTGTACTTTCCTAAAATAGTTACAGCTATATACATCTATGCTTTACTATACATTATAGTTACTTTTGACTTGCTTCAACTTACCTGTGGAGGCTCGTAAATGGCTGCAACAACGGCTCTGATCCCTAACGGAACATCTGTATGTATTTCGTATCTTCCATACAAATATCCGATACGTTGGTGACCAGTGTTGCGCCAGTAATTTAAAAAACGTTCGACTAAACTTGGATTCTCAAACATGACGTTGTCTACGTGTCGATAAGTTTGACGATTTAAAGTAATAGAACTTGGTTGACATTTACTACAGATACCTCGAGGCCAAGGAGGATGATCTTTACAACCAGTCTTTACACGGCAGCTTATGTCATCTAACTGTATAAACTTCCCTCTATAAAAGACATAAAGATTATACTCGGAAAATATAATACAACGTAGAAATTTATGACATACCTATCAGCACCAGCAGTGAGCTTCTTGAGATACGAATGAAAAGATAAATGTTTGATATTTTGTTCTTTAAGATAAACTTCGTCAAAAGGTTCTAAGGGAGAACAATGAACACAGCACCCATTTGGACCATGTCTACATCTGTTAAATAAATTCTTATATTCATAACTTAATTTTATATAAAATAATATACATATATTTATATTTACTTACAGCTTTTCGTCACGTTTTCTCTGTATTTTACCATCAAGTTTCCGTAATTGTTCATCAACCTCATCCTCAGTTACGCTTAAATTTGGTATAGATCGTGATGTTGTGGCATTGCGATTCGTAGCTTCTGTTGTATCCATTGATCCTGATTCTATTATTCGACATAAAGATATTAAATAATGCTGTGAAGAAGTAAAAGAACCAAATAAAAAAGCTGATAGTAACCTTGAGAAATGTCTATAGAAGCATTACTAGTCGATGGAGTACTCCATACTTCTGTACCATTAAGGGGAGCTAGATATAACATGTCCCCATGAGAAAGTCCTATCCCTGAAACTGTTCTGCTACGAGTAGATATAAGTTCATCTTTGAGATTTCGTTGTCTATAGAGTCCAAATCCAAAGCTATTTAATTCAAAAGCATTGTAAACCTAAAATTGTTACAAATTAAATACTATTCTTATTTGGATTATAAACTATTTAATGTCTGCCAATAGTTAAAATATAAACCTTTTCAAATAATTGAGAAATTGTGTCGGAAGGATGTACATCTATACGTTTTGTTCCCTCTGAAGATTGTACACGCAGAGTCTGCAAACACAAACATATTAACAAAATTAGAAACTATTATGTTTAATGTTGTTTAAGATTCTTGTAAACTAATTCACTATGACAGGTTATATTTCTTTTAATAATATCAAATAAATGGGTATATATACAAAAATATTACACAATGCCTTCATACGTATGAAGAGTTACGTATGAAATAAAATGAAAGCAAACATTAATAATATATTTATATAATACTTTTAATTATTTATATTGTTTAAAATATTATTATGAGAAATATATAACAAAAATACTAAAGGAAAAGTAGAAAAACATTTGGAAACTTTTAACAAGTCACGTTAATGACACCACATAAACTGCAAAATTTCGTTGATTTCTAAAAAGAACAAATTGTTTTTTTAATGAAACAATGTTTAACTTTTATTAAACAGACTATGTCCACTGGTTAAATAACATTAATCATTTAGTAGCAAGTAACTTACAATTTGCCTAGACTTTGACATTTCGCCGGTGTCGACGAAGCATCAGCTGTTCAACCTCTGTTCAACTTGCTTGCCCGTAACGTTGTATCGCGAAAGTCCCTAGTGAACGCAAGAAAATTGTTGAGTCAACGTCTTGTATTCTAACCTCTTTGCGAATACATACAACAAGTATCGAAAAAAGTTAAGTGTGACGTTCCTTTACCGCTTTCACTTTCAGATTATTTACTGTCTTCTTTAAAATTTGCAATAAGAAATTAGTGGAAACGCCTTTAACGCTCACTTCTACGTTAACGAACGAAATTCGCGCTCCGTCGTCGTTGCACGTCAAAAAATTTGAATAAAACTTTCAACGACTGCACACTACCATTTTATTATTAACAAACGGTAAATTAATGAACACGCGGCCACAAATACAAATTAGGTAAGTTTCTGATTAAAATAAGAAAATTGTCACCCGTTTTCCAACTTGTACAAATTGTACCCTTTTTCCCCACACAAATGAACACGAGTAATACGCTTGCCAATTATCAATTTTTAATTTATGTAAACATTAATTCAGTGTATTGTAATTTTATTTTATTTTATTCCATTACCCTATTTCTACGAGCTTCCAAATTTATATGTGGTAAAGTTAAACGTTACTTTTATGTTTTTTGAATCATCCCGTATTCGCTGAGTAATCTCGTGTTATTTGAACTATTTTGTGCCGTAATATTGGCTCGCTTGCATTTATCTTTCAACACTTTCACTTGTATGTACAGATTTCTTTTGAATGTCAAAATGATACGCGATTGAAATATGCAATTTATAATCTCATTTTTAATCTTTAACTTTTATGAACATGGATTATAAATAGCGGTATAGTTTACGGTACTGTTAGTTACTATCTGCATGTGACTGTGAAGAGTAATTTCTGTTGCTATTATTTTACCAAGTTTATAGCGTGTACAAAATATCGGTAAATATCTTTAATATCTGAAGACATTGACTAAACGTATTTTCAATAATATAGTTGATATAATTGAAATATAGTTTGCGCTGTAAATTGCATAGAATAGAAGAAGCAAATATCATTCAAGTACTTAGTTGTGTAATAAGATGTGTAACCAATTGGTCATGTAAGTCATGAAAGTCTTACATTCTATAAAGAGGTTATTTTGCTTACATTAAATAATTTATATACTAAATTCTTCTTGTTATTATAACAATTTATTTCTTGTATTATTATATAAGGTACTGAAAGCTATTTTGTTATAGTTTTATAACATTATTATTATTATTCCACAGCAATATTTGAATTGATAAGAAGAAAATAAATTATGCGTTTCAAAAATTTCAAATTTCCCGCGCAGCGGGCATTCTCTACTGTCTTGTTTTTTTCATCGGCTTTGTTTATTTTTAATTAGATGATATATGACAAATAATTAACGAAAGTAAATAAAAATTGTATTTAGATTTTTTCTGGATTTTACCTAAAATGTTCACAGTTTCTTCTAATCTGAATTTTATAGGTATAACCTTCTTAGGAACCTGGGGTTCCCCTGAATTTTATTACACTTTGAGTCTCCCTGTTTAGTCTAGTTTTCTTCTAGATTTTTTTAGAGATTTTTCAAAATTAAAAGAAGTAATGGAAGATATTTCTATTTGCACTCAAAAAATGTCTATATTATTATACATAAAAATGTCTATGTAATTATACATAATTATTCCTAAATTAAAATTTCTCTTTCTCATTAATACTGACATTTGATGTTGATCTCACATTCATCCTCAACATCCCTGGGCGTTCTTTGAACCGTTAAGGGGTGTATTTTTGTATTACATTCGTCTTTTAGTACTGTGGTTATTTCCGAGGATGTAGTTGTAGTTCTGTTTCTATCGCACGAATTATTCTTTTTCTAACTCTTTTAACTCATTTCGTGAATCGTCAATTATAATTAACAAGTAATTTTATAATTTATAATTTAACAATCAGTTACCAACTTTTTCTATAACCAAACAGCTCTTATTTTTATAAAACTGCAATCACTTTTCAAAGGCCTTTTTTCTTCTTACATATTAATTTCCCCATCAGTTCGAATCGGGGCTTCCCTCGACACAACACGCATAACACCACTCCAAATATTCAGCGCTTCACTAAAAGCAAAACTTTGTATATTTTCTTATCTCGTTACGATTAGTTATTATCGTTATCTTTATTACTCAACTTGAAGTCATTATATATAGTGAAACTATAAATGTCAGCTTAACAAAAGGATCTATCATTCAAATATAAGAATCTTCATACAAAAATTTGTCTTTTACCATATGTATTTTCGTTCCAATACATTTTTTAACTCGTACGCAAATTCTGTTTAGCGTTCGAGCGGTGGACTAAAAATTGCGGAAAAAGTAAATTCGGTCAGTAAAGGGTTAATGTATCGTTATTGATCGCGATGCCAGTAGGCAGGCGCTGTCTTCGCGGGATGACCCTCTTACCTCTTTACCGTTTCTTCCTGGCAAGAACGACTGGCGCGCCGTGTCTCCGCATTGGTCTCCGACTCTGGCGAAGATTTCGGCGCGATCAGTTGCATTTGCTAACCAGTAGCCATCAAGCGAGAAGAGGTGTACATCTCATACGCGCTGTGTCATCGCCTATTATTGATTATCGTTCGACCGTATTGGCGCGATAACGTCAAATTGTTTCCTAAACCGTTCTCCAACCTTTTAACTGCCTATCGCCATAACCTAATCGGTCCACCTGTTAATATCGTCGATGAAAACAAAAAGGTAGGTGCGTGGATTGTCAAACCTCTTCTTTTCTATTTCACAGTATTTCATTTCCTTTCGGTAGAAACTAACATGTGATTTAGAAAGTTTGTGAAGTAATATTTGTAGTATCTTGTTTGTGTAACGCATAGTTTACTGCAGTCGAAAAGAGCGACGTTCATAAAAACCGCGTAACTGTCGAGTTTGAGCGTGACGTTACAGTCGCCGTGCACAGTGGATGCTGATTCATTCTTCAGAGTGATATGATGAAATGGCACAGAATCGGATATGATTATCATATCTGAAGAGTGTATAAATTATCGTTGGAGATTACGAAATTGAAATAAAGTTGTTGTGTTCTGACGTAGAATCGCTTATTTACTTTATCAGAATCTTGAGTAAAGGTGAGAATTTACGTACATTTTGCAGAATTTGACGTCGGATGTCAAACTTTGCGTGCATCGTACACTATTGTTTGTTGTAAAAAATAACGAGATCAGATGATCTACTATTTCTGCCCAAAAGCGTGGGAGGAAATTGTAAATACGTACTGTTACACGAAAACTGACAGCTATAGAAATCCTGACGTCTACGGATTATACGGTCAAATTTAGATCAACTTCGATGTATCGCTTTGGTTAATCGATTAATTGTTCGCGAAGGACAGTATGCATATTTTTCTGTGTAATCGGTTATGTAGTTTTTTAGTGTTTTGTTATTATAGATGTGCTAGTTTTTTTAGTTTAGATTAAATTATTTTTAGTTTAGATTAAAGTTCGACCTTAGTTCAGATTAAATAGGTAATTTTACATTGATACGAGAGCTTTCGCTGCATCGAACGCTTAATGTAAACGAGTGCGTTATATGCTTGACGAATCAATTAAATTTGGCGCGATTAAATTCGATACAGTTCGACTCAGCGCGATTTAATTCGATATGACTCAACCCCATGTGATTTAATTTTATTCACGATGCGATTAAATTTAATTCGACGCGACTTTAATCGACATTTGAGTCAATTAAATTTGCAATTTAATTCTATACAATTTAATTCGTGGTTCAATTTAATTCGATACGCGGTTCAGTTCGATTTGACTCGACGATATTCAATTCAATATCATTAACTTAAAAGCTATTCAATTACACTTGATTCGACACGGTGCGAGTCAATTTAATTCGATACGATAGAAATCGACGCGATTCGATTTGGCGCGATTTAAATCGATATAATTCGACTCTACGATTCAAATAAACTCGTTTGTATTTGTAATTAAATGCAACTTGATTCAAAGTTATTTTCTGCCTATTTGATTCGATGAATGAATATAAATTTCTGAATTTAATTTGTATAAATTGTTTGCAAAAAAAAACTTGACTTATTTCACGAATTTCACGTTATATTTGAATCGCTGCTTTATATTTTTCACCTCCATCTGAGTTCTGCGCATGATTGCAACATAACCTGCTTTCTGGAAAGTAGTTTATGCCGCGGTATGACGTGCTTTTTGCCCTTTTAGGTTATATAGGTTCATCTTTCGAAACATAAGAATCCAGTGAAATTTATTATAATATAAAAATTCTCTATATTTTTTATAATATAAAAATATAGAAACGATCTGCTTTTGAACATTGAGATATTCAAATTGAAAAATTAGAACACTTATAATAGAATTTATTCTATGGCCAAAAATTAAACAAAAGAATTTTGATAAAAAGTTTGAATATACTAATTCTTAATATATATTAATATATTATACGTAATTCTTAATATATTATACATTTCAATGTAATATTGATACAAAGTAAATTAACTAAAAAATAAAATATGTAAATAAATTTTTTTATTTAATCATTGAATGTGTAGTATTGAAGAGGGGTGTACTTTAGAAAATTGTACTGCAAACAATTTTCGTGTTATACTTGTCTTCCATTTTTTAAGGAAGATTTAAAATAGTACTGGTATTATAATAAAAACCCTCAGCAAATATTTCTTGACTACTGTATAGAAATTTTAAATGTAAAACTGTTCAACTTTAAATGTCAATTAATTAATAAAATTTCAATCAAATTACCTTCATTGTAGTACAGTTCAAGTTTTTGAAACTTCCTTATTTTATATAAAGTTCAGATTTACATTTACATAGTGATTTACATAATGATATCTGTATCATTATTGTTTTATCCAATTAAGTTTTATAAACTTTGTAATTAAATTTTACAAAATTTTATATTCTGTAGATCTGAAAATCTAAGTTCACCTTAAGTCTCTTCAGATTATATCCCTGACAAGGTTATGTAAATCAAGCATCTAAAATTAAATTAAAAATTCCACAAACTTTCTATTCATAACTTATCGATATAACAGTTATTGACATAAATTATTGATATAAGAGCTAGTGATTTACACGAGTACAGGTGCTCCTTGCTTTATTGTGAACGCATCATTAGAAACCGAAAGCGAGCATGTCGGCCGCGCAGGTTAACCTAAAATAAGTATATTTATGTCCTCTGCTCGTCACATTCGCAGTTGACGTAAAGTGGTTTGAAAATTCTTGGGTTCATAGAAATAAAACTAATTAGTATTCCCTAATTCATTACTCGGTAATTCCCTCGTCAATCGATGAATCGATTTGAACGTCCATTAGTCGATTTTGATGCAGCCAATCGGCTTCCATTTACGTAACGATACTTCACGCGGGAAATGCACAATGATCGTTCAAATTAATTAAAGAAATTTGGCGTTGATGAAATATTTCTATTTTTAGCACTTCAAGTACTCTTAGTTGTACTGAAGACAGTTTATGAATATTACAATTTATGATAGGTTCATTCATATTTTTCTGTTTTTACTGTTATAGTTCAAATGGTCGAATAACTTGATCCTATAATTATTTCGAGCAGTGTATTTATGTTCCATTTGCGTTCTCGCGCAGGCGCTTTTTTGGTTTTTAAATAAAACTTCATTTATCTTAGAGCACATTTTTTTCTGTTACAGTTAGACAAGATGGAAAACGCAGAAGACGTGAAGACAACTGTGGAAGTGTACATCTATGACCTTTCAAAGGGCATAGCTGCTATGATGTCTAGATTTGTTATAGGTAAGTTGATATTAATAGATCATTGTTTTCCACTGCTCAAGAAATTTGGAAATTTTCAAAACTATTTTATGTAGGAAGATACATGACCATTAAAAAAAAAAATAATTAGTTTTAAGTATAAATTATGGAAGATTAAAACATTGTTGTTAAGCAAACAATTAACGATCATTATAATTTATCACATGAAGTATAATTAATGTTTCAATACATTGAAATGTTCTGCAGGATTAAAACATTAATTTATTATGGGGTTTAAAGTTCATGTTAAATTGCCATGTATGGATTTCTATAAATAATTTTTGTTATAAAGGTGAAATATATGAGAACGAATATTTTGTATATGTGAGGCGTATGTTTGTAGGTACCTAGACTGCTATATTTTTAGATTTCTATATCTCTGGATCAGTATATCACTATACCCCTAGATTCCTATATTAGTAGAATCTACATTCTCAGATTCTACATACATAGATTTCTATATTTAGAAATTTCTATTTTCCTAAATTTCTGTATCCTCAAATTTCTATATTTCTAGACTTCTATATCCCTAGATTTTTATATCCCTAAATTATTATATTCCCAGATTTCTATATTTCTAAATTTCTGTATCCCCAGTTTTCCGTATTTTTAGCTTTCTATGTCCCTAGATTCTTATATCCCCAAATCCCTATATTTCTAGATTTCCATATCCCTAGATATGTATATCCCCCGTTTCTTATATTTCTATATTTCTATATTTCTAGATTCTTATGTCCCTAAACTTTGTATCCCTAGATTTCTATATTTCTAGATTTTTATATCCCTAAATTTATACGTCCCTAAATTTCTATATCTCCAGATTTCCATATTTCTAGATTTTTATATCCCTAGATTCTTATATTCCTAAATTTCTATATCCCCAAATTCCTATATTTCTAGAATTCTATATCCCTAGATTCTTACATTCCCAGTTTCCTATATTTCTAGATTTCTATATTTTCAGTTTCTCATATCCCCAAATTTCTGTATTCCTAGGTTTCCATACTTTAAAATTTCTATATCTTTAGAATTCTAAATTGCTATATCCCTAGTTTTCTATATCCTCAAATTCGTTTGTCCCTAGATTCCTACAATCTTACACACCAAAATCCCTAGATCTCTACATGTTCTCATATTCCTAATTTCTATAACCTCAAATCCATATATTTCTAGATTTCTATATCCCTAAATTTCTGTATCCCCAGGTTTGTATACTTCGACATCTCTATATTTTTAAATCTCTAAATTACTATGTCCCTAGATCTCAATATCCTCAAACTCCTATATCCCTAGATTTGTACACTCTCACATACCAAAATCCCTAGATCTCTACATATTCCCATATTCCTGATTCCAACATTTAAATTCTTTAAATTCTTGAATCTCTAAATCGCTTTGTCCCTCAATCTCTATATCTTCAAATATTTCTAGCGCAACAAAATTAAACAAAAGGGGCCCAGCAAATGTAAATATTAAATAAAATTTGAAGATACAAGAATGTTTTAAAATTACACACTTTATTAATACTCCTTCATAAACTTTGAATTGTGTCGCGACATAAAATTTGATACGTTTAAGCAACCTCTTATTACCGTACAAATATTTCTTGGAACAACATAACCTAAATATAAAAAGATCGTAGAAATGAAACACGGCAGGACAAAAGTAACTTGGCACGAACGTGTTCGTCCTTAGATTCAGTTGATTTGTCGTCTCGTATCGTCTTAATTCATTCTAAATTTGGAATGCAATTTGTTTTATGTTAAGAAACAGGAATGCAACAAGGACGAAAATAAAGTATCAAGTACTATGCTAATAATAATGATAAATTATTGTTACTGTTGTTATACAAAATTTATATTGCTGTTGTTACAAAGTTTTCTTGAGAACACTTATTTCAGAATTTGATATATAAATAAATTTTTGTTTATAGAAGACGTTTAATATGAATAAATAATAACTTGAATATATTTAATATATATATGTATTAAATGTCCTTTAATACACAATATAATTATAATTATATATATAATATATTTAACATATGTTTAATATGTAACTTGAGAATTAATGAATTAATAATTGAAACTTTTTTTTAAATTTCAAAATTGAATTAAATAAAAATATTAGAGTATGCATGGTATAAAATAAGGTATATTAATTTATTTTTATAAGTTGTGACATCAAATGACTGTTTATGTGATATACAAATTTTAAAAAATTTTTTATTTATTGGGTTGATTGATTTATTTATCAACTTTTTAAAAAATATTGTTACTATTTTTTAAATAGTAGCAAATACAGTATTATGTAGGCTAGTGACTTTTAACTAGTAACTAACTAGTAATAAGTTAGTAGCTAATTGTTAACTTAAATAATAATTAACACATAATAACACTAAATAATAAATAATTATTTATCACAATATAAAGATATTGTCCATCTCACTATGTAACAAATGTTTTCCATTTATTTCACATATTTTATGCCATTTTTTGTCACCAATATTTATTATCAAAAAAATTACATCAAAATGCAATAAATCAAAAATGCATTAAAAATGAATTCAAATTAAAATGCAATGTAACACAAACTGTATAAAATATTACTAAAATAAACATTGTATATTGAAAGAAACAAAGTAAAAAATGTAATAAAATAAGAGTAAGTGAGGTTAAAGTTAAAAATTACAAAATTACATCAAAATGCAGTAAATAAAAAATGCATTAAAAATGAATTCAAATTAAAATGCAATGTAACACAAACTGTATGAAATATTACTAACATAAACATTGTGTATTGAAAGAAACAATAAAGTAAAAAATTTAATAAAATAAGAGTAAGTGAGGTTAAAGTTAAAAATTACAAAATTACATCAAAATGCAGTAAATAAAAAATGCATTAAAAATGAATTCAAATTAAAATGCAATGTAACACAAACTGTATGAAATATTACTAACATAAACATTGTGTATTGAAAGAAACAATAAAATAAAAATACAATAAAATAACAGTAAGTGAGTTTAAAGTGAAGAAATATTAGTTGATTAATAATTTTCTCAGAAATATATTGAGACTAGTTAATTTAATTTAATTAGTTAACTTAAAGAAATTTTAACAAAGCAATGCGAATGTAATATAAAGAAAAATATGTTGAATAAAGAAATATTATAAAAATATGAAATACAATAGACGTACACGAGTCTTCTTCGCGAAGCTTTCGCGTCGTGTATCCAAGGTTCGTTTGCCACTTACGAACAGTTGTCGAGCTTGCAAGTCTATTTTCAGAAGACACTATGTACTTGTAAATTGTTCGCGCGCTTGGTATTTCGCGCTGCATGCAATTCTCCTTACAAATAAACAAACAAACCGGTGAATTATGTAGACTGCCTAGAACACTGCGTACAATCACGTAACTGAAAGGTAATATTGAAACGAAAATCAACGGATGCTGAATTTTCGGGGTTAAATGTATTATTGCAAATTCGATAAAGTGAAGAAAGCGGAAATTTGTTTATGAAAACTAGAAGAGTTGTGGGACTATGAAAAATATGTTTTTTTGGATTATTTCTTTTTGTTTAGAGCGTATGTTTTTATACGTCGTTTTTATTGGATTGTTGTTATATTGCCGCAGGATAGAGCTGCAGGTTCTTGGAATTGGCTATATAGCGAGTTGGTCTGAAAGTCTGCTTTGATATTGTCAAACATGCATATAGTTGAAAATCTGTGACTTTGTAAATTTGTATACTTATAAATTTTTAATTTGTCAAATACTTTAGGTATTTCAAATTTTCGAATTTCTAGATTTTTTAATTTTTAAATTTTCACATTTCTAAATTGACGAAAGTTCAAATTTCCAAGTTTCCAAGTTTTCAAATTTCCAAATTTGCAAGTTTCCAAGTTTCCAAGTTTCAAATTTTCAAATTTCCAAGTTTTCAAGTTTCCAAGTTTAAAGTTTCCAAGTTTCCAAGTTTCCAAATTTCCAAGTTTCCAAGTTTCCAAGTTTCCAAGTTTCCAAAATTCCAAATTTCTAATTTTTGAAATTTCCAAATTATTAAATTTCTCCAATTCTCAAATTTCCAAATTACAAAATATCTCAAATTTTCAAATTCTTAACACCTCTAATTTCCAAATTCTTAATTTCCAAATTTCCAAATTCTTAAATTCTCAAATCTGCAAAGTTTCGAATTACCAAATTTCCAGTTTTTCAAATCAACTTCCCAAATTTTCTAATTCTCAAATTCGTAAATTCGCAATTTCTCAAAATTTCAAATTTTCCAAATTCCAAATTTAAAAATCGAAAAATCTGAAAGGTTATGACTTCAAAAGTTCCCAAATTTACAAGTCAAAATCTAACAAATGCCGGATTTATTTTCTCCCACTATTTATTCTTAAAATTCCTACGGTGCTCACAAGTATACATGAAAGTACCTATAAAAGCGGCAATATAACGAGAGTCTACTGTACACACAGTGTTCGGAGGTTGTAAAATGAATAGTATGTACAATATCTACAGAATATTGCGTAACATTTAAAAATAGTGTTGCGTCGATTTGTATGGCCACGAAAGTTACTCCTCGCGGTTTTACTTTTCTCCTAAAATAGGAATCGAATCAAATTTAGAATTAACCCTTCGAGCCAAACAAAGATGTGTTGTACCACACATAATAGATACTTTGTTGATATTATTACTTTCGTGAATCAATTGTTATTGCATGAGTAACACTTTAATTATAACTGTAACTTTTAATTTCGGTACTGTTATTCTTTAATAAATTTACACATATATAGCAAATATTAATAAACACTTCAATTAATAATAATAATTAATTCAAAGTAATAATTAAATCTTATATTGTTCTGATTATACATGTTTAATTAATTAATAATTAATTGAAGAATATTTCATTAATATTTAATCAATGATTAATTGTTTTCATTACAAACAACGTTGTAATTAAGTGCATTGTGCAATTAAGTAACATTTAATTAAAAGTATAAATTTGTACATTAATAAAGATTTATTTATACTACTATATTTTTTGATTAAAGATATTAATAAATAATTAGTATATTGATTACGATTATAGCAAAAATTTGATTAGAATCATTTGGTTTATAAGTTATATAATATTTTTATCATTAAACTAATTAATTTGACTGTTAAAGACAGTGTAATAATATCAATTCTTGCATTATTATTTTTAACAATTTATCTTGCATAATTAGTCAAGATTTTATACTTTTAAAAATTACTATATATTCAATTCTTTACTGAAAACTACAAATTATTATATTCTATTATTGTATACTCTGTTGTGGACTATAAATTACAATTTATGAAACAATTGCTAATTATTCTTTTGTATTATTGCATACTTTATTCAACATTACAAATTAAAAATCATAAAATAATTACATAGTATTGTAACAACTACAAATATTAAATTATTATATTTGTAGTTGTTACAAATTATTAAATTATTACAAATTATTGTATAATATTATTGCAAGATGTTATTGAAAATTGTTGTACAATTATTATTGCATGATATTATTGAGCATTGTCGTACATTATTATTGCAAGATATTATTGGAAATTATTGTATAATAATATTGCAAGATATTATTGAAAATTGTTGTATAATAATATTACAAGATATTATTGAAAATTTTTGTACAATATTATTGTAAGATATTGAAAATCGTTGTACAATTATTATTGCAAGATATTATTGAACATTGTTGTACAATATTATTGCAAGGTATTATTGAAAATTATTGTATAATAATATTACAAGATATTATTGAAAATTGTTGTACAATATTATTGTAAAATATTATTGAAAATTATTGCACAATATTATTGCAAGATATTATTGAAAATTATTGTATAACATTATTGCAAAGTACTGTATAATAATATTGCACAACATTATTACAAATTACTATATATTATAGAACAATATTATTCCAAGATCCTGCTACAAATTATTATATAATATTACTAATTTTATTGTTACAATATTATTATTAATTATTAAATGACATTATACACCACTACAAATCAAAAACCATAAAAAAATAACATAAGCAATTATTACCAAATGCACCCCTAAACAACAATGCTATATAATGATCATACTACAATAAAACATTATTCACTACATTTAAATTCAGTCAGGAAAATTAATAAAGTAGAATGTCCGCAAAATGTTGCGTAACAGCTGAAAATGGTGAAGCGTCGAGTTGGATGGCCGCAGCGGCTATTTCTCGCGGTTATTTCACCACAACGGCCCTCCAAGAAGCGCGTTGCAATAAGAAAATCACGAATGCGCTTAGCTATTCCCGCGATGAGAAACTAGGTCGAAGGAGACCGAATCCGACGGTTACGAACCCGAGACTGCTCCGAGCAAACCCAAATTGCATTTTACCGGTAAAAGAGCAAAACAATTTGCACCAAGTCCTTCGTCTGGTCGGAGGAGTTCGTTGGTCTTTCAACAAAATTTATTGCGACTATTCGAATTTTCTTGGCTTCGAACACGCTTTTGTGCTCCTCGATGATGCATACATTTTGCTACATATCCGATAACGTCACGTTTTAGTAACGGATCGGACACTCGTGCGATACCTGGTGGCGGAAAATATAAGCAAAATGAATTATGTCAATAAATTATGGAAGTTTAAACTGTGAATTGGATATTTAGTAATTTGTGGAGGACAGACATTTTGTTCTTATTTTTTATTGAATTAAGAATATAACTTAGTTAATATTTTTAAGTAAATTTAAAGTTTGAGAAGTTTGTAAAAAAGTCGCCATATTGCGATGTGGACATACTTCGCCCACATTTCGAATTCCAATCTAATTTTTTCCGTTCTAATTTTTTATTAGCAGTTTTGGACATTTCTTTGGTATTACTTTTTCTTGAGATATTTTAATGTTACACTCGAAATATCGTTATGTAATTTTGGTTGCGTATTGAACGCTATATTTCAGAAATATGAACGGTTTGACACCATTTTGTGACATAAAGGCATTGCAAAATGGCAGCTGCTTATGCGACATCGACTTGAAGCTTAAATTTGAAAGAAAACTATCGGAATCAAAGTTTGACTGTGATTTAGTATTTTTAGTACAAAATGGCTGACTGTAAGATGCAGAAAATGATAGATTAAAATTCGTATAGTTAATATTTTTTTTTGTGATAAACTTTTATTATTTGAATTGGAGTACATAGTGATTATTAAGATTGTAATATGTATATTAATTGTTAGAATTACGACCGATATTAATTATTAAAATTACAGCATGTATTAATTATTAGTATTACAACAAATATTAATTCTTAAAATTTCAAGAAATATTAATTAATGGAATTACAACAAACATTAACTATTAGAATTACAACGAATATTAATTATTAAAATTTCAACAAATATTAATTACTAGAATTGCAACACATTTTAATTAAAATTAAAACAAATATTAATTACTAAATATTACAAACTAGAACATACATAAAAGTTTATCTATTAACAGTAGATAATATGAAATCAAACATTAACAAAAAAATCTCTAAAAAATTCCCAAAAGCTATCAAATCAAAATCGACCATTTTAATTGTAGAATCCAAATATCAATCATGTTAGTCAAAGTAAACGATGCGTAGGCGTCAAACTAGATATATGTAGATCATAGAGGTTCATTGATCGCGATCGATGATGAAGTTTCGAAATAACCTTGATCATGATCGCTCGTGTTTTGGAAGACAACCAAACTGTTCGAATCGTATCTATTGTATTTGTTAATAGCAAATATACACTGAAAACTACTCTTCAAATTTTATTTCTTTCTTTTTTTTACAATATTGCTGAAAATATCTATCTTTTTTTATATACAATCATCATTTTTCTATTTTGAATATTAGCACACTTTATTTTGGGAAGTATTACAGGAATTACATAATCCATGATAAAATCATCTTTTAATATAAAAAATTTGATGGTTGGATTTTTGTTCAACAGATGTGACGGTGTTAGGTTTGTTGAAAAATAAATATATAAGTAAAATCTTTTAAAATGTTAAAATTAATAAAATTGTGTTTTGCAAGAACAACAGGTTGATACCAAATATAACATAAATTATATAAATTATTCTTAACATATTTTCTAAAAAAGACCTAAATTGTATTATTCTCCCTAGGGTGAAACCCCTAACTTCATCTGACCCATATTTAGCCTCTACCTTAATTCTACTTCTCTATGTATACTGCTATCATTTACTATCATCTGTAAACCGCTATCATTTACTATTACACTATCACAATCTACCAAATTATTTTTCTGCGTACAGGTCGACACTTGGAAGGAATATGGCACACAGCAATCGTTGTATACGGAAGGGAATACTTTTTCGGACCATCTGGAATTCAGAGCTGCAGACCTGTGAGTATTTTTAACCGAAATCGTTGAATCGCGGTTTATCTCGTTCGCCACCGAACGAAAAACATCGTTCTAAATGATATGTGGTGTCGTTGAAAATGCATCCCTGCCACGGAAAATGTGACCGATCCGACGTACTAGTCGTAGCGAAGAGTCATTCTGGCCATACGATACGCTAGATACGAGTGGGTACTAAATTTGGTCCGGTTGAATCCAAAAATAATTCATGCTTTACTCCATTCTCTTTCTCTTGTGTCTCTTCCTCGTGGTTTGCTCCTCTCGTCCACGTTTTATGTTTGAATGCTTAATATTTTCGGGAGAATTACATTGTTGATAAATGTTGCTACGAACGCGTCAATCTTGTGTCAAGGGAACTAGACAGAATAAACTGGCATTTCTGTGTATTTTTGTGGTTGTTATAGCGAATATGATATATCAGATATTTCCAACTGATGAATGTGTACAAGTTTGCGTTTATATAAATTAAGTATGCAATTTATAGCAAATTACTAATATTAATTTATTTTTGCATTAATATTAATGCATTAATATTAATATTAATGCATTTATAATGCATAGTATAGCTTCAATATTAATTTTTGTTCAACAAATTTTGTTTAACAAATATATTAATATTAATATGTCGTGTCAGTATTATTTTATTGTTATATTGAATATTGAAGTATTGAAGTGTTTTATTAAATATTTTTAATATTTATGTACGTCAATATTATAATAATATCGATGTATGTAATAAGTATTAAAATTGAAAATATGATATACGTAATACTGACATTTTTATTTACATTTATCATATTTGATATTAGTATAATAACATGTATTGATACATTACAGTAATTTTATAATAATATTAATCTATATGCAATGAATTAAGCTTGTACATATAAATATACACGATGGAGATATATTTTGATATATTATATTTATTATAGTTCACAATTGATGATTTTTACGTATACACGTAATTATATTTAACATTTGTACCTTATAATTATATTCAATATCAATTTTGAACAATAAACTGTCCTTTGGTGATTGATTCGCAATTAGATACAAATGTTAGGTTAGGTTATTTGATTATTGATTCGCGACGAGATACAAATATTAGAATTTGTAATAAATTTATTACGAATATCTCCTCAATTCCTTTTTATGGATTGGTCTTCTTTTTGTAAAACAGACTTTTCAGATTGGGAATACTTTAATTTTAGGTTATGCTAGGTAAGTACAGTACTAAATATGGCGCTTTGCGACAGACAATATGGCGTTGTACTAAAAATGGCGCGTCACCATTCATCTCTCAATAATTATTCAAAGAAATTAATGTGTTAACTAATACTTTTGAGTTATACACATATTAAATTTGTGTTTAATAACTATTTTTCATATGTATGTACTGTAAATATAAGACACTGTAAATTTTGAGGTCCAGAATTAAATTTTTAGAAATTGAATGTGGTATTTAAATCTTATTTAGTATTTCTTTGTGTATGTGGATTATTAGATACATACTGATTAATTCTTGATATATAAATACTATGTTACAAAATGGACTTTATTTATTTTTGCACTAATTTTAAGATATTTAATTTTATTTAATTTCAAATTTTTAAATTAAAGATTTTTATATATTGAAGAAATAATATATGAAGCTGGGGTTCTTTCTTATGAGTGAGGAGTCATTTTTTAATAAAGTCTCAGTATTCAAATTGAGAAATGTCTTCTCAAGTCTAAAATTTAATTCCAAAGTCTAAAAATTTCAAGGTCCCAATATTACAAACTCTTAAAGTTTAAAATTTTTGAAATCTCAAAACTCCAATCTCCTAAACCATCAAAGTTCAAAAATTTCAAAACCCTAAAAATGTCAGTGTTCCAACCTTTCCAGATTTCCAAATCTAAAAATTTTGAACTCCAAATCCAAAATTCGAAATCCAAAAATTCTAAATTCTAATTTCATAATCCAGAAAATTCTAAAATTTCATAATTCAGAAAATTAAAATTCCACCCCCTTCAAATCCCAAAGGTATTTAATTTTTAAAACCACCTTGAAAATCAGTTCAAAACCCACGAAAAGACTCAACAAAATAAATAAACACAAAATCTTGCAAACCAGACTGAACACGAATTTAAAATTAAATTTGAATTTTAAATTGCATGTTGGATTAGCAATCTTGGCTCCACCAACCGAGACTTGATGCATTCGCTGCGGTCGAAAGTCGTAGATATTCGTCGGGTGAATGAAATAACTACCTAAAAATAATGTTAATATTCATAACATTAATTGACTGTGACGTTAATCTGTGGTATTCAAAAATTAGGTCACATGCTGGTATCTAATCCTTATACAAGGATGATGACTACAAGATGATGAGAAAATTTGAAAGATGACTTGTCATTTAGAGGGGTGGAACTTGGTTATTTATGGAGAAAGAATTTTGGTTGTTTGCAGAGATGGTTTTGATGTAAAGATAAAATTTATACAGATTTATAAAGGTAGAAATTTAGACATTTATGAGAATATAAATTTGATGATTTGTAAAAATACAAATTATTTATAGAAGTAGAAGTTTAGTGATTTACAAAAGTTATTTATGGAAGTAGAAATTTAGTTCTTTATAATGATAGCAATTTGGTGATTTATAGAGGTAGATAATGTAGTACCTGGTATTTCAAACCAATAAATATTCAAATTGTTAAATTTCAACATTTAGCAAGTTTTAAAATTCTTAAGTTTTCAGATTCAAAAATTTTCAAGCTTCTATGTTACAAAACTTCAAAATCTAAAATTTTTAGATTTCTATGTCATTAATTCTCGAATTTTCACATTTTCAAATCCTCAGTTTTTAAATTTCTAAATTTCTAAATTACTAATCACCAAATCTTCAAATTCCTTAACTTATAATTCATAAATTCTCAGTCTCTAAATTTCTAAATTTTCAAATTTTCAAATATTTATTCCAAAACATGCATTACCAGATTTCCAATTTTCAAGTCTTCAAATTTTCAAATCTCCAAAAGAAGAATTCTGAGTTCTACAATTTCCAAATGTCCAAATCTTCAATTCTTGAAACCCCAATTTTTCAAATTTGGGATTTCTAAATTCCTAAATCCTTGAATTTCTAAATCTACAAATCCACAAATCCACAAATCTTCAAATTCTCAAATCCTCAAATCTACAAATCCCAAATCCACAAATTCCCAAATCCCCAAATCCACAAATCCCCAAATTCCCAAATCCACAAATCCACAAATCCACAAATCCACAAATCCACAAATCCTCAAATCCACAAATCCACAAATCTGCAAATCCATAAATCCCCAAATTACTAAATTCCCAAATTCCCAAATTCCCAAATTCTCAAATCTCTTATATCCCTATCTCAAATTCAAAAATTCAAAAATTCCAAAACTCTCAAATGTTCAAATCTCTTATTTCCTACCCCAAATTAAAAAATTCCCAAATTCCTAAATTCCAAAATTTTCAAGCCTTCAATTCTCAAATCCCCAAATACTAAAATCCCCAATTCCTAAACCCCAAATCCCAAATTTTCCAAGAACCTCTAACTCTGAAACGTCATACACCACCCCTACTATAGAATCCAAATAAAATCGATCAAATGCCAATAATATTAACCAATATTTCACATGTACTCAAAAACAAATTCAAGATCCATTTAATACATATAAAATACATAGGTTTTTAGGAAGAGATTTTCAGCTGAAACCTCTTTGCGACTCACAACCCTGTTGCATCTCTACCTCCCCATTTTCCCCAAGAAACTATATTCCCTCAGCACACTATAACAATTAATAATACTCGGACACTAAACCTACCAAAATTATATCACACATTAACATAGATTAAAAATATTTTAAAATATAAATTTTGTTACACATTAATTTTTTATTTCAGTAAAAATCAACCCCTATTTCAAGAATACTCTACAAACTCTACAGCTGAAAATAACAAACATATCACTAAAAATTAAAGTGCACACTTAAAAACAAAGTGGAAAAATAAATAAACAACCAAAAAATATGTCTATGTCAAAAAAGTATCATAATTTAAAGCACCGCAGTAAAATTTGTAAAACAAATGGTGAAATCTGAAACCAGTCATCTCGACTGATGATTTCACCATTAAAAAACGGTCATTCGATCGGTTAGGTAGTTTTAGCGTTAACCGGAACGTATAATCCGACGTGCATAAGCTACGACGTCATCGAAGAGGCAAACCCAAAGCGTCTACGAAGAGCGTGCGCGCGAATACGAATGTCGTTTATCTTGAGTTACGCTTGCCGGCTGCGTGGCGTTGAATCTCAAAGCGTCGCGACGCCAGTTCTTATTCGAGTGGTTCCTTGACGAAACAAGAAACGGGCCGGCGCTAACCGATTCGACTCCTCGTTTGTTCCTTCATCGAATCGCGAATTAATTGTACGTGCAGTGCCGTGACAAATTATTCTCAGCATTTTCTACAAACTTGCGTCTCCACAATTTTTCAACCGTTAAAATTTTGATTTATCAAAACACTGAGACGGTGTTTGTCGACAACGTTTCGTTGCAAAATTTATCTGTGGTTTTTTGTGTTGTGGAGAGTGCGATACAGCCTCTCGGTTATTTCGAGCGTATCTTACAGGGAAGCGCAAGTTTGTCATAGTTCTAAAATTACGTGCGTAATACCAGAGGGAGTGGTAATACTAAAGTAGCTGTCGTAAAACTGACACTAACTTCCTCGGAATCATCATCCAGGGCGATTAATTTGCGTTTCAGGGTGGCACCGTGTTAGGGGAGCCCTTGAAGGTGGAAAGAGTCGGCGAGACTTATTTGCCCTACTCCGTGTTCTTCGAGTACATCAGCGGTCTGGGGACGTCAACATTCGCGTAAGTTCTTAAAATTTTAAATTTATCGCAAATATCGCTTTCAGTGAAAGTTTGATTGCAGCCCAAACACCTACAACCTCTTCAAGCACAATTGCAATTCTTTCACGGACGAAGTTAGTAATTTCTTGGCGGGGAAAAGTATCCCGAAATACATCCTCGATTTGCCGGAAGAGATACTCCAAACGTAAGTTGCTCGAAAAATGTGATTGCGTTGGTTGAGAACGTTGTTGTGACGCGTTTGTATTTGCGTTCAGGCGGATCGGACAGGAGCTGAAGAGTCTCATAGAGGGTTTATGTAGCAGCGCGAGCGGATCGTTGTTAGTCGGCCGCCAAACATTCCTTGAACCGAGAAATCGTAGAGAAGTTTCGCCGGAGTTTCAACTTTTAAATGAAGCTATCGAGGAAGCAAGGTACGGCGCCGCCATATTTTGTCGGCCATCAACGCGTCGGAGTTAACAAAGCATGGAAACATTTTCACATTTTTTTAAGTTATAAGAGTTATTTTAACTGTAATATTTAGATTTTAGAAACGAATGTGAAGTTAAGTAACATTAATTGGGAGAAATATACAACGTGCAACGTAGATTCTTCCATTAAGAATAAGTCACTATTTATTTCCAATTTTGGAAAATTTATAAGCCTACATAGTTTCTAGAGAGAATCTAGGAAGATTTTTAGGATCTTCAGAGATCTTCAAGAGGAGGAAAAAGAAAATTTCCTGTGGGTTTAAGATGGTTTTTACAGATTTAAAGAAAATCTTAACGTCTAGGGAGTTTATGTGGAGACTCTAGGGAAGATCTAGGGATATATGAAGAACCTACAAGAAAGTCTAGAGACATATGGAGAACCTACAAGAAGATCTAAGGACATATGGAGATCCTACAAGAAGATTTAGGGACATGTGAAGATTCTACAAGAATATCTGGGACATATGGAGATTCTACAAGAATATCTAGGAACATATGGAGTTTCTACAAGAATATCTAGGGACATATGGAGATTCTACAAGAATATCTAGGGACATATGGAGATCCTACAAGAAGATTTAGGGATATATGGAGATCCTACAAGAAGATCTAGGGACATTTGGAGATCTTACAAGAAGATCTAGGGACATATGGAGATCCTACAAGAAGATCTAAGGACATATGGAGATCCTACAAGAAGATTTAGGGACATGTGAGAATTCTACAAGAATATCTGGGACATATGGAGATTCTACAAGAATATCTAGGAACATATGGAGATCCTACAAGAAAATTTAGGGATATATGGAGATCCTACAAGAAGATCTAGGGACATTTGGAAATCTTACAAGAAAATCTAGGGACATATGGAGATCCTACAAGAAGATCTAAGGATATATGAGAATTCTACACAAGACATATGATCATATGGAGATGTTAGAAAAATGCCTAGGAACATATGAAGATGCTACAAATAAACCTAGAGATTTATGGAGGTGTTATAAGAGAACCTAGGAACATATAGAGATCCTGGAGAAGAACTAGTGATATGTGTATAGCATATAGAAGACTTGATAAGATCCTAGAGTGATCTCAAGAAGAATTTAGATTCTGAAGAAATTGTAAAGACAACCTAGGAAATCTCTAACAGGAATCTAGAAAGAATTTTTAAACAAGATGGTGGTCTCAGTGAGACTTTGAAAATCTAGGAAAGTCATTAAGAAAGTTTGAAAAGTTCCTAGTGAGAATCCTAGAGCTTACGGAGTTTCTAGGAAGAACCTAGAGAAAGTTTCAAGCATAAAGAAAAATTAAGAAAGGTCTAAAAATACTTTAGGAAGACTGTAGCAACTATCTAGGGAAATTCTAAGAAGAGTCTAACAAGAGTCTAGGAAAATAAAAGAGCTTACAAATGTAAACATTCTTCTTCCTATACTCCTTTGTATTTAAAGGAAGTCTACGTTGCATTCTACTGTGTAATACAACCCCGATACTTTTCTACTAGATAAATTCCTGATTATGAATTCACTTGTACACTAATTAAAAATTAGCTTTACTGAACAGAAAGGAAACTAAACAACCTGCGTTAAAAACGTGATATTGTGTAATTCCTTGCTTCGACTTTAGGGCCCCTAGCGCAGGGAAATATCGAAAGTATCAAGGTTATATATTATATATTATAAAAATGTCTTATTTCAACCTTATTGATTTCAGGTTAAACTCAATCGCGCTAGAAGAAAGAAGAAACGAAATCAACGAGAAATTAGCCAAGAAGGACAGGAAGAAAAAAAAGAAGAAGAAGGAGAAAAAGCAGAAAGGAAGTAAAGATAGAGGTGCAAGCGACAGCAACAGCACCGGTCCTAGCAATTGTACAGACATGGCAGAAAGTGAAAGTAAATACACGTTTACTAATCTATACCTTTTCCTATTAATACTTCTTGCTAAGTTGATTATTCTGAATCCAGGTGCGGTCAGCATGAATGAGATGAAGGCTACCAACGGCGACAGCGCTGAGATGTTACCATCGGACAGAGTCATGCAGATGGAAGAGGAAGAGAAGTTAGAACAAGAGGAGAGGAAACGTTACCGAGATCCTCCCATAGTGTTCAAGGACATGGTAGACGTGAAAGCGGAGTATGAGACATTGAGCAAAGTACTTGAAGGGAAGTTGAACGAGGACGAACGAATATGCATGGACGAACTCCGGCAGTATGTTCTAGAAAATGAAGGCTCGTGGGCGCTGGGTGACAACTTCTTAAATTTCGTAGGTTCGTTGCCAATATTGTTCTGTGTTTAACACATTGAGAATGTGGATCATCTTGTGAGATGAACCATGAGTAGGTTTCATGTAACCTAGAATCAGGTCGAGGATCACCTGATTCCTCAGTGTGTTAACCTGTTAATAAAATGATAAACTATTTTTCTAAATGATGCTCATACGTCTAGGGCGAGTTCTGTATGACAAATCCTTATCGAGCGACGCAAGGGTGACACTACTGAACGTACTCTCGGTTGCTGCGTTGAAGGACGACGTGATACTTTTATTGCATCAGGATAGAAGGGAGCATATCATTATGAATTATGCCTTTGACATCGACCGTCATCCGCCGGAAGAACAACTCCCTCTTGCACAGTTTGTACGTAAAGTCTCAGTGTTAACATAACTAGATGTAGGGATAAGAAGATTTCACACAGAACTGTACACAGTAGATACTTTATACTTCACATATACTGCATGTACATATACTGTATACTTCACATAGAACATCTTTGTATAAATAGAATTAATGATCATCTTTGTTATAAATTACAGTTGGCGAATATGTTTGAGAACCTGAGCAGCTCCGAGTGGCTGTTGTACATATCAGAATGGCAACACCAAAACCAAAATATCAGTAACATAAGGGTGACAACCAAAGTTGCAGTGCATTCGTTGCTCTCAAACTCCGTCGACTTGCAAATCCGCGGTGCCGCCATTATTCACAACCTTGCCTGCAAGGAGGTAAAAACTGTGGTCTGTATCCTTCCTCTCCGATTAACAATCATCCTTTTCTCTTGGTTTTGTCTAAACTCGCACCAGCAATTGTGTTATACAGCATTTAATTACGATTACAAACCTCATAATAACTAATGTTCCATTTTGTAACATGGATTAACGCTTACACCATCGGTGGTTAAATGCAGCAGCGAAACGCTTGAAATATTATTAGCAAAACGGAAGTGCTGCCTTTATTAATCAGCTATATTTGTAACCTAAAACGGGGTTCTTGTACCGGATTTGGTGATCGATTCACGAACGAGCAACGAAACCTTATGAACTGTTTAATTGCTCTGATTCAGAAAATGTATAAATATTTGCTTGTTGTTGCTTGTTTGTGTCTCTGTATACATGTATACGATCCTCTACGTTGAAAGTCAAAGAATGGATATCTCTCGAGAGACCGGCTACTGTTTTTTCAGAAAATGAACAAAAGCAAAAATCTGCGGCGACTTTTACCAAAAGGCAGCATTTCTAAGGTACTTGTCCGAAATACATACTTATCTCATTGAGTCGCGGTAAGTTCATAGTTGTAACGAATTACATTAACTTCATTTTAAACATCAGTGATTTAATCTTGCATCGAAACATCGGGGAAGCAAGCGACTCAATTTGGTTTAGTTTTCTCTGGAAACTAGCATCATGGTTTTATAGTATAAGACACATTGGCGTAGCTAGGTTAGGTTTGACTCATGGCAGATACCCTCCCCTCAATAGAGAGTGGGTCCCATCCATTTTATATGGAATAGGATGTAGGGTAGATCATATATTATGAAAGTTATAAATTTCCAAATATTCTGATCCGTGACCAAATTTTCAAATATCCATGTTTCCAAATTCCTAACTCTCTAATTTCCAAAACCCCTAACTCCAAAAGCTACATATCCAAATCACAAAATCCTCATATGCTTGAACTTCCAAAGACCATAGTTTCCAAATTCACATTATCCAAATTTCTTAACCTGCAATTCTCAAAGTTCCAAATCTTCATATATGTCAAATCTCCAATTTCCAAGCTTCCTAACCTCCAATTCTCAAAATTCCAAATCTTCACATATGTCAAATTCCCAATTTCCAAGCTTCCTAACCTTCAATTCTCAAAGTTCCAAATCTTCACATATCTCAAATCCCCAATTTCTAAGCTTCCTAACCTCTAATTCTCAAAGTTCCAAATCTTCACATATCTCAAATCCCCAATTTCCAAGCTCCCTAACCTCAAATTTCCAAATTTCTAAAGCTCGAAATTTCTCAAACGAATAAAGATTCATGCCCAAAGTAGTACATAACAAGTAAAACCAGAGTGCCCATATAAAACCAGCTACGCCAATGGTTATCCAAAAGTAGTAAATATCATTTAACTGTATGTTTCCTGAAATCTATAGGTGTTCGACGATGTCGCCGTAGAATTAACGATGGCGTTGTTGCAATATTTCAACGGCAACCCAGCCGAGGAACAGCTGTACGCTTGTATGAAGTCATTGGCACGTTTCACGCAGATCAGTGGCCAAGATGTGCCTCAGCTTATACAAATGATTGGACCGGAACCAAACAAATTTCGGGGGATGTCCGAGAGGATCGACGAACAAATTGATCAGGTCAATAAGAAACTGCGTTAATCCGACGTAATATGATTTTAATCGTATGAAAAAAGAAAGAAAAAAAGTCCTAAATTCCAAATACGATGCGAAACGTTATTGTACTGTAACTGAGTTTTTACATAAAGATTTTATTAAAAGTATTTGCATATAACATTATTATTACGGTTATTATTGTTATCACTTAACGTTGTTATCATCGTCATCATCATTATTATGATTAGTACAATTATATTGCTGTTATTGAAAATTATACCACTCTTTTCTTTTACCCAAAATACCGTCTGGTTAGTTTCATGAACCCTTAAGTATCAGTGTGAGGTTAACTTAAGCTTGTGAAGGTGAAATTTATTTTCTGTACTTAAAAGTAGATAATTATGTACGTTGTTTGATATATTATTATATTGAAATCACCTTCATATGTTTGTAACAATAAAGCTAGTGTATATTACACTTGTAGGTTATGGTACTTAAGAGTTAATTACACTAATATTTCTATAGCTACACTAGTTATGGTTAGGTACATTGGTATCTTTGTAGATACATTATTTAAAGGTTAAGTATGCTAAAATATATGTGAATACACTAGTTAACTACTTAAAATTAAGTACACTATATAGGTTAAGTACAGTACAGTAGTTAAGTACACTTTATAGGTACACTAATTAAAGGTTATGTACACTAGTAGTTATGTGAACTAGTTAGAAATTATGATCAGTAATATACAAAACAGTAATATTCTAATTTGAAGATATAGTTGAGAAGACTCTTGTTATATTGCCAAAATACGTACTCCATGCAAGATAGATATAACTCAAGACAGATATAACAGATACTCAATAACTCAAGTGTTATAGCGAGTGATGACGTCTGTTTCTTTCACATAATTATCTTTAGACAAGCTTAACGTACTTGGCAATATACAAACAGAAATGACACTTGATTCAAAAATAAGACAAAATCATACAATAAACACACTTCAGTTCTGATTCTATTTTTGAGGAAAATCTTCAATTCTCACTGGCGTGTGTACATTTTATACCCAGTACAATGACCATATATGGTATTGTTTGATAACTTCCCGTTATTGGGGCTGTGGAGAAAATTGAATGTCGCTGCATTTCTTCACAACTCTAATTATAAGTAATTGTCTAAGTATCCTTAAGAGACAATTATACGCTGACAGTTATTTGGCGGACAGTTATCGAGAGGTTACTTATGCAGACATGTGTCCATGTTTACAATGGCGTACACCAATCTTGAAATACACTTTCAGATATTTTTTGCAGTATTCTCGCGCAGAAATAAGTGGAAATTGCAGAATAAATATTTGTTTACTCGAATATTTCGTAGAGGGAGAAGTTCGTCGTTGAAACAAAAGGTAGCCGTTATCAATTGCGAATGCACGACGGAGGTGGCAGTATCGTAATCCGTGTGGCAAATTTGTTAAGCGCAATAAGACATTGGCAGTGAACCGTTTGTCCTCGATTGTTCGGGTGTCTCCAGCAAACGTAGGCGCGCGATTCAAATCAGCCAGCGGCCGCGTGTCAATTCGGAATGTCTGAAGTTAAACATAGAGCGACGCTATAGTAGAAAATCTAGGATTGGTCCCAAGGTTTCTTGTTTCGTGTTTGTCGAAATATCGCGGGGCGAACTTGCCCAAATAATTAATCATAGAATCAAGTGATCCGGCACTCTCTCGCCGGCGCCAAATGTTTACCCGCAGCTTTATCGGAAAACAAATGATAACGATATGGAAGCTGTGAAACTATACTGATGGAAAGGTAGATCGACGTTTATGTTTGCGGTCGATGGACATAGTGCTGCTACGCGTGCATGTCAGTGCGTAACAAACTTCTCGACAGCCGATGTCCCTTTTTTTTTCTATCGTTTCGACTTTAAACGATAGCCGATCAAGTGATTGCGAATAGATTCGAACGATGTCTGTGCTCGAGAAGGAAGTGGTCTCTGGAATGGAGGAGCACAAAGACAGAAAGGACAAATCGAACTGTTCTTTTACTAACTACGTTATAATAGCGAACTGGTTACCGAAATACTCTCGTTTCGATGCGGTTTCGGATCTAGTGGCTGGTTTCTCCCTAGGATTAACCCTGATCCCGCAGAGCATCGCGTACGCCGCGCTCGCGGGCTTAACGGCACAGGTACTCCATTTTCTTTCCTAACATTGAACTAAGATGATCAATTTTTTTTTGGAAATTATGGTACTCAAGTTATGGTACTCAACTAAATTATGTACTCAAGAATATATTTTATAATTTGTTTAAAGAGGTGGTTGTTTTTGTTAAATTATGTCTGGTATATTTTTAAGCGCGGTGATAAAAGTTAGACAGATACTGAGAATATGAATGATATGATATGGACATCATTCATGAGAGGATGTTTATACAAATGATAATTATTCCTTATTTGATTTTCAGATATGTATTGTTATATTGTGATTTAGATTTACTTATAATTACTTTCAGATATCTGGTTATTAAGTAGGGTTTAGTGTGTGTGTGTGTGTGTGGACCGAGATTCTAGGTTTAATACTAGTGTGAGCGTATTATGCTAGAAGTGATCAAATTGGGTTTTGGAAATTGTGAAATTTGGGAGCTGGAGGGTGGAAATGGGGGATTTTGAAAATTTGGGAATTTGAGAATTTGGAGAGTTGGAAATTTTGGGATTTGGGGATTTGGGAATTTTGGAATTTGGGGATTTAGAGATTTGGAGATTTGGAAATTTAGTAATTTTGGAATTTGGGGATTTGGGTATTTGGGGATCGGGAGATTTGGAGATTTGTGGATTTATGGATTTGTGGATTTGGGGATTTGTAGATTTGGAAATTCAAGGATTTTGAAAATTGAAAAACTTGCAAATTTTGGGTTTTGGAAATTGGGAGACTTGGAAATTTGGGGATTTAGGGTTCGGTGATTTGAGGATTTGGGGATTGGGACATTGGGAGATTTGGAAATTTAGCAATTTTGGAATTTGGGGATTTGGAGATTGGGAGAATTGGAAATTTTTGGATTTGGGGATTTGAGAATCGAGAAATTTGTGTTTTGGGATTTGGGGATTTAGAGATCTTTCGATTTGGAAATTTGGAGATTTAAAGCCTGGGTAATTTCGATATTTAGGAAATTTTTGAATTTGCTAGATTAACAGTGGAATATTTGGAAATTTGAATATAGGGGATTCGAGGATTTGAAATTTGAAAACCAACAATTTAGAAATTTAGAAATTTAGGTATTTGAAAATTCAGGAACTTTGAAATTTTCGAATTTGGGAATTTGGGAATTTGTGAATTTGGAAGTTTAAGAATTGTAAAATTTAGGAATCTAGAAATTCACATATTTAGTAACTGTGGACTGTGAGGATTTTACTTGAGATTTAAAAAAATTTGGAAATTTGAAAAATTAAGCATTCTGAAAATTTAGAGATTTACTAACTCAAAAATTGCAGAATATAGTGATTTATAGTTTAGAATTTAAAAAATTGTATGATTTTACAATTTGAGAGTTCAGAAATTTGGGAATTTTGAAAATTTGAATTCTGAAATTTGAGAATTTTGAAAATTTGAATTTTGAAATTTAAAAATTGAATTAAACTGTTTGGTTCCTAATGAATTTTGATCCTCATGCTCCTAAATAAATCAACTGATAAATTTGCTAAACCAACATCATAAATAGTTCAGTAAAAATAAAATCACGCGACATTGTCTTTCCTTTTAAGAAAATGAATACATATCTTCTCTTACAGAAAATAATGCACCCCTCATTTTCTGTTTTACCCTCTCAACTTAATGAACTAACTAAACTAACTTAAAACTAACCTTATTTTATAAATTTCCTTGAGCCTTTGACAACTCCTTGTCTTCCGATTACTCTGTCACATGTTTTTATTACGTTCTAAATACGAATGTCCCCTAATGGGGAAAATAACTCCAATAGAGTCCAATTTATTCAACTCGTGAATAACATAGTGAATTACTCTGGCGATGGTGAAATTACTGTTTTGATCGTTACGTCGACACTAGAGTGAAGACATGTGTTCCAGCGCGAAATGGACATTTCTTGTTTGGACCGCTTTACTTGTTATAAATTCACTATAAATTGGCTCTGCTACACTGAAGACTTCAAAATTAATTATTATAGTAACCTCCGGATTAATAGTCGACAAATAATTTAAAATAACAAAAGGTGTGCAAGAATTGAGAAAAGCTAGAAAGTAAAAGTTTCTTCCTTCAATTTTTGTAACTGTTATTAAAAATTTGAAAAATTGAATATTATTTGTTACGACAAAAAATGTGTGTAATGATTCAATAGTTTATTTTCAACTTTTATTTTATCTTCTGAGAGGTAGGCAGTAATAGACTTTCATTTACTTGCATGACGAGTCGCTTATGTAATTCAAAATGGCGGGAGCAGCATGGTTAGGTTCTCGTGGAATTTTATTGTTAAATTTTATTTTATTGTATGTTTCTTCCAAACATTACAAATGTGTGCCTTAGGTATATTTTGTTGATCGTATAAATATTATTAATTTGTAGTGGAATTTGAATTAGTTAATTAGCAATTAATGCATGGTTACGTTCTCGAGGATCTTTATTGTTAAATTTTATTTTATTGTATGTAGTATTTCTTTCAAATATTGTAAATATGTGTGTTAGGTATATTTTGTTGGTAGTATTAATATTATTAATTTGTGATGAAATTTGAAATAATTAGCAATTAATGCATGGTTACGTTCTCGAGAATCTTTATTGTTAAATTTTATTATATTATATTTTATTTTATTGTATTTTTCTTTCAAACATTGTAAATGAGTGTCTTAGGCATATTTTGTTGATAGTATGAATACTATTAATTTGCGGTGGAATCTGAAATAATTAATAATTCTTAACTAATGTTTCCTTCATAATTAAATTTCTTGTAATGGAGAATTAAATTGTGAGTATTAATTGCATGACTTGTAATTGAACATAAGTTGAAATGTAAACGAATAAGAATATCAGTAAATATTTAATTTTTTGGTTAAATTAGTAATTTAGCAAGATTAATTAATTACAAAAATTTATTCTTCAATTCCATTTTGTACAATTAAAAGTTGCAATATATTTTTTACTTGATCTTTCTCGTTACAGTATAAAATAATCATATTTTTCTTCTCACTTAAAAAATGTCTATTTAATAATTATATTTACTTAATATAATATAGATGCTTAATACTTAATACTTAAATACTTTATACTTAGTATTACTTTATACTTAATACTCAATACTCAATACTCAATACTCAATACTCAATACTCAATACTCCATACTCAATACTCAATTCTCAATACTTAATACTTAATACTTAATACTCAATACTTAATACTTAATGCTTAATACTTAATACTCAATACTCAATACCAAATACTTAAATATTTGATACTTAATACTCAATACTCAATACTTAATACTTAAATATTTGATACTCAATACTTAATACTCAATACTTAATACTTAATACTTAAATATTTTATACTCAATACTCAATACTCAATACTTAATGCTTAAATTCTTGATACTTAATACTTAATAATTATAGTCAGACAAAATTGTTGAATTAACTATAACTTATTAATTACTACAAAAAAATCAAAATGAGTCATAAGTTTTGAGCCATAAAAATCAATTTGCAAAGATTGATTTCACAATAATATTTAGGTCTGCTTCCAACACAAAATTTACAAATGAATAAATATACCAAAGATGCTCATTTAATAATATTTAATTAACTAATGAAGTGGAAGTGTTTACCCCATTCATTTTCGAGTAATAAATAACGTGTTAATTGGCACCTCCCAGACTGATCACGAGGAAAGTTTTGTTTTGATAAGGATGTTCATCAACCATGTGATAATTCATATATTCTTGTCCAAACATTTTTAGCTGATCACGGGTTTACTACTATTTATACCTGCATACGATGATTTCAGTGAATGTAGAGTTTTCTTGTGAATTTGCAGCGATTCAGTTTTGACGGTTTTTTGTGGTCAGAAGTTGAAAATTGTGAATTTAGAAATTTGGGGTTTTGGAAATTTAGAAATTTGAGAAATTAGGTATTTGATATTTTGAGAGTTTGGGAATTTAGGAATTTGAGAATTTAGGAATTCGAGAATTTAGGAATTTGAGAATTTAGGAATTTGAAAATTTGGAAATTAGGAAATTTGGAAATTTGGGAATTTAGGAATTTAGAAATTTGAAGATTTGGGAATTTGAGACTTTGAAAAAACTGAGATTTTTGGAATTTGAGTTGTGGAATTTAAGAATTTTGGAATTTCTGAATATTTGAGTTTGAGTATTTGGGAATTTAAGAATTTGGAGATTTGGAGATTTGGAGATTTGGAAATTTGGAAATTTAGAAATTTAGAAATTTAGAAATGTAGAAATCTTTAAACTTAGAAGTTTCATAAATTGAATACGAAAATTTGAATATCTGCTAATTTATAAACTTGAAAATTAGAGACTTATAAATTTATAACTAGCAATTTGACGATTTAACAATTTAAAATTTTTCCAAGTTTGATAATTTGTTACATTAACTTGAAAAGTTTAATACCTTCACAATTGAAGAATTAAAATATTTGCAAATTAAAATTTTTAATAATGTAAAAATGTCCAAATCTACAGTAATCTACTTCCCCCATAAATTAACACTTTTTCTAATAATTATATTCCCATCCTAAAAAAAGAACCAAAATTGTCTATTATCTTCGTAAAACTCAAAATATCATTGTAGACAGAAGATTACCAAATTTAAGTGGATTTGGAAAATTTTATTATAATTTGCCCCAGACAGATAAAAAAATAAATCGTACTTTTATTAACGAGCATACTTTTAATTCATTGAAAGTGATTTCTTCGAGATAAGATAAGAAATATTATATTGACAATTACATATTCGCACATTGAACTATATCTTGCGGATAGCAATCTGATACAATGCAATAAACAATTCGTAATCAATCATCTCGTATCGATATTTCCTATCTGTTACGTTCTCATTCTTTCTTATTTCAGTCTGCGATCAATTTCCGCAGAATTACGTTATCTAAAATTCTAAGACTGTTCTCCTTATATTCGCAATCTGTCTTAAGTGCCAAAATACACAGATTTTTCCATTTATTGCATACAGAAGCAAACACGTGTAATTCTGTTTGAGGTCGTGAGATATAAATAATGAAATAACGCAGTTGTAAAAAGTATAATTATAGTCGAGATGATTTACTATAAAAAATAGTTCAAACGTCGCCTTAGATCGTGGTTAAGCACGAATCTCCTTTGAAACTACGACTAATTTATAGTAAGACACTTTAAAAGTATTTGACTTTTTGGAATTGTTATCGTGTCATCAATGTTTCGTTGCGTGTTTACAAACACTAAAAATGAAGATATGTTGACTGCATGACTGGCAGTATTTTTCCCTGATCTATTAGTTCACCCAAAACTTTGTGTCATTCTTGATATCTACGATTAGGACGCAATTCGGAGAATGACTACAACGAAACGTAATCACTGTGTTCAGATCTGAATCTTCACTCGAAAGTATTAAAATTTCAAAGTTTCCTAACATTTTTGTTTGATGATTAGAACATTTGAGGGTTTGTTTATTCGTGAATTTGGAATTTTGGAAATATGGAAGGGTGTAAATGTCCAGATTCATGAATTTCATAATATTTAAATTTTTTAATTCTCAAATACTCAAATACTCAAGCTTTCAAATTCCAAAATTCGAAAATTTGAAAATTGTCAAATTCCAAAATGCTCAAATTCCAAAACTCTCAAATTCCAAGATTCTCAAATTCTAAACTGCTCAAATTCCAAAACTCTCAAATTCCAAAATTTTCAAATTCCAAGACTCAAATTCCAAGACTCTCAAATTCCAAGATTCTCAAATTCCAAGATTCTCAAATTCTAAACTGCTCAAATTCCAAAACTCTCAAATTCCAAAATTGTCAAATTCCAAGACTCTCAAATTCCAAGACTCTCAAATTCCAAGACTTTCAAATTCCAAGATTCTCAAATTCCAAAACTCTCAAATTCCAAAATTCTCAAATTTCAAAACTCTCAAATTCCAATACTCTCAAATTCCGAAATGTTCAAATTCCAAAATGCTCAAATTCCAAAACTCTTAAATTCAAAGATTCTCAAATTCCAAGACTCTCAAATTCCAAGACTCTCAAATTCCAAAACTCTCAAATTCTAAAATGCTCAAATTCCAAAACTCTCAAATTCCAAATTTTTCAAATTCCAAGACTCAAATTCCAAGACTCTCAAATCCCAAGATTCTCAAATTCCAAGACTCTCAAATTCTAAGATTCTCAAATTCCAAAACTCTCAAATTCCAAAATTCTCAAATTTCAAAACTCTCAAATTCCAATACTCTCAAATTCCAAAATGCTCAAATTCCAAAATATTCAAATTCCAAAACTCAAATTCCAAAATTCTTAAATTTCAAAAGTCTCAAATTCCAAAATTCTCAAATTCCAAAACTCTCAAATTCCAAAACTCTCAAATTCCAAATTTCCAAATTCCCAAACTTCTAAATTTCTAAATCCTCACATTTGCACATTTCCAAGACACTCACAGTCTCCAAATTTCCAATTTTCCATATAACCAACTCCACCTATATTCACAATACTCAAATTCTCCAACCTCTCACCCTGAAATTCTCAATCATTCCCCATTTTGTTACAGTACGGTCTCTACACATGTTTAATGGGCGGCTTTGTATACCTATTTTTCGGGACCATCAAAGAAGTATCAATTGGACCATCATCGTTGATGTCACTCCTAACTTTGGAGTACACTAGAAACTTACCAGTGGACTTTGTCGTGCTCTTCAGCTTTCTTGCAGGATGCGTGGAATTGCTCATGGGCGTATTGCGTTTAGGCTCGTATTTAAACAATCATTCTCTTCAATAATAATCTTAATACCTTATGAACCTTCTATTAATAGAACTTGTGTAAGCAGTTCATGTCAACAGAAGGATTAATTAATATTATTACGTTAAGAGCTTAAAAGGGATTACATTTAGAATGTAAGAATACATTTCTCGTTTTTTATCTGCTGTGATTATGATTGTTAAATAAGGTGTTAAGATTTGTTTATTTTATTTTAGTAATTCCTACTGTTTTTAATTTGTTTAATATAATTCATTCAGCTTTTAATTTATTACATAAGTTTTTTTATTAATTTTTTATTTTTTTATTTTATTATTTATTTTTTTTGTATTAATATGAAATTTAATCTGTTACATTTATTAGCTTGCAATATAACTGTTTTTAATTTATTTAACGTAGATTTCGATCGGAGTCACAAGATAGTTAAGTTTAAGTTGACGCCATTTTGCAGCGAAATCTACCGTGAAATTCAATTTGAGGAAAATGGTATTTTTCAATAACTTTAGTTCTGAATGATATTTTAGAAGATAGTTTTATTTATTTTACTTTTCACATATTATGCATTAGTCATTTATTATCAAAACTTTTGATAATAAATTTTCTTTCTGCATTCTCATATTGGAAATCAGCAAATCATTTGATATGTTATGATTTTAAGTTATGATTAAATACAAGGTTGATCTTATACGTAGATTGCAGAGTTTTTGTTATTGATAAAATCACTGATCTGATTTAACAGCTATTATTTTTTTTTAATATTTATATTGACTTAACGAAATTTCTTTTTTTTCAACTAAATATTTAACACATAATTTAAAAAATTTTTTTAAAGTGGAGCTAAAAAATTTAAGTTGAAGAGGTCACTGAAAGCAATTTGGAAGTTTATTAAACAAAATTTTGTAATAATTTTTGTATTCGTTTAAAAGTATTTATTAATAGTTATTTATTATTTGTATTAACTTGTATTATACGTATTAATTATAAATGTTTGTTATATAATTATACTTATTATTTATATTTATTATACAATTTTCTACTATTATTTATGTTTTGTTACTAATTTAATTTTTTCTATTATTATTCATTATTTGTATATCTTATACCTCTTAAACTATTATTCACAAATTAAATTTCGCACCTCAGTACAAAATGGCGGCAACATTCAAAATGGGTACCATAGCGACTCTGAGTAAATCTACTTAATACTATTTCCTCCTAATAATGTTAATAACGAAATTGATTACACAGGATTTTTAGTAGACTTCATATCGATGCCTGTCACATCGAGTTTCACTTCAGCAACCTCCATTATTATAATCGTCTCACAAGTGCCAGGATTATTAGGAATAAGAGTGAAAGCACACACCGCTGCCGACAATATTAGTAAAATAGTTCAGAATATTCAAAATATTCGAATACCGGATCTCATTCTTGGAGTTTGCAGCATTGCATTTCTTCTGTTTTTCAGAGTAGGTTTGCCAAATAATTTATGCATTGTGTTATGAAAATAACCGAGGTCTCTGAGAGGTATAAATGTTGGGAAAAATTTGTGGATATTTTGATAATGAAAATAGGATGAGTATAGTTGTCTTACAATTTTCATGTTTATTTAACAACCTTTTATATTTGTCTAATAAATTTTTATATTCATCTGAGCAATTTTTATATTTATTTGATTAAGTTTTATATTTATTTAACAAGTTTTTGTATTCATCTAACAAGCTTTTACATTTATCTAACAAATTTTTATCTTTATCTAACAAGCTTTTATATTTACTTAAAAAGCTTTTATAATTATTTAACAAACTTTTATGTTTATCTAACAAATTTTTATATTTATCTGATTAAGTTTTATATTTATCTAACAAGTTTTTGTATTCATCTAACAAGCTTTTACATTTATCTAACAAATTTTTATTTTTATCTATCAAGCTTTTATATTTATTTAACAAACTTTTATGATTATCTAACAAATTTTAATATTTATCTGATTAAGTTTTATATTTATCTAACAAGTTTTTGTATTCATCTAACAAGCTTTTACATATATCTAACAAATCTTTATTTTTATCTATCAAGTTTTTATATTTATCTGAAAAGCTTACATATTTATTTAACAAACAATTATGTCTATTTAACAAACTTTTAAATTTACCCACCCAAATTTTTTCATTAACTTTTCATGTAATTAAGATACTAATTTGTCCAACAACAGCATGTAATAATAAGCAATTTTTAATGCAGAAAATGAAAGACTTCGATTGTGCTTTTCTGGATAGCAAGAATGATACAAAGGCACATAATAAAAAGAAAATTGTAAAAAAGATATTATGGTTCCTCTCTATTTGTCGTAATGCACTAGTAATACTAATAACTGCCATAATATCATTTTATTTGGAGAAATCTGGACCGGCACCTTTTATTCTCTCAGGTTTTTATGATTTTGTTTTTTACTCAGGGCCGGCATTCTTTTGAAGGAGACCTTGATGCAAAATTAATATCTTTTGGGGAAGTTTAAATTAATTACATATGAAAAAATTGTATATTTTTTAGTAAAACAGAAAGACTGTTATGTAATTTTTTAATTTTCAATTAAAATTATTTAACAGTATTTAAATTTAAAAAAATTTTTAATATTTTGACAATATTTCAATTTTAAAAGATTTTTAATATTTTGACAATATTTCAATTTTAACTGATTTTTAATATTTTGACAATACTTCAATTTGTAATATTTTAACTTTTTGTTATTTTAATGGTGCTTTAATTTAAAATACTTTGATAATATCTTAATTTGTAATATTTTAACAATTTTGTAATTCGCAATTTTTTAACGATGTTTAAATTTGTAATCTTTTCACAATATCATAATTCATAATAACTGAACTTACTTTAGCTTAAAATATTTTAATAAAATCTTAATTTGTGATATCCTAACAATCTTTTAATTTCTAATACTTTAACAATATTACAAGGTTTTATTATCTCAATAATACTTTAACTTAAAATACTTTGACAATATCTTAATTTTCCATATTTTAACAATATCTTGATTTTACAATATCTATGATTTTAACAATATCTCAAATTATAATTTCTTAAGAATATTATAACATTACTGTGACATCTTAATAAAACTTCAACTCAAAATACTTAAACATCTCAATTTGCAATATTTTAACAATTCTTTAATTCATAATATTTCACCAATATTTTAACTAGTATTTCAACAAAATATCAAAGAAAACAGAAAATAAAGTACAGAAACCAAACAAATATTTAAAACATGACTTTCTAAAAATACATCAATAATATTTTTTAATTCCATCTTTCTTCTTCCCATTATTTATTTTATATTTTATCAAGGTTTCTACGCAACTGAAGGGGTGCCTATCCGTTGCACCCTTTCTATAGCCGGCCCTGTTTTCATCAGATTACATAACAACATTCTATAAACACGTACTCATTAATTTATTATGATCTCAAGGAAAGATTGAATCTGGACTTCCCAAGTTCTCGTTGCCTCCGTTTTCGTCCCAAATCGGGAATCAAACATACACATTCATGGATATGTGTTATCATTATGGGACAGGGATTATTATACTTCCTCTTGTATCGGTGTTGGCGAATGTAGCGATTGCTAAGTCTTTCGGTAAAAATGATAACTGATATCAAGGTAAACGACCCGTATTCAAAAGATCTTAATAAACACGTGAAATATATTTAGCTACTTGAATTGTGTAACATTTGCTAATCGTTTACTTTCGAGATAACAAACATTTTTGACTTTAATCACTTCCTCTCATTCTTTTTACTTTATTACTTGTTATTTGTCAATTTTTTAGTCCATTTTTGTAGTCATTTTTAGTCAAGCATCAATTTATATGTTCATTTAGTAGTATTTTTATTTATATGGATATGTATATATTTATAAATTTTGCACGTTTATTTATTTACAACTACTTTATTGTGTCATATTCATTTATTTGCAAAGTATTTCGAAAAATTGAATAGCTGTATGTTGTTCAAATACGAGATAACAAATTATTATTTAAAAACAATTTTTAAAGACCCAAAAACAATTTAAAAATATTTGAAAACAGTTTTAAAATATTAAAATGCAGTTTCAAAATTTTAGAAACAATTTTCATTTAAAATTGATAACTTTGTAAATTATATTTGCATATTTATCAAACTTTGTCTTATATCAATTTTCAAATGTTTAAACTCAATTTTAAAATATTTAGAAACAATTTTCCCTTAAAATTGATAACTTTGTAAATTATATTTGTATATTTATCAAACTTTGTCTTATATCAATTTTCAAATGTTTAAACATAATTTTAAAATATTTAGAAACAATTTTCATTTAAAATTGATAACTTTGTAAATTATATTTGCATATTTATCAAACTTTGTCTTATATCAATTTTCAAATGTTTAAACTCAATTTTAAAATATTTAGAAACAATTTTCCCTTAAAATTGATAACTTTGTAAATTATATTTGTATATTTATCAAACTTTGTCTTATATCAATTTTCAAATGTTTAAACTCAATTTTAAAATATTTAGAAACAATTTTCCCTTAAAATTGATAACTTTGTAAATTATATTTGTATATTTATCAAACTTTGTCTTATATCAATTTTCAAATGTTTAAACTCAATTTTAAAATATTTAGAAACAATTTTCCCTTAAAATTGATAACTTTGTAAATTATATTTGTATATTTATCAAACTTTGTCTTATATCAATTTTCAAATGTTTAAACTCAATTTTAAAATATTTAGAAACAATTTTCCCTTAAAATTGATAACTTTGTAAATTATATTTGTATATTTATCAAACTTTGTCTTATATCAATTTTCAAATGTTTAAACTCAATTTTAAAATATTTAGAAACAATTTTCATTTAAAATTGATAACTTTGTAAATTATATTTGTATATTTACCAAACTTTGTCTTATATCAATTTTCAAATGTTTAAACACAATTTTAAAATATTTAAAAACAATTTTCATTTAAAATTGATAACTTTGTAAATTGCGTTTGTTATTCATCAAACTTTGTCTTATATCAATTTTGAAATATTCAAACACAATTTCAAAATATTTAGAAACAATTTTCCCTTAAAATTGATAACTTTGTAAATTACATTTGTATATTTATCAAACTTTGTTCTATATCTATTTTGAAATACTTTAACACAATTTCAAAATATTTAGAAACAATTTTCTTTTAAAATTGATAATTTCATAAATTGTGTCCTTCATTCATCAAACTTTGTCTTATATCAATATTGAGGTTATTCGAATTACTAACAAAGATGCAATAAATTAAAATTATTTTTTATTTGACAAGAATGTACATGAAGTTACGAGATACTAATCTCCCAATTCTACGAAAATTTAATTTTCTACCATGAATTTTCGAAGTTTTCCTTGTTTAAAATATCTAAGAACGTTTCCTCGAAGTAGTAACAGTCTACAACAATTTGGCCACGTGTTTCAACACAAGCCACGTGTTTCCTCAAGCCACGAACTAATATTAAGCTTCGCAATCGCTGGAAAATCACAGTCGTTTCAATCATTCTGAATCCGTGTAATGCCTCCTAAATTATGGGCGCCAAGTTTGTGTACAATAACCGAACAAACGCAGAAATCTTTCTTGAATGTAAAATACGTAAATGTCTGCTGAATGAGATATTTGTACCTAAATCGTCAAAAATTAGCGTATACGATCGATATTTATTATTAATGTTTGCACACTGTATTTTTTGTAAACTATAATTTTGTAAATTTTGTTGACTATAATTCTGTAAATTTGGTAAATTATAATTTTGTAAATTTGGTAAACTATAATTTTGTAAATTTTGTAAATTATAATTTTGTAAAAATGGTAAACTATAATTTTGTAAAAATGGTAAACTATAATTTTGTAAATTTTGTAAACTATAAATTCTCTATTTAGAATTTTACACTCCTTAACTATTTAAATTCATTATTTAGGATTTGACACCCCATTTAACCATTAAAATTCACCTAAACTCATCATATTCAAATTTAAATGATTTTCCACTCATAATTATACTGTTTGCAATATTGCACATTTACTGAATAGTAAAAAACGACAAAATATATCGTATGTTTTATACATTTACGTAAGTGTCGATTCGAAAGGTTAAATGTACAAAAATGTGCACTTAATATACGTAAATACTTGAACATGTGCATTTAAAATCTACAAATGTAAATTTAAAATTTTATACACATAAAAAAGTGTCCACAATGAGAAAATGTGCGAATACCTAAAAACGTACATTCAAAATGTACGAATCCCCAAAAACATACATTCGAAATGTGCGAATCCCCAAAAACGTGTATTTAACATACACAAATATCGAAAAACGTGCATTTAAAACGTCCAAAGGTGTAAATACGAAAATGAATATTGGCAACACATTTGTCTACAAGCGTAAACGCATCTCAAAAAAGACTATCAGTAGCAATAGTCAGTTAAACAGTTAAAAATAGGAAACACACTAGACGATGCAGCAACCTAGACAATCAGACCAGGCATACAGGGTGTCTCACTCTAAACACTTCACAAAACGCAATATTTCATCTGAAAATTTTCATTCACCCGATTATCAACATATGTATCTACAGTTATAATGTTGCTCATAAAAGGCCCACAAAATGCATCAAGGAAAAATGACTAATCGTTCACCGAATGCTAAACGATATAAAACGCAGGAATAATTTACAACGGTTCGAAGTAATCGTTCAAAAATCCCGCCATCGACTTCGATGCACTTTTTAACTCTATTCGATGGTGCGTGTAGCTCTTCCGGGGTCATCTTCGCGTTCTTTTACGAGGACAGCACTGTTCACAATGCGAGCGACCGATTCTCGTGTTTATTTTACTTTGTAAACTTCGCTTTTCATCCACGGACAAAAATCTGAAGGGTTCGGGACCTCGGTGGCCAACGAATGTTGGTTATATGGCCGTAGCGCGTGCGTTGATAATCGGATACGTGTTTATATACAAATTTTTACTTGGTCCATACTGAAATGCGTAAATGTGAAACCTGAAGTAAAGCACCCTGTACACCTTAGACTACGAGTACCCCTTTGTGCTTAGTCTTTGGCCATTATAGTCTTTGACCAAATCTCTACCCATCTGCTCAAATGTAGGTTCAAACCTACTGGTGTTGATAATAATCGAACGCGTGTTTATATAAAAATTTTGACTTGAAGTACTGCTGTTTAGTGTTCGTATTGAAACGTTCTATACACATATGTTCACATGTTTATTAACATATTTTGAATGCTGGGTCATAGTTTCGTAGCATTGACGTATCAATGAATCATTAACACGTGTCTGTAATTTTAGCTACCGGCAGTAACGTGAATGCGACCCAAGAAATGTTAACCTTGGGTTTGAGCAATATACTGGGAAGCTTTGTTTCAGCGATGCCAGCTGCAGGAGCATTCACCAGAAGCGCCGTGCTTTCTGCCAGCGGCGTGCGGACACCTATGAATGGCATATACGTCGGTAATACGCATTTTTGGTAACTTGGAAATTGGATTTGGAACATTTCTGAGTTGTACTTCCTTTGGAGTGACAAATAGACTATTCTTAGAGAGCCAAATTTACGAATTTTTACGTTATCGAATTCCTACATTCTAAATACTGAGTCTTCAAATTTATAAATTCTCAAATCTCTAAATCTATAAACTTTCAAGTATCCCGATCTTTACATCCACAAATCTACAAATCTACAAATGTAAAAATCTTCAAATTTTCATATCTCCAAATCTATAAACCTTGAAGTCTCCAAATCACTGTATCTACAAATCTACAAGTGTAAAAATCTCCAAATTTTCGTATCTCCAAATCTACAAATACTCAACTCTCCAACTCCTCAAATCTCCAAATCTCTAAACCTTCAAGTCTCCAAATCTTCACATCTGCAAATGTAAAAATCTTCAAGTTTTCGTATTTTCAAATCTACAAAGTTTGAAGACTCCAAAAATCTTCACCTCCAAATCTTCAAGTCTTCAAATCTTCAAATCTCCAAAACTCCAACTCTTCAAATCTCCAAATCCTCAAAGACTTTAACGCTTCAACTCTTCAACTCTTTAACTCCTCAAATCTCCAAGTCTCCAAATCTCCAAATCTCCAAATCTCCAAATCTTCAAATCTCCAAGACTCCAACTCTTCAAATCTCCAAATCCTCAAAGTCTCCAAATCTCCAAGTCACCAAATCTCCAAATCTCCAAATCTCCAAATCTCCAAATCTCCAAATCTCCAAATCTCCAAATCTCCAAATCTCCAAATCTCCAAATCTCCAAATCTCCAAATCTCCAAATCTCCAAATCTCCAAATCTCCAAATCTCCAAATCTCCAAATCTCCAAATCTCCAAATCTCCAAATCTCCAAATCTCCAAATCTTCAAATCTCCAAATCTCCAAATCTTCAAATCACCACAACCCCAAATTCCCAAATCCTAAAATTTCCAAAATAATCAAACTTTCCAAATTTCCGTTTAAATTTGGGAAAAACCTGGGAACCTTTTGAAATATTTGAAAATTCATGCTTCACCGTAGAAGAATCCAAAGATTGCAAACTCCAATTTTTGCTATATCATACATTACATATATTGCGTACACATAACATACATTGTGTTAAACGTTCGTCTATTTACTTAAATAATATATTGAATATTCGTACAATTTATACAATTGCTGAGCTTCACTCAAGATAGTTTGTGTAAAAGGTTTTTCATGTTACAGGAACAATGAGTTTATTAGCGTTAAGTTTCTTGACGCCATACTTTTATTACATCCCACGCGCAACGCTTTCGGCAGTATTAATAAGCGCAGTAATGTTCATTATTGACTTAAAAATAATACGATTACTCTGGAAAGGATGCAGTAAGTGTTACACTTTTTGCGTTCGATGTACAATAAAAGTCTTGCTATAAGCGAAAAAATTTGTGTTACTATAAAAAAAAACCTCAAGAAGTTCATAAGTTGAAAAATATAATGAAATGCAATTTCGAGCTTGTCAGTAAAACATCAACGCAAGTATAACTTTCGGTTTTTTGTTATAAAACTTTTACCAATAGATTTTGGACATTTTTCTGACTAAAATGGGGGCAAATAGATTATAATTTTCACTGTATTTACTGGTTTAATACATAAGTTTCGAAAACAGAAGGATAACAAAAAGAGTCTATATTGTAAAAAGTACCAATTGTTAATACCAGTTTTTTCTTCGATATAACTTTTCCTAAGATATTCCTGACATTTTCCTGATTAAAACGAGACCAAACACGACATAATTCGGTACAGATTTACTTGCGATAACTTATTAGAGTAAAGTCCCCGATATAAGTGAAATGCTTGAAGTTACAAGCTTGAAGTAAATACGTTCCTAAATACATCGTGTTTGGTCTCATTTTAATCAGGAAAATGTCGTAAATATGTTGAAGAAAGTTTCATAAGAAAATTAAAAAATAAAAGAATTGTATTCATATTATATTTAATTATTGTTTTATCTTGTTTATGTTGATATGCTACTGTCTTACGTTCGATTAAGACATTTTCCATCATGTTTCTACATTTAATTTCAATGAATAGGAACTACACGATATAAGTGAGACAGACTCGAAAGATTCGCTTATATCGAGGTTTTGCTGTATTTCTACCTAGTATTTCAACTAGTCACATGTACACTGTGTACATGTGTGAACTGATTGATAAAAAAAAACATTTTAATTACAGAAAGAGACGCTGTTGCAGCAATAGTTACGTTCTTAGTTTGTATAGTCGGTGGCGTTGAATTAGGACTTTTAGTCGGTGCTCTCTTTAATTTAATCTTTTTCCTTCGACCATCAGCGAGACCGAAAATTGAGATGATTCAGTACAAGGTAACAGGTAGTGTTTTTACACGATATAATAATAAATAATCGTAACATTAACAAACAACGTAAAATTATCATTCTTCTTCGTTCTCTTTTGTGTTCGTTGTACAATGGTACCTCTTCAGTTTTACAATCTTCTTTTTATTTTCACAATGCCGTTCCACTTTTTACTTCTACAGTATTCCTTCTATTTCTATTTTTATTGTATTCTCTTTATTTTTATTTTTACAGTACTCTTTCAATTTTTACTTTTATAGTAATCTTTCTGTTTTTTATTTTTATTGTATTCCTTTTATTTTTATTTTTATAGTACTCTTTTTATTTTTGTACTTTTACAATATTCTTTCTATTCTTATTTTTACTGTGTTCTATTAATTTTTATTTTTGCAGATTAATTTAGGTAACAATCTTTGAAATCAATTTTATCTTTCCTTAAAGATTCCGAGGTTTTTTTTGTACACAATGTGTTATAATTTTTACTTTTTATTTTTTAGGCAGAATTTGGGAACAAATATATAATACTTAAGCCAGATACCGGGTTATTTTACCCCGCTACAAATTATTTCTGTAATAAAATAACAGAGATAATTAGGAAAAATGACGAAAATAATGTTGCATTTATAATTGACTGTGAAAGAATTCGAAACATTGACTATACAGCAATAAAGGTATTTAGTATTTTTTTAAATTATTTAGAATATTCAATGTAATTAATCATCCTTAGGAAAAATGCAATATAGAAAAATGTATTTGAGAAATATTCTAACATTTTTCACTTATACAAAACTTTATTTCGTACAGTGACTATTTATTCAATATTTTAATACTTTTATACAGAATTCTTTCTCCGCATTTTTATTTTCCCTAACAAATATTTTATTATAAAAAATAATTACGTTTATATTAATTTCAGAGTATCGAGTTATTACTAGCAGGTATAAATGCTGAAAAGAGAAAGCTATGGTTCCTACACGTCAATTCAAAGTTGTACGAAAGCATTCAAGTATTTGCTAACACGAAGTACTTTTACTTCATTGAAGAAGAAGACAGAATATCGTCCATCTTTTATGGTATGACATTAAAACCAATATTTTTATTCATTGACTATCGTAGATTATTATTAGAAAAATATACAGAATGTATTTTATATTATAATTTCTTTTATGTATATAATTAGTTCTGGTATTTTTTCTATTAAAAAATAATGGAGTCTTTGTAGTAACAGTACCATCTACCTTCGAGTAGAGACACTAAAATCCTAAATTCAACAGATTTGTTTTTATCATAATTCTTCAGAGTTAATTTACATATATTAATTTTATCGTTCAATTTATATTTTCTGAATAAATTCTTCAATTTGTCCATAATATTTTTTTAAATTTTCAAAAAAATATTATTGATAATACACATTTTTCAGATGGTATTCTTATCAGTAACAAAGAAGAGGCAAAAGAGAAACTTCTAGAGAACATGACAGAGGGTGTCACCTTCACATGCATTAACGACAGCCAAAACAACACAGAAGTCTGTAATTGTACGTCGAAATCGGAAGACGTTGCAGAAGCAGTCGAATTAGTCTCACGCTCTTCAGAAACGAAAGAAAAATGAAATAATAACGAATACTGATTGGTGAAAATTAACGAAAGTTGCTGTGTCAGAACCATAAACAGTTGAACGTGGGCGAACGAGAGAAATGACGAGTAAACGCTGTTGATAAAGAACGTTGGATTGTCAAGTATTCAAGACAACAAAGCTATAAAATTTAAACATTGCATTGAAGTTTAAAAGACCAAGAACTGAAATCTCCATTCCATATTAGTTTGTAATATTATTTTTACTTGGCGAAACTTTGGAAAAGCGATATTAAACAAATTTGGTAAATAAGCTCTTTTTTGAAAAAGAATATATCTGTGAGAATGCTTTTTGGTGATTTGAAAATAAAATTTGTGTTATTAATTTGTCATTCCCTATATTACCGACGAGATACAGTATAAAAAATTGCCGGCCATATAGTGATGAAGGGTAGGAACTAATGGCGCCAAATTTGAAATAATAACAAACGGGAAATATTAATTTTCTAGGTTTATTTCGACAATAATATACATCAAGTATTAATAAAAGTTTATTCAAAAATGTCTCAGGAGTTACAAAATGTCTAGAAAGACATAAAATATGATTTTTTATAATTTCTGAATATGCGTATTTGTATATACGATTTTTCCTATTAGTTCGTCTCCTTCTCCGCTAGATGGCAATTCAATTTTTCTTAAAAAAAATGATCTTTTTTTAATTTTCATTTCTGGTGCTTTTAACAAGCTTTTGTAACATTATTTTGGCGTGAATCCGACCACATGCCATTGTACTGACTTTAGAAATACTTTAAATTTGCTAATTTGATCAAAAATTAGAATTTTATATTTTTGTAGGTCCACCTTCCAGCACTAGATGGCACCACATGTATCGTTGTTTGTCAGCACATTAAAAAAAAATTTTTAAGAAACTATACTCAGCAAAATTCGTATAAAATTAATATTTACTAAAAATATCTTCTAAAGCCATACTAATTAAATTAAGAGGTTATTTCTTTTATTTAGGACCTCAACACTTCTCTATTTTGCACAGCAACGTACGCAAACATACTCAAGAAAATGATAAAAATTAAAATTGTATAAGGTTCTTTTTTATCATTTTTTATCAGATATCATTCATTACAAAATTTTTAATTGCTGTTGTTTCATTATTTACTGTTGGTAAAGTAGCTCTTTTACTGTTTAAAAATTACCCTCTGTCGGTAAATAAGTATTTTACTGGCGATAAGATACTTAACTTCTGTCGGTAAGTTATTGCATCTAGGTTGATAAGTTATTATCTACTGTCGGTAAGTTAGTAACCGCTGATAAATTAGTTTTTTTTTCTGTCGGTAAGTTAGGTTAATTAAACATGTGTCATCGACTTTGAAATAAAATATGACACTTTTTTTTAACCTAATTACATGTTCCAAAATCATCATCGACAACATCTAAAATTTATTCAAACGATTCTAAAATTGTAATCTATAGTACAAAATTAAAAAGGAATTGCATAAATAAAATTTATTCCAAAATTCTATTTTAGGAGAGATTTAATCATATTTGAAATGAGGTGGGTAGAATAACCGTAGTGCAGATTTTAGTACAGTCCTTTTAATTTAGAAATTCTTGAAAGGAGACACTGATATGAATAATATAATCATGTACGTATATACAATAAAGAGAATTTTCCAGTGGTATTTGTGTTTAAATCGTATTATTGCGTGTCTAACGCTATCGCGGGATTGAAATCGATGTAGACTGTTTTATCAGGTTTCCCTACTAAACGGAGAATTAATTGATCTGTACATCGGTAAGTCGTTCGAGGTATCGAGTGCTTGTTCAATGAAAAATTCGTTAAACATATTTGAACATCCGAAACAATTTGCAGGCAATACTGTGAAAAAGATTCTTACTCTCGATACCTACGAAAATTTCCATAAAATTTGGCGCAAGGTAATCGAAAGATCGTCTCGATCGCTCGAGATCTCGAATAAAATATCTCACGTATCTTCAATACTTTGTATACCTTATTTATTTTCTTTTTTATCTTCGTATAATAATCATAAACGTACAATTTTTAAAACAATAGTGCTCGTGAATGAGTGTGTATTCGTGTGTATCGTGTGTATGCAATGTACAGGATAATCTTTCATCTTTTTAAGCTATGATACAATTCGAAATGAAATACAAATCAATGAACTATTACATTAGGGTAAACCTTCTCGTTCGATCCATTTTTTTTTAATACAATTATTTTCACTACTGAATGACAATGTCCTTTTTTATTTTCTCGGCAAATATGATACCTCCCATCATTTTTTTTGATCATTTTACGCGATGTACGCGCGTGTACAAGAGCCTCGAACGTTTATCTACAGTTATCTTTACGATTTTTGTTCTCTTCGTTTGTCCATTTTTTTATCGACGCGTCTGTAAAATATTAAGGTTTACGATATGATTTTCCCCCATTTCGGTGGTCCTCGAGTGACCCACGATTCGTACGTCCGCAGTGGAACCGTCCTCTATATTACAAATTCCTTCACCCGAAACCGGGTACTCGCCTAAGAAAGTTATCGCTTTACCGCTTAAATAATTAAAGCTATCTGCTATCTATAAGAGTCTATTCGGTATCTACAAGAAGAAGAACCTATATGCCTCGCGATTCGTTCGAGAAAAAGAAAGAAAAAGACACGAAAGGGATGGGGGAGGGGGATAGTGAAGAACAAGAGAACCACGGTATCCATCATGCACCAAATGATCGAGTCACGGTAGACGCTCGATAATTGACCGCTACATAATTTTCCGTTTCTTCTATTTTGATATGGTAATATTTTTTAATAGATCATGAATTGCAAACGAACATTGATAATTTTTTATTTTGAGAAAAGATAGAGCCCTGAAAGCGGGGAATTATCGAGCGGCTACCATTTACCAGCTGCGCGGTGACGATCGGTTGGTGATTCCCTTCTCGTAACTCAACGAGATTGACTAAGTTATTCTATTGATTTTTCATCGATTTGGTATTACCGGATCGTTCGATGATCCCGATTGGTCGATGTCATTAAGTTACGAGTGATGAAAAATAACTAATAGTAATATTAATAGCGGTAATAATAATAATTATAATATTAATAATAATGATAATAATAATGCGGATGACGGTAATAATAACGATAGTTAAGGATGACAATATTTAACTGTGTACAATTTCCCGCTAGTCCCCCGTCGGTTATAGAATCACGAAAAGGTGTAAATTTCAAAAAAAAGAAAAGAAAGAAAGAAAAATGTTGGATCACTGGTCTCTCAATTAGCAATGCCCTTTTTTGTTAAGTGCTTCTCTCACTGGTTGGCTGTTTCGCACGTCGCTCTTTCTCTCATTCATCCCCCACCCAACCCTCTCTCACGCACATACATACATGTACACTTTTATTATTTTTCTCCCGTTAGCCATCGTTCGTTTAAATTGCGGACTAGAATTTAATCGAAGATTAAAATTTAATCTGGTAAATACAAGTTTGATTCGTAATATCGAGGATAATTTTTGACCCCTTTTTTCTCACTCTCGCACAAACATGCACATTCACCCTCGCTTTCTCTCCCCCTTTCTCAGGCATCGATAGTGTACGAGTAATTCGCGTAATTATGTTCTCCTGTCGCGCCATGCGCACCAACCTTAACGCCGCGTCTCTCCCCACGTGACCTCTTCCCACGTGTTCGTCAACACAGGGGATCTCCCTTCTGTTTTCCGTTCATCGACCATCGATCCGTTGTCCTTTGATTGCCGTTGGAAACTCGGCGTTAGGTCGTTTTCAATGCACGTTCTCGTGAGTGAGTCTGTTGTGTATGTGTGTGTGTATGTGTGTGTGGATATACTGCTATTAGAGAGTTAAGTGTGGTAATTAAGTATAATATACAAGATCATGTACGTGTAACGTACTCGCATGTACTGAGTCTCTTCACCTCTCTTCTCTTCTTTTCTTCTCTTTTCTTTTTCTTTTTGTACAGTTATTTACATGTGGATGCGAGCTTACGGTGCCACGCTTTAACACCCGGTTTAAAGATGCCGGCGCATCTTCTTGTCTCACAGAAGGAGGCCTCCGACCCCCTGGCACATCGCGTATAAGCTCTATCACATTGGCTTTACAAGCCGTGTCGTTATCGCGATAAGAATCCGAATGATAATAAAGTAATACAATATAATCAATAATAATAAAATAGCAGTGATAACGTAAGCCTAATAATACGGTAATATTGGTATAGTAACTAATAACCACGATCGTCGATCGCTTCGTGTAACTAACTCTTTCTCTCTCTCTTTTAATAGAAAAAAAATTATTTAAAAATGGTCAAATTTTTAGCCTGCTCAGCTTGTCCTCAGCAAACGGAAACCACGTATGGCGAATGATAAAACAAAGTCGATAACAGGCCTAACCGATCCTAAGTGATTAATGCTTGCTCTTCGTAAGTCGGTGGACAAGCATAAGTCAGGTAGAGCGAGAGGACACGATTTTTCTTCTTTTCGTTTTTCTTAACGAAAGAAAAACAAAAACGGCTCTTATTAACCGAACAGACAAAAACGCTACGCTTTCGAAAATCTGTCATGACAATTTAAATGAAAGTTTGCAAATCGCTTTATTTAGCATTGAGACATTTGCGAGGACGAATTTTAATGGGGTGAAAAAATCTGGTACTATTTTGACGTAGTTTCCTATTTTACCGACGTGCCGCAGTAACATTCGGACATGCCTCTATTGAGCTACTGAGAGCATCTACTGAGAGATGAAGCTTACAAAAAGAATTTTAAGTATTCCGGATACTTAGGTATATTATCCAAAGGGTTGAAAAAAAGTTTAAATGTATATATCACTTTTATAGTTAATTCCAACAGATTTTATTACAGCCTTGCTCCTCTGTAGAATTTTAAATGCAGAAAGTTAATCGTTCAAAACCCTAAAAATTGCTTTTAAGCAAAATAAAACTGTTTGCAAAATTTCAGAAAAGTCGTGCATGACAGTTTTCGGACGTGCAGCCAAAAAAAGGTACGTAGTCGGAGAGCGAAGTATAACATTAACAGCTTAACGACTATGGGATAGGAGAAATGTATAAACAATATAACATGAATCACAATTATGCAATAATTATTAATCGCTCGTCTCGTCGCGTAATTAGATAAAATTAATAATAATTTGATCTAACAACTGGTTTACTCGTAGATTGCACTCTGTGAACCCGGACCATTTCCGTTTCGCTCGCCCTTTGATTCGTTGTCCCGCCCTCGCAATCCATAAAAAAAAAAGAAAAAACGGAAGCGGCCAGGGTTTCTTCGGATTTCGAGTGAATTTTCGCGACGAACCGCCCTCTTACGGCAGTGTCGTCGCGTCACAGTCTTTTTTTAACAATATGAATCCGCCGTAGCAACTGTGCTCACCACACTACTCTGTATCGCACAACGTTACGAAAAAAAAGAGTTCTTTTTTTGATTGAGCTCCGTTCCTCCTTTTGATAGCAGCATCCCGCTAGGTAGTCTTTATAAAGTCGACCTTTAAGAGTTCGTGACACATACACACAGTGTTGTGTCTACTCTCACGTATCCTATTTTGTATTTACCTCCCTATAATAATGCCCTCGTGGTAGGCAGGACTCGGCCCATCAGCCCTGGCCGAATCCTATGACTGGTTTTCTCTCTAAGAACTTAACTAGGCCGTAGTCCTCGGCAGAATGGGACCGTTAGTTCTGCAGCATTGTTTTTGGCATGTTTCTCCAGTTCAACTATTCCCCTTTGTGAAACACATTAAACCGGTACCGTAGCATTCCTTCAATAATCCCATGTCTCTTCTGGCTCGTGTTTCACCACGTTTTCCTTAGGACTCTCTTCGGTGGATTGTTGCGTTTGCTGCACGGATGGTGGCCTTGGTAACGTTACGGGACTGGCCGGTCCAGATTTTGGACTAGGCAAAGAGCTATCCCGGTCCTGACCGTTGTTCCCAGAGACGGACGACACGTCGCTCTGTGCGTCCTCCTCGTATCTATCTTGGACCGGCGTCGGTTCTACCCTAATGGTCTCCTCGGCTTCTCTTTTCACTCCGTAGTCATCCGTTTGCATCACACAGACACCGTTGATGATCACTTCGTCGCCCGTATATAACATGAATCACAATTATGCAATAATTATTAATCGCTCGTCTCGTCGCGTAATTAGATAAAATTAATAATAATTTGATCTAACAACTGGTTTACTCGTAGATTGCACTCTGTGAACCCGGACCATTTCCGTTTCGCTCGCCCTTTGATTCGTTGTCCCGCCCTCGCAATCCATAAAAAAAAAAGAAAAAACGGAAGCGGCCAGGGTTTCTTCGGATTTCGAGTGAATTTTCGCGACGAACCGCCCTCTTACGGCAGTGTCGTCGCGTCACAGTCTTTTTTTAACAATATGAATCCGCCGTAGCAACTGTGCTCACCACACTACTCTGTATCGCACAACGTTACGAAAAAAAAGAGTTCTTTTTTTGATTGAGCTCCGTTCCTCCTTTTGATAGCAGCATCCCGCTAGGTAGTCTTTATAAAGTCGACCTTTAAGAGTTCGTGACACATACACACAGTGTTGTGTCTACTCTCACGTATCCTATTTTGTATTTACCTCCCTATAATAATGCCCTCGTGGTAGGCAGGACTCGGCCCATCAGCCCTGGCCGAATCCTATGACTGGTTTTCTCTCTAAGAACTTAACTAGGCCGTAGTCCTCGGCAGAATGGGACCGTTAGTTCTGCAGCATTGTTTTTGGCATGTTTCTCCAGTTCAACTATTCCCCTTTGTGAAACACATTAAACCGGTACCGTAGCATTCCTTCAATAATCCCATGTCTCTTCTGGCTCGTGTTTCACCACGTTTTCCTTAGGACTCTCTTCGGTGGATTGTTGCGTTTGCTGCACGGATGGTGGCCTTGGTAACGTTACGGGACTGGCCGGTCCAGATTTTGGACTAGGCAAAGAGCTATCCCGGTCCTGACCGTTGTTCCCAGAGACGGACGACACGTCGCTCTGTGCGTCCTCCTCGTATCTATCTTGGACCGGCGTCGGTTCTACCCTAATGGTCTCCTCGGCTTCTCTTTTCACTCCGTAGTCATCCGTTTGCATCACACAGACACCGTTGATGATCACTTCGTCGCCCGTTCTGGGTGGCTCCTGCCACTCCGGATTGACCCATTGCGGTGCGGCAGGTTTCCTTCTGTTTATTCTGACGGTGGCGGGTACTGTGGGCGTTTCCGCGGGTTCCTGCTTTATGCTGCCCGCGGAACCTACCGAGTCCTCGCTGCCGAGGTTGCTCATAGCATCCTCCGCGTACTCGTCCTCGAACTCCTGGTTCGGCTCCCTCTTCAGGGAACTCATTGACAGGTCCAGGCCTGAACACTGCTCTTTCAACGCATTCCCTACTAAGGCAGCCAAGTTGGGGTTGAAGTAAGGAGTGTAGGGCAAGGGTACGTTACCCAGACCCAGCCTCTCCTTCTGGATTTCCAACAGTCTTTGGTTCAACAGCAATCTGAACTGAACTGGGTCGAACGGTTGGCCAGGTTCCCTGGGAGATTGAGGTTCCGGCTGACCGTGCGGTGTTTGCTGCTTCAGTCTCATCCGATGGTTGTGAAACCAGTTAGTTATCGTCCGCGAAGACAGGGCCAGCTCATTGGCGAGGAATTCAATGGTGGCCACGTTGGGGTACGGGTCGAGGGCGAAAGCGAGCCTCAAAGCTTCCTTCTGCTCCTCGGAGAAGAGAACTCGTTGTTTCTTAGCGGATGCAGGTCCCGGACCAGGCGAGGCCGCGTGATAAAACTCCGCCGTGTCGTTGCTCGAGGTATCCGAACTGTTATCGTGACCTGGACCACTGCTGCGTCTCCTTTTGTTCGCTTCTCGGCGCTCGTTCTTCAGTGCCTGCAGCCGATCGACGTTATGCGCGTCGGACAACCAGAGTTGCATCCTGATGAATGGCTCCCGACCTTTTATGCTGAGCATATGCCACGGTTTAGGCTTGCTCAGCAACTCGCTGACGGATCCTTGCGACAGTCCGAGAACTGCTTCACCGAAGATTTTCTGTCCGATATTGTTAGCCAGCAACGCTTCCTTGATCTTCGTTGTGATCGTCTGGGTGTCAAGTTCCTGCGTCAAGGCCGCCATTTCGTATACGCTCGGAGAAATGTGCGGATGGAGACCACGAAGAGGCGATGGAGCCATCTGATGATGCGGGGAGTGAAGGTTCATCTGCTGCTGCTGTTGCTGATGCTGCTTTTTTTGTAGCTCCTGCATGTTGAGCTGCGCGTGAGGATGATGAGGTCCGGGTGGTGTCAACATCATCGGAGGTGGAGGTTGAGGATGCTGAGGGTGTTGGGGACTCTGCTGCGGTGGTCCCAGCTGCATTTGGTTTTCCTGCTGATGCTGCGCCGCTGCCTGGGCCGCTGCTTGCGCCGCAGCCTGCGCCTTCGCGGCATTCTGGAGCTGTTCCTGAACCAACTTGGTCGGTGGCATGGGTTTCATCGGCGTCCCGCAAGCTGCAAATAGAAATACGGACGCGTTCAAGTACCACCGCACACGAGACTTCGCTTTATATAGTCCGAAAGCTCATTTTGACAAATGTCAGAATGTTGCTTCGTCAAGCGGTTCACTTTCACTCGTTCCTTGGTCATTCGATACTATGGAAGGTGCAGCAGCATTCGGCACACGATTTTCGAGCTCCCAAACTATGTTGTTCGATAAAATAACAAAACATCTATATTGACCTGAGTTAAACTTACGAGGCAGGCCACCGTAGCCGCCGGTCCTCATCAGCTTCTCGGGCGCGATCTTGTACTGGCTGGCCACGAGTTTATGCACAGCGTTGTCGTCCTCGAGGAACATCTTCATCCGGATGAAGGGTTCGCGGCCTTTCTGCGTGAGCATGTGCCAAGGCTTCGGGCGCGCTAAGAGATCGGAAACGGATCCCTGGGACAGACCCAGCACGGATTCGCCGAACAGACGTTGGGAGATAGAATACTGAGACAACTGTTCCTTTACCTGTAAGTACAAATTTCGAGGTTAAACATGATTACGTGTACCAGTCCGAGAGGCCTGAAGGCGGCTCAACTTACTCTCTTTACAATATCCTCTGTGTTTAAGTTATTATACATGTCAAATTGTTGCTGAGTGATGGGAGGAAGTACTGCTTTTAAGGGCCTCTGATTGGCCGAGTGGTGGGTTGGCGTGGACGGTTGACTGATCAGACTATTTGTGATAGAGGCCATCCTCTGGAGAGGGCTGGCAGCCGCTGCGCCGGAAAATTCCTCGCTGGGCGTCATTGCTGGTGGAAGAATCGAGTTGCCGAGTGGTGAACTCGCACTGGATCCGCCTGGAGTGGACTGAGGTGCAGCGGTGGGTTCCTGTTTCGGCCTAACCAAGGAGAAGGCGCTCCCGGCGTGTCTCATCGCTTCTTCTATCTTCTCTTTCTCCTCCTCGGAGACACCGTTTATCATTTTATTCCTGGGATCCACCTTTCCCAAACTGAGGTCCTGAACACCGCCACCGTTCGTGGCTAGGTGATGTTGTTGCAGGGCGTGTTGTTGAAGAGCCAAGAGACCTGGCAATCCGGGCAACCCTGGCAGACCCGTCAGCGAAGGATTCTGCCCCGGTGTGGCGTTCAGCTTCTGCAACTCGCGGTGGTACGCGTCCAGTGCCAGTCGAATGTCCTCTTGGGTGCGCTCCATCCCCTGAAAGCCACCTTGGGTGCCACTGAAAAAATGCGGAAACATCGCGCTACGATCAATCGAGGTCTCGTGCTGTCCTCAATAATGATCAATCGATAAGGTTCGCTGACAATACATGCAGTTAAGCGAGCCGGTTCGAGCCAAAGCTCGTGTTTACACCTGACATTTACGTGTTAAGTAATGAAACAGATATACCGCTATATTAATTTTAGCTTCATACGTCATCTGCTGAGCAGTGTTCGTGCGCGACCGCGATTTACTGTGACTCACAAGATCTATGGGATACGCTACTGGTTCGCCTCGTATCAAGGACCTTCTACCCAAATAAACACAACAGCGTGTGTAAGTAGGGTAGTTTCCCGAGCCTCACCTGGAAGAGAACTCTCGCGGCCCACGGAGATCCTCGATCCTTCTTCCCATCAGCTTAGCCAGCTCCTCCTGGTAGATCCTGACCACCTTCTCCTGCGGAATGTCGTCGTTCTCGTATTTTTTCAATCTTCGGTTCTGACTGTCCAGCCTGTCTTTGTTGAAAGGACTCGGACAACCGATCCTGCTCGGACTCTTACTGTCCGCGTCGTTAGATACCTCGTGCTCGCTCTTCATCTGTAAGTGGCCAGACTCCGAGAGGATGTGCGCCAACCTTTCGTCACTCATTTCTGGCGGACCACCTTCCTGTGGACCGCGAGCGAACGCTGGCATTCCCTGCTCCTTGCCTGAAACATACTCTACGGGTGAGGCACAACTTGTGGTGCGTTCTTACTCGGTTTGGTCTTATACGTATAAAATTAACATTAAAATTAGGGGCTTTATTAAAAGTTGAAATCAAATTTTATGTCCATGATTAGTACACAAGCTCTTATGGTCTCAGAATGGGAAGATCTCTCGAAAATTCAAGAATTTAGGTCGAAAATCCCTATTACTTGTCGATCAATGCCTTTCAATTTCAACCGTTGGACGATGTTCGATAAGGAAGCAACCCCATGTATCTAATCAGATCTGAAGGGTCGGCCTGGTTGATTTCATGTTCGATCAAACGTGGGAGCAATTAATACAACGCAAAATCAATAACACCGGCTCGAACCCGAAGGCGTAACCCGGCGACGATAATTAAAATATCCTTTTCTAGGGGTTCACCCTTGCGACCTTTCCCCCCGTGCACGTAGGCAACCGTGTACTCTACGTGTTTCTCCTCTAATTGACCAATCAGCCGTAAGATTCAGACGAATGAGCCATCGATCATGTCTTTGATTGCTGCTCTTGCTCTCCCCTGGAGACCTAATTCTTTATCATTCATTTAGACATTTTTTAGGACTTTTCAGAAAATAATTTTTTGTTATGAGAGCTTCTTTATTAATCGGAGAAAAACCTAGCACTTTTTAAAGTGTGCGAACTTTTAGATATTTGAGGACCTGGAACTTATGGAACTTTGAGATTTACAGACAAGTGCCATAAGTTTAAGATCGAAAACATATAAGTGTACGACCCGTTTGGAATTTGCCTCGTGTCATAAATTTAATAGACAAGCTTTTTGTTGATTATCACAAGGTATTTGAACATGAAAATTTTATTTTCCGAGCAAACAAAAGCGCAATACGGTAGCGAACACGAAGCAAGAAGTAAAGATTAATTGGTGATTAAGATCGGAATGTGGACGACGACCCAAGAGTCTGATGTTGCGGTTATAGCAAGAATATTGGTCGACGGGAAATGTTTCAAGAAATCGACAACGCGGTGGGTGGAAACATTACGAGGACAATGACGACAGTCGAAGCTCGTTTCGTGCATGTGGGAGAACGGAACGCGACGTGTACACACGAGTCCGTGGCACGCGTGTGTTACCATGACGTTTGAACTCGTGCCAGCAAGACTTCGACTTATGCCAACCTCCTCTGTAACTGTACGACATTTTCGTGGGGCTGCGACAACCTCTTGTGCGAAAGAATTCACGTGTTTAACTATGGAAATTCAATTACATTTGCTTATGCCACAAATTTGTTATTGTTTTAATGTTTGAAGAACATTGTGGCTGGGTCGTTTGAAGATCTGCTTTCTCTGTTTTACTTTCTCCATTGTCTTTTTAAGTTGTGGAGTTTTTCATAGTTTCTGTGCATTTTGTTCTTCGAAAATTAACTGATGAAGAATTTATAGGTATAGGAATTTAGGTTACCTAACCTATACAGAATTATTTTGAACCTAATATAAACATTGTTTTTTGCATTGCAATATTTTTAACTTTAGGTTTAAGAATATTGAATTATTTAAGAATATCGAAAAATGAAGGAATTTTTATTGTGTGAGAAATTATGAAAAATTGATGATGTACTTAGATTATGTTTAGGTTAAATTTCAACCATTGAACAATACCCTGGTAAAATAATTTAAATTTCAGACTTTTCGGTCTTAATTTTCATTCTTTAATACATTGAATATTTTGTAGGTATATGAGAGAACTTTTTAGGTTAGGTTTCAACCATTGATACGCTGGTAAAATAATTGAAATTTCTTGGTTGCAATTTTCATTCCTTAACATTTAGAAAATTTTGTAAATGAGTTTTGTAAAATTATGACTGCTTATTTTAAAAATTTTAATTGAAAAATCACTTTGAGCCTTGTAAAATTATGACTGCTTATTTTAAAAATTTTAATTGAAAAATCACTTTAAGTCTTGTAAAAGTATGATTGCTTACTTTAAAAATTTTAATTGAAAAATAACTGATTTGAGCAAAATTTCAAGATAAAATTTTTTCAAACTTTTTCTCGTAAGACAGAATCTTCAACACTAAGATGTTCCAGAAAAATATTTCTAAAAAAATCCGCCATGTAATGATAGACAGACGGGTGAAAAATGTTTCAGTCGACAGTGACGACAGAGGATCGTCTATTGCCGAGATAAAAAGAATGAGGTCATTATTATGCGTTATTTCTTTCCTGTAAGTCAGTTTTTTGCGGTCTGATGAAATTGGCATTATCGTTATCGAACGGAATACAGATTAAAAAACTGCGGTAACGGCAACGATACTCGATCAACGATACATATTCGACATATTACGTATGAAGATTTATCGGGTCCAATTACCGCCAAGTTCCTGCATTAATATCTCTTTTCATCCTTTTTTTCTATTACACCATATTTATCAACGCACACGTTTTGCGTGACAAACATTGTAATTGACCGGAGTAAAAATAATCATTCATTAATTCGGAATTTTGTCGATTCATAATTACGTTGTTTCTGATTCTCAGTTACTGTACAAAGGTTAGGTTTGGGCAATCATTTGTAACTTGGAAAATGGACGGCCATTTGCAATTTTCACTATGCACGAAATAAAACAAAATGGCGTCCATAAAAGTTATATGCAACAGTACAAATATACTTGTGCTATACAATTTTTGAAACTTTTCTAAGATTATCTTAATACTAAAATCATTTTTTTAATTCCATCTAACAATTTAATTGTAAACTTTTGTTTGAAATTTTTTGCTCTTATACCTCAAGAATTATACGCAAAAGGGAGAACGCATTTTGAGGTTAGATTTCGTAATGGTCGTCTCTATTCTTATCTCACTACTCAAACAAATTTCATGCATTTTCCTAATTAATCGTTTGTGTTCCATTGTGGGTTCAGAAATATTTTTTTTAGAAAAATTGACAATAATTTAAATACTACAATTGTAAGAAAATTTTTTTTGAACTTAATACAATAATACAAATATGTAATTAATATAATTAAGATTGGAATATCTTCTATTTTTAACAAAGTATATCTTCTGTTGGAATATCTTCTATTTTTAACAATTTCAAAAAATGAGTCAATTTCCCAAACTAACAATAAGTAACATGGCGGCAGTGTTAACCTCAATTCCCGTCAATATTCATTAACGTTTCCTAACCGCATTGTTCACATCCGTACTAGAACTTCACAGGAATATTTTCCAATCGTTTTTTGATTTCCATCGATAGCCCCGTGTATTTTCCATGGGTCAGCCAACAATCGCGACTGGCGTAATAAACAGCGTAATCGGGAACGTTGTTCTCGCAACAATAGTTTGGTTTCTTAAGCCTCGAGTTCTCACGAAATCGTTCAAAAAATTTTGTAATCTATTGTCAACAGCTCTGCCCCTTTTACGCTCGCGAAAGAACTTCAGGATATTCGCGTAACTCGAGCAATAAAAAGATGGTTTCCATTGCTCGAGTCAGACAAATTGCCGTATGGATTCCCTTTCCGGTCTGGCCATTGTCCTTACGCGATTGTTCTTTCTTTCAACGATTCCTACGAGTCGGTCTTTGATGCCCTGATGCGATCTGAACGAACGAACCGTAACATTTCATCATCCGGGAGAAACGGAGGTGGCGGCACTGGGCGCAGGAAACGAGGGACACCTAGAAAATTCTTTGTCCGTTTCGCAAAGATGGCTACGCATAATCTAATACGCTAAATAATTTGAGACAGGGATCAATTTTAATGGCAATCGCTGCTAAAAAATATTCTGATAGCAATCGCTGCTAAAAAACTATAAGTTCATGTTAAGTTTTAATTTTGGTCACAAAAGGATTAGTTTCAGAGACCTTGAAATATTTTATGGGACGCAATATTCTGCCATTTTGTTGCATACATAAGCTTTAGTTTTAAAAAATTCAATTTTTACAGTTTTACTGTCATATTCCTACGTATTGATTCTCTTTTCTTTACAGAATATTACTGACGTACTCAAGTAGTGATGGGTCTGAACTATATTGTACATATGTGTATTGATCAAATGATGTGTTGTATAGCACACTTCAACTCAAATAATTTCTATTAAGTAAATTTTTCATTGAAGTTTGTATTAATACAAAATTTTAATGAATTTCCATATCTATTGAAAATATTCAACTTTATCTTTCGAAAATATTTTGATATTTTGGTCAGAAAAGGACCAGTTTCAGGGATCTTGAGATATTTTATTGGAAGCAATATTCCGCCATTTTGTCGTATAAGCTTTCATTTCAGAAAGTTTAATTTTTACATTTTTATTGTCATATTCCTACGTACCGATGATTCTCTTTCTTTACAGAATATTCACTCAAGTAGTGATGGGACTGAACTATATTGTACATATGTGTATTGATCAAATAATGTGTTGTATAGCATACTTCAACTCAAATAATTTGTAATAAGTAAATTTTTCATTGAAAATGTTTATATTAACACAGATAATAATTTTAATGAATTTCCATATCTATTAAAAATATTCAATGTTATCTTTCGAAAATATTTTTATTTCCTATTTTACTAAATTTGTTATTCAGTCAAATATTAAATCTCGAGTACTGATATCTTGCTAAATAAGAATCAATAGAAAGAATAATAGAATTTGTGCAGTACCCAGTAGAAATGTTAGTATTCAGAAACTTTAGAGATATAAAAGATTGTAGAAAGGAAAGTTTTTTAGGATGTAGCACCTTAAACCCGTGTAATTTCCGAGGTGTTCCGACGACAAGGGCTGCGTACTGGCACGGTCGAGGCGTCAGGAGGTGGAAGGATACAACCGGGACAGAAAATCTGATAAAATCGGTATATGAAGCAGAGTAGCCTCGCTAATGAACGTAACTCTTTCGCGGTGCGCTATACTCTTTCTCTTCTATACGAGGCAAGATGTGCGTGGCTGCATATAGTGCGTTTAATTGACGGTGAAATACGCGACTGCTAGGCACCGTCGGGGATTTCTTCTTTGAATCGAGCTT